GAAAGTTAGTATTACTTCATCGCTTGATCTGCAAAAGAGAAGATAAAAATGTGATCAATAAGCAACATGGAAGTCACTTTTGTTTCTTACAAATTACGGAATCTGCTCTCGATTATTTCGGTCTCATAAGAAAGCTTTTCACAAGTTTTGAGACAATTACAAGATTCAAGTATTGAAACATCTTGTCTTCTCTGAATCATCAATTTCACTTTACTAACGCAATTCATTGACTTTAGGTGGCACACTTTTGTCAGAGGATCTCTTACGACAGAAAACGGAACGCAATGACAAATGCTTTCTGTATAGTTAGAGAAACATTCGATCTCACAATTACGTTTTGTGTAAGTTTTAAAGAATCTCAAACGCTTTTCTCCTTTCAAGAAACATTTTCGTTCATTCAACCCAAGAGATTCGACGTCTTCATTGATAGTTATCATTACTGGTGTGATTAAGATCTCAAGTGACTTTCCACCTTCGAAAACGATAACATCGTCAGATTGCAAGAGATTCATCGGCAGCTCGTTGTTCGAGTGAACAAAAAATGCTTTGTTGTAAGAATTTTTCTTAGCAGTAGAACTTGTCGAGATCTTGAATGTCAAAGAGTTGTCCGCTGATGCAACTTTCCATGGCTTTTCAGAATTGAATGTTTCTGATCCTACTTTAAAAATTACATCTTCATTGTTAAGAAAATCTTCTGAAAGTCTAAAACGATTCAACAACTCAATTGAATGAATGCAATGAAGAAAAGAATTTCCAACTTACTGATCAAATCTCAATATGCTGCTGACATTCAATGCATTGAAAGAAAGTCCGATGCCTTTTGATGTTAACACCTCCGAAAAGTGAGTTTTATATTTGTCCATCCACAAGCCACTCTGATTTTGAAACCAACTTGAAGTTGAAATGTTTTTTATTTGGGGAACAATCGAATTAGAAAAGCTTCTAACATGGTAATTTGTTTTATCTGAAATTTATGTTGAACATTTTTCATACATAATTATATTGGTTTAATAATGATTACCTTCCATTTTTCGACTATATGCATATAAACCAAAAAATTTTCCAGTAATTAAAGCATCAACTGTCATTCTAACAGAAGAAATAGGTTAAAGAATTTATTGCTAAACATTTTTTTCTTACCCTTTAAAAATGTCATGTGCGTGCCATGCATAAGTCTCGTTGAAATTATCTGATAATGCTATTTTCTCAATATAATCTATAGGAGGTTTTATATTGGATTTAGGATGTTCAGTGAAAAATGTGACAGCAGGAAACGGAATTTCTGAGACGCTCATTGGATTCTCCATCACAGTCATAACTCCCTGCGTGCCAAGCTGAACATGAAGCTTTGATATCATCAACATGCACAGAGTCATCGAGATTATGAAACATGCAATCCAAATGAATCTGGAAACATTCAAACAAAGATTGTATGAAATATTTAATCCTTAATGAAATCGTACCTTTCACTCAAGCTTAACTTTCGATCATTCATATAAACCAAGCCATGGATAGATGATTCTTTCATAAAAAGAGAAAATAAATTGCTTGAAAGTTCTTCATTGCCATTTGGTTTTCCACTTTTTCTACAACTTTTATCAGAAGTGGTCTTGATGAAAACGTGATAAATAATTTCCACCAACGAAAGAAAAGAGAAGCCAAGAAATAATCCCAAGTAACCACCAATGTAAGAAATTACATCAATAGATGACATGAAACTGCTGGTCACTAAAGGATAAAATTCTTCGTTCTTGAACCGAATGGATATAAAAGATTTTGGTGCATTTTCCCTTTGGTTTCCAATCAAATCTCTATGGAAAAAAATAAAACAAAAAAAATCTGTGTTTTGCTAAATAAAGTAAAATCATACTTAGTTAACAAAGATTTATGTTGCTCGATGATATATTCGAGATTCGCACATAAATCTAAACAGTCGCAGAACTCTTGTGGAAGTTCCCAAAACGTTTTATGTGCTTCTTTGTAACATTTCTTTTTATCAACAGAACAAATTGTTGTCGAAGGACTTTCTAAATTTAAATGATCATTTTTATCATATAAAAAGCTTGCAACATTTACTCACGTAACATGTAAAAAGGAATGCAATTGCATTGATCTCGAATATAAAACCACAGACATTCGTGTTGACAATTATGCTTCGTATAGACTTTGAACATGAAAAGTTCCTTTTCGTCTTTCAGATAGCAATTGCGTCTAAATATAAAACAATTGGAAATAGCTTACAATCATTACTTATTTCACTCACTTCTTAATTGGTAAATTCATCAAAGACTCGTCTAAGATCTTCAAACGAGGTTCTACGAGAAAAGTTACCTTTTCTTCCTCATTCAGAATCATTTGTTGATGACCTTCATAAGGCAATTCATAAGGATTGTGAATAAAAATGATGAATCCATTTCCAGCTCTTGTTTCGTATGGGTTGGAGATGAGTCCTTGAATACCAGAACCATAATTATTTGTTTTCCATGGATATGTTTCAAGAGGTTTATCCACAAACGCACTATATTCACTAAAACGATTTTGATGTATCTTATCTAAATTCGCAAAGTTAAAAGAGTGAGAAACATTGCTTGAATTTATAACATCATTAATGTCGGCTAAGTTGATTGTTTGACAAATTCCACAAGACATTAAAGATTTCCTCATTTTCAATTTGTAACTATTCAACCAATTTCCACGGAACGTTAAAGATGAGTAAACATCTTTTGAAAGTAATTCAAAGAATTTTTTTCTATTTTTTGGCTGAATAGTAGAAACATCTTCAGGTGTGTCGTTATCAGTTACTAATTTCCAAGCAGCCTTAAACAATGCTGTATTCCTTATAGACGAATTTTTCAGAATTGATGAACAGTAGGTTAAGGCAGGAAAAAAAATTTCAGTCACTTGTGTTGCAACATTGGATCGATACATAATTGTAGGATTTGATTCAATCCTTTCAAAAAGCTTCATCACTAAAATAATATTGCAACCGATGGAAACAACCAGAACGAAAATCCAAAACATTCTGAAAATTAAAAGAATTAATTCACTTTCTAATAATACGTTAATTGAAAATTCTTTTCGAACTTTTCTGCTAACGAATTTCTTTTATTTGCCAGATATGCAAACCCATGAAGTGTTGTTGCTCTGAAATAAGTTTTCAACCGACTTTCCTTTGACATTTTCCAACTTTCCACTTTGAATTCACTTCTAATTGTAAATTTTATTTGAAGTTTGAACACTATTTGTTCGAAATTGTACAATAATGATGCAAGATTTGTGTCAGTGTGATTATTCATCCAGTACTTGAAACAATTTCCATGCAAAGTTTATCTTGATCATTCAACAATGTATTTTGCATAACAAGTATTTCATACATAGATGTGTAAACATTGAATTCCAAGCAAGATTTCATTAAAGAACATTTAAGATGGATCAAAATGTTTAACTTTTACAGTAGAACTTTGATAAGCTGATATCTCAAGGGGGACAAAAAATATCAGCTTATCGAGGATATCAGCATATCGGAGCATCAGCTTATCAAAATTCCACTGAATAAACTTAAACTGGATCTATTCTGTGATTATTCTTAAAAAATTCGTTAAGCATTAAAATTGTGTTCTTAATACATTACAACAAAAATTTGCCCGAGCGGCACAAGCTTTTCGCTTGAATTCCAATAGCTTGCCTTTAGCAGATTCCGTGAGATTCTGCCCTGTAGCGTTGAAAAAACGTCCTACCCGCATCCATGAAGGAAAATTAAGCGATTTTCAATCCAATTTTGGCGGAATCTCCACTTGTGCCGCTCGGGTTGCATTCATCACAAATGTGTTCTTGATACTTCTCACAAAAATAGTTGAAGTGATTTAATTTATAATAGACAAAAACGTTATGCGACGACTTCTTCGTCTCAATATTAAATTTATAAAAAACCTGAACACAAAGAAATAAAATATTTCACATAAGGAGAGAACAGAAATGCCAGCAAACAATCCAAGTAAACTTCCAACATTACAAATAAAATCGATGAGATTAAACTGACGAAATGATTTTAATGGAATGAATTCCGAATTCTTAAATTTGAAAGTTAATATTACTTCATCGCTTGATCTGCAAAAGAGAAGATAAAATGTGATCAATAATGAACATGAAGTCATTTTTGTTTCTTACAAATTACGGAATCTGCTCTCGATTATTTCGGTCTCATAAGAAAGCTTTTCACAAGTTTTGAGACAATTACAAGATTCAAGTAATGAAACATCTTGTCCTTTCCGTATCATCAATTTCACTTTGCTAACGCAATACATTGACTTTAGGTGGCACACTTTTGTCAGAGGATCTCTCACAAATGAAAACGGAACGCAATGACAAATGCTTTCTGTATAGTTAGAGAAACATTCGATCTCACAATTACGTTTTGTGTAAGTTTTAAAGAATCTCAAACGCTTTTCTCCTTTCAAGAAACATTTTCGTTCATTCAACTCAAGAGATTCGACGTCTTCATTGATTGTTATCATTACTGGTGTGATCAAGATCTCAAGTGATTTTCCACCTTCGAAAACGATAACATCGTCAGATTGCAAGAGATTCATCGCCAGCTCGTTGTTCGAGTGAACAAAAAATGCTTTGTTGTAAGAATTTTTCTTAGCAGTAGAACTTGTCGAGATCTTGAATGTCAAAGAGTTGTCCGCTGATGCAACTTTCCATGGCTTTTCAGAATTGAATGTTTCTGATCCTACTTTAAAAATTACATCTTCATTGTTAAGAAAATCTTCTGAAAGTCTAAAACGATTCAACAACTCAATTGAATGAATGCAATGAAGAAAAGAATTTCCAACTTACTGATCAAATCTCAATATGCTGCTGACATTCAATGCATTGAAAGAAAGTCCGATGCCTTTTGATGTTAACACCTCCGAAAAGTGAGTTTTATATTTGTCCATCCACAAGCCACTCTGATTTTGAAACCAACTTGAAGTTGAAATGTTTTTTATTTGGGGAACAATCGAATTAGAAAAGCTTCTAACATGGTAATTTGTTTTATCTGAAATTTATGTTGAACATTTTTCATACACAGTTATGTTGTTTAATAATGATCACCTTCCATTTTTCGAGTATGTAAATAGAAACGCCGAAATTTTCCAGTAATTAAAGCATCAACTGTTATTCTAACAGAAGAAATAAAAAAAAATTACTAGATATAAATTTTATATTATTGGAAATTCCAATCTACGTCTCTATTATTTTCTTAACCTTTCAACATCATCAGATCAAGGACATGCCCATATAGGCCCACCATCAAATGCCGAAACATATGAGGTCAATGGTCATAAGTGGCACGTGAAAATGACAACACTACTCAATTTCAGTAAAATTACTCTGTGCTGATTATTCACTATCGACCGTTTTGCATCCACCGAAGGTCCTTTATAAAAAGTAACCTTGGGCTGTTTTTATAATCATTTGACGAGGTGTTTCATCTTTAACACCGTTCCGCTAGAGACTCTAAGCCTGAATACTCTTCATTGTTCGAATTGATAAGAATATCAACTCGAGTTATTTCAGTACTTTTAATCGCAGCGTAAACTAAAGTTAAACATACAACTGTCTAAGGGGCGAATATCTTGATTTCTGAAAACCTCAGTCCAATTGACCATCACCAAGAATTGATCCAGGATCGTACCGATTCACTCATCGATACGAATTCTGATACAAATCTGATGCACAAACACTTAGGCCAATGAAGAAAATTAGCCCCCCTTCTTACTCTTTGAAAATGTTATGGGCGTGCCATGCATAAGTCTCGTTGAAATCATTTGATAATGCTACGTTCTCAACTTTTCCTACAGGTCTTTTTATATCGGATTTAGGATGTTCAGTGATAAATGTGACAGCAGGAAACGGAATTTCTGAGACGCTCATTGGAATCTCCATCACAGTCATAACTCCCTGCGTGCCAAGCTGAACATGAAGCTTTGATATCATCAACATGCACAGAGTCATCGAGATTATGAAACATGCAATCCAAATGAATCTGGAAACAATCAAACAAAGATTGTATGAAATATTTAATCCTTAATGAATTCGTACCTTTCACTCAAGCTTAACTTTCGATCATGCATATAAACCAAGCCATGGATCGATGATTCTTTTATAAAAGCAGAAAATAAATTGCTTGAATCTTCTTCATTGCCATTTGGTTTTCCACTTTTTCTACAACTTTTATCAGAAGTGGTCTTGATGAAAACGTGATAAATAATTTCCACCAACGAAAGAAAAGAGAAGCCAAGAAATAATCCCAAGTAACCACCAATGTAAGAAATTACATCAATAGATGACATGAAACTGCTGGTCACTAAAGGATAAAATTCTTCGTTCTTGAACCGAATGGATATAAAAGATTTTGGTGTATCTTCCATTTGCTTCTCCATATGCTTCTCTATCAAATCTCTAGGGAAAAAAATAAAACAAAAAAATCTGTGTTTTGCTAAATAAAGTAAAATCATACTTAATGAATAAAGATTTGCGTTTCTCGATGATATATTCGAGATTCTCACATAAATCCAAACAATTGCAGAATTTTGGTGAAAGCTCCCAAAACGTTTTATGTGCTTCTTTGTAACATTTCTTTTTATCAACAGAACAAATTGTTGTCGAAGGACTNCGACGACTTCTCCTTCTTAATATTAAATCTATGAAGAACCTGAATACAAAGAAATAAAATATTTCACATAAGGAGAGAAAAGAAATGCCAGCAAACAATCCAAGTAAACTTCCAACATTACAAATAAAATCGATGAGATTAAACTGACGAAATGATTTTAATGGAATGAATTCCGAATTCTTAAATTTGAAAGTTAATATTACTTCATCGCTTGATCTGCAAAAGAGAAGATAAAATGTGATCAATAATGAACATGAAGTCATTTTTGTTTCTTACAAATTACGGAATCTGCTCTCGATTATTTCGGTCTCAAAAGAAAGCTTTTCACAAGTTTTGAGACAGTTACAAGATTCAAGTATTGAAACATCTTGTCTTCTCTGAATCATCAATTTCACTTTACTAACGCAATTCATTGACTTTAGGTGGCACACTTTTGTCAGAGGATCTCTTACGACAGAAAACGGAACGCAATGACAAATGCTTTCTGTATAGTTAGAGAAACATTCGATCTCACAATTACATTTTGTGTAAGTTTTGAAGAATCTCAAACGCTTTTCTCCTTTCAAGAAACATTTTCGTTCATTCAACCCAAGAGATTCGACGTCTTCATTGATAGTTATCATTACTGGTGTGATTAAGATCTCAAGTGACTTTCCACCTTCGAAAACGATAACATCGTCAGATTGCAAGAGATTCATCGGCAGCTCGTTGTTCGAGTGAACAAAAAATGCTTTGTTGTAAGAATTTTTCTTAGCAGTAGAACTTGTCGAGATCTTGAATGTCAAAGAGTTGTCCGCTGATGCAACTTTCCATGGCTTTTCAGAATTGAATGTTTCTGATCCTACTTTAAAAATTACATCTTCATTGTTAAGAAAATCTTCTGAAAGTCTAAAACGATTCAACAACTCAATTGAATGAATGCAATGAAGAAAAGAATTTCCAACTTACTGATCAAATCTCAATATGCTGCTGACATTCAATGCATTGAAAGAAAGTCCGATGCCTTTTGATGTTAACACCTCCGAAAAGTGAGTTTTATATTTGTCCATCCACAAGCCACTCTGATTTTGAAACCAACTTGAAGTTGAAATGTTTTTTATTTGGGGAACAATCGAATTAGAAAAGCTTCTAACATGGTAATTTGTTTTATCTGAAATTTATGTTGAACATTTTTCATACATAATTATATTGGTTTAATAATGATTACCTTCCATTTTTCGACTATATGCATATAAACCAAAAAATTTTCCAGTAATTAAAGCATCAACTGTCATTCTAACAGAAGAAATAGGTTAAAGAATTTATTGCTAAACATTTTTTTCTTACCCTTTAAAAATGTCATGTGCGTGCCATGCATAAGTCTCGTTGAAATTATCTGATAATGCTATTTTCTCAATATAATCTATAGGAGGTTTTATATTGGATTTAGGATGTTCAGTGAAAAATGTGACAGCAGGAAACGGAATTTCTGAGACGCTCATTGGATTCTCCATCACAGTCATAACTCCCTGCGTGCCAAGCTGAACATGAAGCTTTGATATCATCAACATGCACAGAGTCATCGAGATTATGAAACATGCAATCCAAATGAATCTGGAAACAATCAAACAAAGATTGTATGAAATATTTAATCCTTAATGAATTCGTACCTTTCACTCAAGCTTAACTTTCGATCATTCATATAAACCAAGCCATGGATCGATGATTCTTTTATAAAAGCAGAAAATAAATTGCTTGAATCTTCTTCATTGCCATTTGGTTTTCCACTTTTTCTACAACTTTTATCAGAAGTGGTCTTGATGAAAACGTGATAAATAATTTCCACCAACGAAAGAAAAGAGAAGCCAAGAAATAATCCCAAGTAACCACCAATGTAAGAAATTACATCAATAGATGACATGAAACTGCTGGTCACTAAAGGATAAAATTCTTCGTTCTTGAACCGAATGGACACAAAAGATTTTGGTGTATCTTTCATTTGCCTTCCAATCAAATCTCTAATGAAAACAAAAAAATATCTAAAGATCTATGTTTTGCTCAATAAAGTATCATCATCATCATCAGAGTAGGGAGTGCACTAACCAGTGCACTAAAGCGATTAAGAATATAGGAGTATGAACCCCTTCTTGTTTCGCTCCCTATATCTCGTCGTTTGATGATTGATGTTAGATAAGGGAAGTTTCAGAAGCTGCCCTAAATTTTGCGTAATAAACTCAATAAAGTAAAATCATACTTAATGAAAGAAGATTTGCGTTTCTCGATGATATATTCGAGATTCTCACATAAGTCCAAGCAATCGCAGAATTCTGGTGGAAGTTCCCAAAACGTTTTATGAGCTTCTTTGTAACATTTCTTTTTATCAACAGAACAAATTGTTGTCGAAGGACTTTCTAAATTTAAATGATCATTTTTATCATATAAAAAGCTTGCAACATTTACTCACGAAACATGTAAAACGGAATGCAATTGCAATGATCTTGAATATAAAACCACAAACATTCGTGTTGACAATTATGCTTCGTATAGACTTTGAACATGAAAAGTTTCTTTTCGTCATTCCGATAGCAATTGCGCCTAAATATAAAACAATTGGAAATAGCTTACAATCATTTACTTATTTCACTCACTTCTTAATTGGTAAATTCATCAAAGACTTGTCTAAGATCTTCAAACGAGGTTCTACGAGAAAAGTTACCTTTTCTTCCTCATTCAGAATCATTTGTTGATGACCTTCATAAGGCAATTCATAAGGATTGTGAATAAAAATGATGAATCCATTTCCAGCTCTTGATTCGTATGGGTTGGAGATGAGTCCTCGAATACCAGAACCATAATTATTTGTTTTCCATGGATATGTCTCAAGAGGGTCTCCCAAAAACGCGCGATCATCATTGAGGTTGTCATCAGATATCTTATTTAGCATCGCGAAATTAAAAGCGTGAGAAACATTGCTTAATTTTATGACATCATTAATATCGGCTAAGTTGATTGTTTGACAAATTCCACAAGACATTAAAGATCTCCTTATTTTCAATTTGTAACTATTCAACCAACTTCCACGGAACCTTAAGAGCGAGTAAACATCTTCTGAGAGTATTTTAAAGAACTTTTCTCTTTTTTTTGGCTGAATAGTAGAAACATCTTCAGGTGTATCGTTATCAGTTACTAATTTCCAAGCAGTCTTAACCAATGCTGTATTCCTTCTAGACGAATCTTTTAGAGTTGATGAACAGTAAGTCAAAGCAGGAAAAGAAATTTCAGTCACTTGAGTTGCAACATTGGATCGATACATAATTGTAGGATTTGATTCAATCCTTTCAAAAAGCTTCATCACTAAAATAATATTGCAACCGATGGAAACAACCAGAACGAAAATCCAAAACATTCTGAAAATTGAAAGAATTCATTCACTTTCTAATTATTTGATTATTGAAATTTCTTTTCGAACTTTTCTGCTAACGAATTTCTTTTATTTGCAAGATATGCAAACCCATGAAGTGTTGTTGCTCTGAAATAAGTTTTCAACCGACTTTCCTTTGACATTTTCCAACTTTCCACTTTGAATTCACTTCCAATTGTAAACTTTATTTGAACTTTGAAAACTATTTGTTCGAAATTGTACAATAATTATGCAAGATTTGTGTCTGTGATTATTCATCCAGTACTTGAAGCAATTTTCATGCAAAGTCTATCTTGATCTTTCAACATTGTATTATAAATTTACTAAATGTTCAAATGAGCAAAATTTTGTAAGATTCCAATACCTACTAATTTCTCAAACATATTTTCCTAATAATTTTTTGTGAAAATATCAAAAATACATTCAAAAATTGAATTAAATTTAATCCGCATTAGAAGCTGAGAATGTGAAGCTGATTCAAAGGTGCATGATAAGTATTTCATACATAGAGGTGTTAGCATTGAATTCCAAGTATAGATATCAAAACCGAGAACCGATAACCGGTTTTTTTTCGGTTATTTCGAGTACTAGGTTAACCGAGATTTCTATCGGTTAACCGAAAAATATCTGAAATTAGCGAAATTTACTCCTTTTTCACAAATTGTTTCAATTTTTTTGATTATTCTTGAATAAAAACGAATTAATGTTTAGTGATATGCATTGTTTCCTTTAAGAATAATTTTTTTTTTAAATTGTCTAATTATTTAAATCAAAGATACTAAAACCAAAAAATCTTATTTTTTGAAGTTTTTGTATATTTTTAAATCAGAAGCAAGCAAAATGCAATAAATGTATTAGGGAAAGAGAGGAAATATGCATATCAAGCATTTTTTTTTATTTTTTATGTTGAAAAATTAAATTTTTATCACTATTTTAAAATTTCGGTTAACCATAGGTTAACCATAGGTTAACCATAGGTTAACCGAGTTTCTTTGTTTCGGTTACTAGGTTAACCGAATCTTAAAAATACCGGTTAAAGAACATTTAAGATGCATTAAAATGTGAATGCAATGTTTTAGTTTTATGAGTTAAACTGGATCTACATATTCTTTGATCATTCTTTAAAAACTCATTAAAGATTAAAATTGTGTTCTTGATTTAATTTATAAAAGACAAAAACGTTATGCGACGACTTCTCCTTCTTAATATTAAATCTATGAAGAACCTGAATACAAAGAAATAAAATATTTCACATAAGGAGAGAAAAGAAATGCCAGCAAACAATCCAAGTAAACTTCCAACATTACAAATAAAATCGATGAGATTAAACTGACGAAATGATTTTAATGGAATGAATTCCGAATTCTTAAATTTGAAAGTTAATATTACTTCATCGCTTGATCTGCAAAAGAGAAGATAAAATGTGATCAATAATGAACATGAAGTCATTTTTGTTTCTTACAAATTACGGAATCTGCTCTCGATTATTTCGGTCTCAAAAGAAAGCTTTTCACAAGTTTTGAGACAGTTACAAGATTCAAGTATTGAAACATCTTGTCTTCTCTGAATCATCAATTTCACTTTACTAACGCAATTCATTGACTTTAGGTGGCACACTTTTGTCAGAGGATCTCTTACGACAGAAAACGGAACGCAATGACAAATGCTTTCTGTATAGTTAGAGAAACATTCGATCTCACAATTACGTTTTGTGTAAGTTTTAAAGAATCTCAAACGCTTTTCTCCTTTTAAGAAACATTTTCGTTCATTCAACTCAAGAGATTCGACGTCTTCATTGATAGTTTTCATTACTGGTGTGATCAAGATCTCAAGTGATTTTCCACCTTCGAAAACGATAACATCGTCAGATTGCAAGAGATTCATCGCCAGCTCGTTGTTCGAGTGAACAAAAAATGCTTTGTTGTAAGAATCTTTCTCAGCAGTAGAACTTGTCGAGATCTTGAATGTCAAAGAGCTGTCAGCTGATGCAACTTTCCATGGCTTTTTGGAATTGAATGTTTCTGATCCTCCTTTAAAAATGATATCTTCATTGTTAAGAAAATCTTCTGAAAGTCTAGAAAGATTCAACAAATTANTCTGCTAGAGACTCTAAGCCTGAATACTCTTCATTTTTCGAATTGATAAGTAGATACATCAACTCGAAAGATTTCAGTACTTTTTATCGCAGCGTAAAACTGTCTAAGAGGCGAACTTCTAAAACCACAGTCCAAGTGACCACAACTAAGAATTGACACCTAAGCCAATGAAGCAAATTTGCCTCCTTTCTTACCTCTTAAAAATCTTATGTGCATGCCGTGCATGAGTATCGTTGAAATCATCTGATAATATTATGTTCAAAATTTTTCCTACGGGTTTTTTTTTATCGGATCTAGGATGTTGAGTAAAAAATGTGACAGCAGGAAACGGAATTTCTGAGACGCTCATTGGGTTATCCATCACAGTCATGACTCCCTGCGTGCCAAGCTGAACATAAAGCTTTGATATCATAAACATGCATAGAGTCATGGAAATAACGAAACATGCAATCCAAATGAATCTGGAAACATTCAATCCAAGAATTTATGAAGTGTTTAATCCTTAATGAAATTGTACCTTTCAGTGAAGCTTAACTTTCGATCATTCATATAAACCAAGCCATGGATCGATGATTCTTTTATAAAAGCAGAAAATAAATTGCTTGAATCTTCTTCATTGCCATTTGGTTTTTCACTTTTTTCACTTTCACTTTTTCTGCAACTTTCAGAAGTGGTTTTGATGAAAACATGATAAATAATTTCCATCAAAGAAAGAAAAGAGAAGCCAAGAAATAATCCCAAGTAACCACCAATGTAGGAAATTATATCAATAGATGACATGAAACTGCTGGTCACTAAAGGATAAAATTCTTCGTTCTTGAACCGAATGGATATAAAAGATTTTGGTGTATCTTCCATTTGCTTCTCCATATGCTTCTCTATCAAATCTCTAGGGAAAAAAATAAAACAAAAAAATCTGTGTTTTGCTAAATAAAGTAAAATCATACTTAATGAAAGAAGATTTGCGTTTCTCGATGATATATTCGAGATTCTCACATAAATCCAAACAATTGCAGAATTTTGGTGAAAGCTCCCAAAACGTTTTATGTGCTTCTTTGTAACATTTCTTTTTATCAACGGGAACAAATTGTTGTCGAAGGACTTACTAAATTTAAAATCTCATTTTGATCATATACAAAGGATGCAACATTTACTCACGTAACATGTAAAACGGAATGCAATTGCATTGATCTCGAATATAAAACCACAAACATTCGTGCTGACAATTATGCTTCGTATAGACTTTGAACATGACAAGTTTCTTTTCGTCTTTCAGATAGCAATTGCGTCTAAATATAAAACAATTGAAAACATTTCACAATCATTAATTATTTAGCTCACTTCTCAATTGGTAAATTCATCAAGGACTCGTCTAAGATCTTCAAACGAGGTTCCACGAGAAATGTTACTTTTTCTTCCTCATTCAAAATCATTTGTTGATGACCTTCATAAGGCAATTCATAAGGATTGTGAATGAAAATGATGAATCCATTTCCAGTTCTTGTTTTGTTTTCTTTAAAGATGAGTCCTTGAATACCAGAATCATAATTATTTGTTTTCCATGGCTATGACATAAGAGAATCACCCAAAAATGTACGATCATCATTGAAGTTATCATTAAATATTTTATATAGCTTCGCGAAATTAAAAGCGTGAGAAACATTGGTTGAATTTACGACATCATTAATATCGGCTAAGTTGATTGTTTGACAAATTCCACAAGACATTAAAGATGTTCTTATTAACAGTTTAAAACTATTCAACCAACTTCCACGGAACTTTAAGTGCGAGTAGACATTGCCTTCAATTAATTTAAAGATTTTTTTTGTATTTTCAGGCTGAATAGTATGAGCATCTTCAGGTGTATCATTATCAGTTATCAATTTCCAAGCAGTCTTAGCCAATGCTGTATTCCTTCTAGACGAATTTCTAAGTGTTGATGAACAGTAAGTCAAAGCAGGAAAAGAAATGTCAGTCACTTGAGTTGCAACATTGGATCGATACATAATTGTAGGATTTGATTCAATCCTTTCAAAAAGCTTCATCACTAAAATAATATTGCAACCGATGGAAACAATCAGAACGAAAATCCAAAATATTCTGAAAATTGAAAGAGTTCATTCACTTTCTAATTATTTGATTATTGAAATTTCTTTTCGAACTTTTCTGCTAACGAATTTCTTTTATTTGCAAGATATGCAAACCCATGAAGTGTTGTTGCTCTGAAATAAGTTTTCAACCGACTTTCCTTTGCCATTTTCCAACTCTCCACTTTGAATTCACTTCTAATTGTAAATTTTATTTGAACTTTAAAAACTATTTGTTCGAAATGTGCCATAATTACATATGCAAGATTTGTGTCATTGTGATTATTCATCCAGTACTTGAAACAATTTTCATGCAAAGTTTATCTTGATCATTCAACATTGAATTTTAAATTCACTAAGTGTTCAAATGAAGCAAAATTTTATATAATTTCAATATTATATTCTCCTTGGTTTTCTCAAACATATTTTTCTAAACATTTGTTGTGNAAAGATTGCTACAATTCATCATCATCATCATCAGGTCTCGGACAAGTTTCTTCCTATGAGAGACATTGGGTATTATGGTTTATAACAGCTGAACTGCTACAACCGCCCGTTATGCGTCCACCCAATGTCTAACAGAAGATGTAATAAGGCTGAAAGGATTGCCTTTGTGCCTTTCAATTAAAATTTTTATCTGACAGCCTTTGTCCTTTGTATATACCTTAAGCATTTCTGCATCAAGCAAGAGATGACAGAATTTGTTAACGAAATAGACAACCATCTCCCAGAGTTTCATTTGTAATGCCGTAAATACCCATGGAAATGGCCGCATTGCAAGTGTTCCATTTTCAGCAGCGTTTTTAGTCTTTGCTTTTTCATTGCTCGCCTTAATACGAATATCAATTTGATGCAAAGGAATTTCAAAACCAGCTTACTGTTTAGATGAGACACTCGCATCGGTCCAAGATATCTAAATTTATCCTTACCTCATTGACACCGGGAATCGAACCGAGAACCTATGAATTAGATTCCCGACACGAGCACCCTGAGCCAATGAAGACAAATGAGCCCTGTTGCTACAATTCATTTTTTATTTGCTAGTAGAAGTTCCATTTTCTTCTTTTTTATTTTCTCACCCTTTAAAAATTTTATGTGCATGCCATGCATGAGTATCGTTGAAATCATCTGATAATATTATGTTCAACATTTTTCCTACGGGTTTTTCTATATCGGATCTAGGATGCTGAGTGAAAAATGTGACAGCAGGAAACGGAATTTCTGAGACGCTCATTGGGTTATCCATCACAGTCATGACTCCCTGCGTGCCAAGCTGAACATAAAGCTTTGATATCATAAACATGCATAGAGTCATGGAAATAACGAAACATGCAATCCAAATGAATCTGGAAACATTCAATCCAAGAATTTATGAAGTGTTTAATCCTTAATGAAATTGTACCTTTCAGTGAAGCTTAACTTTCGATCATTCATATAAACCAAGCCATGGATCGATGATTCTTTCATAAAAGAAGAAAATAAATTGCTTGAATCTTCTTCATTTCCTTTTTGTTTTTCACTTTTTTCACTTTTTCTGCAACTTTCAGAAGTGGTTTTGATGAAAACATGATAAATAATTTCCATCAAAGAAAGAAAAGAGAAGCCAAGAAATAATCCCAAGTAACCACCAATGTAGGAAATTATATCAATAGATGACATGAAACTGCTGGTCACTAAAGGATAAAATTCTTCGTTCTTGAACCGAATAGAAATAAAAGATTTTGGTATATTGTCCAGTCGCTCTTCTATTATATCTCTAAAGAAGAAAATGAAAAAAAAATATCTAAAAATCTGTGTTTTGCTAAATAAAGTAAAATCATACTTAATGAATAAAGATTTGCGTTTCTCGATGATATATTCGAGATTCTCACATAAATCCAAACAATTGCAGAATTCTGGTGGAAGTTCCCAAAAGGTTTTATGTGCTTCTTTGTAACATTTCTTTTTATCAACAGAACAAATTGTTGTCGAAGGACTTACTAAATTTAAATGATCATTTTTATCATATAAAATGCGTGCAACATTTACTCACGAAACATGTAAAACGGAATGCAATCGCATTGATCTCGAATATAAAACCACAAACATTCGTGTTGACAATTATGCTTCGTATAGACTTTGAACATGAAAAGTTTCTTTTCGTCCTTCAGATAGCAATTGCGCCTAAATATAAAACAATTGGAAATAGCTTACAATCATTTACTTATTTCACTCACTTTTCATTTGGTAAATTCATCAAAGACTCGTCTAAGATCTTCAAACGAGGTTCTACGAGAAAAGTTACCTTTTCTTCCTCATTCAGAATCATTTGTTGATGACCTTCATAAGGCAATTCATAAGGATTGTGAATAAAAATGATGAATCCATTTCCAGCTTTCTTTGTTGGTTCGGTTTTGATGAGTCCTCGAATACCAGAACCATAATTATTTGTTTTCCAAGGATATATCTCCAGAGCTTCATCCAAAAACGCATCATCTCCATTAAAACTCAAATGAAGCTTCTCTAACTTCGCGAAATTAAAAGCGTGAGAAACATTGCTTGAATTTATGACATCATTAATATCGGCTAAGTTGATTGTTTGACAAATTCCACATGACATTAAAGATCTCCTTATTTCTACTAAATAACTATTCAACCAACTTCCACGGAACCATAAGGACGAGAAGACATTGCCTTCAATTAATTTGGAGATGTGTTTTGTAATTTCTGGCTGAATAGTATGAACATCTTCCCATGTATCATTATCAGTTATTAACTTCCAAGCAGTCCTAACCAATGCAGTATTTCTACTTGACGAATCTTTCAGAGTTGATGAACAGTAAGTCAAAGCAGGAAAAGAAATGTCAGTCACTTGTGTTGCAACATTGGATCGATACATAATTGTAGGATTTGATTCAATCCTTTCAAAAAGCTTCATCACTAAAATAATATTGCAACCGATGGAAACAACCAGAACGAAAATCCCAAATATTCTGAAAATTGAAAGAGTTCATTCACTTTCTAATAATTTGATTATTGAAATTTCTTTTCGAACTTTTCTGCTAACGAATTTCTTTTATTTGCAAGATATGCAAACCCATGAAGTGTTGTTGCTCTGAAATAAGTTTTCAACCGACTTTCCTTTGCCATTTTCCAACTCTCCACTTTGAATTCACTTCTAATTGTAAATTTTATTTGAACTTTAAAAACTATTTGTTCGAAATGTGCCATAATTACATATGCAAGATTTGTGTCATTGTGATTATTCATCCAGTACTTGAAACAATTTTCATGCAAAGTTTATCTTGATCATTCAACAATGTATTTTAAGTTCACTAAATGTTCAAATGAAGCAAAATTTTATAAAATTTCAATATTATTTTCTCAAACATATTTTTCTAAACATTTGTTGTGGAAATTTCATAAAAACAATCAAAAATTGAATTAAATTTAATCCGCAATAGAAGCTGAGTAGGTAAAGCTGATTCAAAAGTGCATGGTAAGTATTTCATACATTGATGTGTTAACATTGAATTCCAAGCAAGATTTCATTAAAGAACATTTAAGATGCATCAAAATGTGAATGCAATGTTTTAGTTTTATGAGTTAAACTGGATCTACATATTCTTTGATCATTCTTTAAAAACTCATTAAAGATTAAAATTGTGTTCTTGATTTAATTTATAAAAGACAAAAACGTTATGCGACGACTTCTCCTTCTTAATATTAAATCTATGAAGAACCTGAATACAAAGAAATAAAATATTTCACATAAGGAGAGAAAAGAAATGCCAGCAAACAATCCAAGTAAACTTCCAACATTACAAATAAAATCGATGAGATTAAACTGACGAAATGATTTTAATGGAATGAATTCCGAATTCTTAAATTTGAAAGTTAGTATTACTTCATCGCTTGATCTGTAAAAGAGAAGATAAAAATGTGATCAATAATGAACATGAAGTCATTTTTGTTTCTTACAAATTACGGAATCTGCTCTCGATTATTTCGGTCTCAAAAGAAAGCTTTTCACAAGTTTTGAGACAGTTACAAGATTCAAGTATTGAAACATCTTGTCTTCTCTGAATCATCAATTTCACTTTACTAACGCAATTCATTGACTTTAGGTGGCACACTTTTGTCAGAGGATCTCTTACGACAGAAAACGGAACGCAATGACAAATGCTTTCTGTATAGTTAGAGAAACATTCGATCTCACAATTACGTTTTGTGTAAGTTTTAAAGAATCTCAAACGCTTTTCTCCTTTTAAGAAACATTTTCGTTCATTCAACTCAAGAGATTCGACGTCTTCATTGATAGTTTTCATTACTGGTGTGATCAAGATCTCAAGTGATTTTCCACCTTCGAAAACGATAACATCGTCAGATTGCAAGAGATTCATCGCCAGCTCGTTGTTTGGATGAACAAAAAATGCTTTGTTGTAAGAATCTTTGTTGGCAGCAGAACTTGTCGAAATCTTGAATGTCAAAGAGCTGTCAGCTGATGCAACTTTCCATGGCTTTTCGGAATTGAATGTTTCTGACCCTCCTTTAAAAATGATATCTTCATTGTTAAGAAAATCTTCTGAAAGTCTAGAAAGATTCAACAAATTATCTAAATGAATAAAAAAAATAAGAATTTCCAACTCACTGATCAAATCTCAATATGCTGCTGACATTCAATACATTGAAAGAAAGTCCGATGCCTTTTGAAGTTAATACCTCCGAAAAGTGAGTTTTATATTTGTCCATCCACAAGCCACTCTGATTTTGAAACCAACTTGAAGTTGAAATGTTTTTTATTTGGGGAATAATCAAATTAGAAAAGCTTCTAACATGGTAATTCGTGTTATCTGAAATTGATCACGAACATTTTTCATACATAATTATATTGGTTTAATAAAATAATTTAATAATGATTACCTTCGTTTTCCACGATTTCTCTATGTAGATCAAAAATTTTTCCAGTAATTAAAGAATCAAGTGTTATTCTAAATGAAGAAATAAAATAAAGATTGCTACAATTCATCATCATCATCAGGTCTCGGACAAGTTTCTTCCTATGAGACATTGGGTATTATGGTTTATAACAGCTGAACTGCTACAACCGCCCGTTATGAGTCCACCCAATGTCTAACAGAAGATGTAATTAGGCTGAAAGGATTGCCTTTGTGCCTTTCAATTAAAATTTTTATCTGACAGCCTTTGTCCTTTGTTTATACCTTAAGCATTTCTGCATCAAGCAAGAGATGACAGAATTTGTTAACGAAAAAGACAACCATCTCCCAGAGTTTCATTTGTAATGCCGTAAATACCCATGGAAATGGCCGCATTGCAAGTGTTCCATTTTCAGCAGCGTTTTTAGTCTTTGCTTTTTCATTGCTCGCCTTAATACGAATATCAATTTGATGCAAAGGAATTTCAAAACCAGCTTACTGTTTAGCAGAGATGGGCAAATGTTCCGTTCAACTCGATTGACTGACTGACTGACATGTCAATGTCTGTCAGTCAGTCAGTCAAAATCGCGNTGTTTTTTTTTTTTTTCCCCACCAAAAAGCCACTCTGATTTTGAATCCAACTTGTAGTTGAAATGTTTTTTATTTGGGGAACAATCGAATCAGAAAAGCTTCTAACATGGCAATTCGTATTATCTGAAATTCATAACGAGCACTTTATAAATTGTAAATTGGTTTAATAATGATTACCTTCCATTTTTCGAATATGTAAATAGAAACGGCGAAATTTTCCAGTAAATAAAGAATCAAGTGTTTTTCTAACAGAACAAATAAAAAAATTATTTCTATACATTTGATATTATTGGAAATTCCAATTCACTTCTTTTTTAATTTCCTATCCTTTTATCATTATCATCAGATCAAGGACAGACCCATCCCGAGAAACCAAAATTTCCATGTACGTTTCAAATCGGCCATGTGACTGCTTTCTCCAAATAACAATTTGTCCTGAATATATAGCTTTGCAAGTGGCTGTCATATAGCAGTCATATGCAAATTTTGGTTTCTCGGGCATATAGAAACCACCATCAAATTCCGAAGCATTTGAGGTCAATGGTCATAATTGGTACATGAAAACAACAACACTACTCAATTACAGAAAAATTATTTTGTTCTGACTATTTACTACCGACCGTTTTGCATCCACTCAAAGTGCTTCATAGAAAGTAACCTTGGGCTGTTTTATCATCATTTGGCGATTCATCTTCAACTCCGTTCTGCTAGAGACTCTAAGCCTGAATACTCTTCATTTTTCGAATTGATAAGTAGATACATCAACTCGAAAGATTTCAGTACTTTTTATCGCAGCGTAAAACTGTCTAAGAGGCGAACTTCTAAAACCACAGTCCAAGTGACCACAACTAAGAATTGACACCTAAGCCAATGAAGCAAATTTGCCTCCTTTCTTACCTCTTAAAAATCTTATGTGCATGCCGTGCATGAGTATCGTTGAAATCATCTGATAATATTATGTTCAAAATTTTTCCTACGGGTTTTTTTTTATCGGATCTAGGATGTTGAGTAAAAAATGTGACAGCAGGAAACGGAATTTCTGAGACGCTCATTGGGTTATCCATCACAGTCATGACTCCCTGCGTGCCAAGCTGAACATAAAGCTTTGATATCATAAACATGCATAGAGTCATGGAAATAACGAAACATGCAATCCAAATGAATCTGCAAACATTGAATCCAAGAATTTATGAAGTGTTTAATCCTTAATGAAATCGTACCTTTCAGTGAAGCTTAACTTTCGATCATTCATATAAACCAAGCCATGGATCGATGATTCTTTTATAAAAGCAGAAAATAAATTGCTTGAATCTTCTTCATTGCCATTTGGTTTTCCACTTTTTCTACAACTTTTATCAGAAGTGGTCTTGATGAAAACATAATAAATAATTTCCATCAAAGAAAGAAAAGAGAAGCCAAGAAATAATCCCAAGTAACCACCAATGTAGGAAATTATATCAATAGATGACATGAAACTGCTGGTCACTAAAGGATAAAATTCTTCGTTCTTGAACCGAATGGATATAAAAGATTTTGGTGTATCTTCCATTTGCTTCTCCATATGCTTCTCTATCAAATCTCTAGGGAAAAAAATAAAACAAAAAAATCTGTGTTTTGCTAAATAAAGTAAAATCATACTTAATGAATAAAGATTTGCGTTTCTCGATGATATATTCGAGATTCTCACATAAATCCAAACAATTGCAGAATTTTGGTGAAAGCTCCCAAAACGTTTTATGTGCTTCTTTGTAACATTTCTTTTTATCAACAGAACAAATTGTTGTCGAAGGACTTACTAAATTTAAATGATCATTTTGATCATATACAAAGGATGCAACATTTACTCACGTAACATGTAAAACGGAATGCAATTGCATTGATCTCGAATATAAAACCACAGACATTCGTGCTGACAATTATGCTTTGTATAGACTTTGAACATGACAAGTTTCTTTTCGTCATTCCGATAGCAATTGCGCCTAGATATGAAAAATTGAAAACATTTCACAATCATTAATTATTTAGCTCACTTCTCAATTGGTAAATTCATCAAGGACTCGTCTAAGATCTTCAAACGAGGTTCCACGAGAAAAGTTACCTTTTCTTTCTCATTCAAAATCATTTGTTGATGACCTTCATAAGGCAATTCATAAGGATTGTGAATGAAAATGATGAATCCATTTCCAGTTCTTGTTTTGTTTTCTTTAAAGATGAGTCCTTGAATACCAGAATCATAATTATTTGTTTTCCATGGCTATGACATAAGAGAATCACCCAAAAATGTACGATCATCATTGAAGTTATCATTAAATATTTTATATAGCTTCGCGAAATTAAAAGCGTGAGAAACATTGCTTGAATTTATGACATCATTAATATCGGCTAAGTTGATTGTTTGACAAATTCCACAAGACATTAAAGATGTTCTTATTAACAGTTTAAAACTATTCAACCAACTTCCACGGAACTTTAAGTGCGAGTAGACATTGCCTTCAATTAATTTAAAGATTTTTTTTGTATTTTCAGGCTGAATAGTATGAACATCTTCAGGTGTATCATTATCAGTTATCAATTTCCAAGCAGTCATAAACAATGCTGTATTCCTTCTAGACGAATTTCTAAGTGTTGATGAACAGTAAGTCAAAGCAGGAAAAGAAATGTCAGTCACTTGAGTTGCAACATTGGATCGATACATAATTGTAGGATTTGATTCAATCCTTTCAAAAAGCTTCATCACTAAAATAATATTGCAACCGATGGAAACAATCAGAACGAAAATCCAAAATATTCTGAAAATTGAAAGAGTTCATTCACTTTCTAATTATTTGATTATTGAAATTTCTTTTCGAACTTTTCTGCTAACGAATTTCTTTTATTTGCAAGATATGCAAACCCATGAAGTGTTGTTGCTCTGAAATAAGTTTTCAACCGACTTTCCTTTGCCATTTTCCAACTCTCCACTTTGAATTCACTTCTAATTGTAAATTTTATTTGAACTTTAAAAACTATTTGTTCGAAATGTGCCATAATTACATATGCAAGATTTGTGTCATTGTGATTATTCATCCAGTACTTGAAACAATTTTCATGCAAAGTTTATCTTGATCATTCAACATTGAATTTTAAATTCACTAAGTGTTCAAATGAAGCAAAATTTTATATAATTTCAATATTATATTCTCCTTGGTTTTCTCAAACATATTTTTCTAAACATTTGTTGTGGAAATTTCAGAAAAACATTCAGAAATTGAATTAAATTTAATCCGCAATAGAAGCTGAGTAATCCACAAGCAAAATTGAACATGTCCATCCTTTTATGTCTGAGAGTTCTNAGTTCAGCAACTCAAAGGAATCATCTTTCTTTTAAATAAAACTTTTTAATTGACTCATCGAAATTAAATCGATTCATATTTCAATTATTCAAATCAGCATAAAATGTTTTTCGTTTTTCTTCAATGAAAACAGTCATAAAATTTCATCAGTTTTCGTTTCATGTTCGAGCTGTGAAGACTTAAAAGAAATTAAGAAAATGAAGTTTGAATTGCTGACTGTTGTTCTTCTCATTCATATTTTGAGTGTGGAACAACTTATTTGAAAATTAGTGATATGGAGACGGATGAAATCCCCATCGATTCAATACATTCAGCCGAACCACCGACAAATTTTTATCCAGTAGACAAACAATCGTCGTTTTTTCTTCGTTGTGGTTGTTTTTTATCAATTCATTAATACAATTTGATATTTTAAGAGTTATCATGCTTGTACAATATTACAATAAAAGTATAAATTAATGTAGAGGAACAATTTATAAGATTTACAAAAAAAAATGAAGGATAATTAGATTAGAATTTATTAAATAAGATAGTAATGATTATTCAGACAACCTTCCGAGAGTATTGTGGAATACCCAGCTAAATTAAAAACTTTTGACGGAGCTGAGAACCGGAAACTGTCGAATATTACATAAAAATATTTTACAAAAGTAATAATCAATAATCAAGAATAATAATAATTTTAGAAATAATTAAGAATTGTGCAATGTTGTTTGTACCAGCATAGTTTCTGATGTCAGATAAGTGATAATTTCTTATGTCATATTCAAAGGTTCATGATAAGTTTTCCATACTTTAATGTGTTAAAATTGAATTCCAAGCAAGATTTCATTAAAGAACATTTAAGATGCATCAAAATGTGAATGCAATGTTTTAGTTTTATGAGTTAAACTGGATCTACATATTCTTTGATCATTCTTTAAAAACTCATTAAAGATTAAAATTGTGTTCTTGATTTAATTTATAAAAGACAAAAACGTTATGCGACGACTTCTCCATCTCAATATTAAATTTATGAAAAACCTGAACACAAAGAAATAAAATATTTCACATAAGGAGAGAAAAGAAATGCCAGCAAACAATCCAAGTAAACTTCCAACATTACAAATAAAATCGATGAGATTAAACTGACGAAATGATTTTAATGGAATGAATTCCGAATTCTTAAATTTGAAAGTTAATATTACTTCATCGCTTGATCTGCAAAAGAGAAGATAAAATGTGATCAATAATGAACATGAAGTCATTTTTGTTTCTTACAAATTACGGAATCTGCTCTCGATTATTTCGGTCTCAAAAGAAAGCTTTTCACAAGTTTTGAAACAATTACAAGATTCAAGTAATGAAACATCTTGCCCTCTTCGAATCATCAATTGCAAATCGCTAACGCAATTCATTGACTTTAAGTGACACACTTTTGTCAGAGGATCTCTCACAAATGAAAACGTAACGCAATGACAAATGCTTTCTGTATAGTTAGCGAAACATTCGATCTCACAATTACGTTTTGTGTAAGTTTTGAAGAATCTCAAACGCTTTTCTCCTTTTAAGAAACATTTTCGTTCATTCAACTCAAGAGATTCGACGTCTTCATTGATTGTTATCATTACTGGTGTGATCAAGATCTCAAGTGATTTTCCACCTTCGAAAACGATAACATCGTCAGATTGCAAGAGATTCATCGGCAGCTCGTTGTTTGGGTGAACAAAAAATGCTTTTTTGTAAGAATCTTTGTTGGCAGCTGAACTTGTCGAGATCTTGAATGTCAAAGAGTTGTCAGCTGATGCAACTTTCCATGGCTTTTCGGAATTGAATGTTTCTGATCCTACTTTAAAAATGATATCTTCATTGTTAAGAAAATCTTCTGAAAGTCTAGAAAGATTCAACAAAATATCTAATTAAATGAATAAAAAAAATAAGAATTTTCAACTCACTGATCAAATCTCAATATGCTGCTGACATTCAATGCATTGAAAGAAAGTCCGATGCCTTTTGATGTTAATACCTCCGAAAAGTGAGTTTCATATTTGTCCATCCACAAACCACTCTGATTTTGAATCCAACTTGTAGTTGAAATGTTTTTTATTTGGGGAATAATCAAATCAGAAAAGCTTCTAACATGGTAATTTGTATTATCTGAAATTTATGTTGAACATTTTTATAAATAGTTAAATTGTTTAATAATTACCCGAGTAACCAAAATTCACATGTACGTTTCGAATCAGCCATGTGACTGATTTCTTCATATAAAAATTGCCCTAAATTTGTAGCTTTACAAGTGGCTGTCATATAGCAGTCACATGCAAGTTTTGGTTTTTCGGGTTATTACCTTCTATAAATCGAGTTTGCTCGTAGAAATAATAAAATTTCCCAATAATTAAAGCATCAACTGTCATTCTAATATGTAGAAGAAAATAAATATTATGATGGTTTCTTCCAGCTTACTCCTTTTTATTTTCTTACCCTTTAAAAATGTCATGTGCGTGCCATGCATAAGTCTCGTTGAAGTCATCTGATAATGCTATGTTCTTAATGTATTCAGGCTTTTTTTTATGGGATTTAGCAAGGGATTTAGGATGTTCAGTGAAAAATGTGACAGCAGGAAACGGAATTTCTGAGACGCTCATTGGATTATCCATCACAGTCATGACTCCCTGCGTGCCAAGCTGAACATAAAGTTTTGATATCATAAACATGCATAGAGTCATGGAAATAACGAAACATGCAATCCAAATGAATCTGCAGACATTCAATCCAAGAATTTAAGAAATATTTAATCCTTAATAAATTCGTACCTTTCACTCAAGCTTAACTTTCGATCATTCATATAAACCAAGCCATGGATCGATGATTCTTTCATAAAAGAAGAAAATAAATTGCTTGAATCTTCTTCATTTCCTTTTTGTTTTTCACTTTTTTCACTTTTTCTGCAACTTTCAGAAGTGGTTTTGATGAAAACATGATAAATAATTTCAATCAACGAAAGAAAAGAGAAGCCAAGAAATAATCCCAAGTAACCACCAATGTAAGAAATTACATCAATAGATGACATGAAACTGCTGGTCACTAAAGGATAAAATTCTTCGTTCTTGAACCGAATGGATATAAAAGATTTTGGTGTATCTTCCATTTGCTTCTCCATATGCTTCTCTATCAAATCTCTAGGGAAAAAAATAAAACAAAAAAATCTGTGTTTTGCTAAATAAAGTAAAATCATACTTAATGAATAAAGATTTGCGTTTCTCGATGATATATTCGAGATTCTCACATAAATCCAAACAATTGCAGAATTCTGGTGGAAGTTCCCAAAAGGTTTTATGTGCTTCTTTGTAACATTTCTTTTTATCAACAGAACAAATTGTTGTCGAAGGACTTTCTAAATTTAAATGATCATTTTTATCATATAAAATGCGTGCAACATTTACTCACGAAACATGTAAAACGGAATGCAATCGCATTGATCTCGAATATAAAACCACAAACATTCGTGTTGACAATTATGCTTCGTATAGACTTTGAACATGAAAAGTTTCTTTTCGTCCTTCAGATAGCAATTGCGCCTAAATATAAAACAATTGGAAATAGCTTACAATCATTTACTTATTTCACTCACTTTTCATTTGGTAAATTCATCAAAGACTCGTCTAAGATCTTCAAACGAGGTTCTACGAGAAAAGTTACCTTTTCTTCCTCATTCAGAATCATTTGTTGATGACCTTCATAAGGCAATTCATAAGGATTGTGAATAAAAATGATGAATCCATTTCCAGCTTTCTTTGTTGGTTCGGTTTTGATGAGTCCTCGAATACCAGAACCATAATTATTTGTTTTCCAAGGATATATCTCCAGAGCTTCATCCAAAAACGCATCATCTCCATTAAAACTCAAATGAAGCTTCTCTAACTTCGCGAAATTAAAAGCGTGAGAAACATTGCTTGAATTTATGACATCATTAATATCGGCTAAGTTGATTGTTTGACAAATTCCACATGACATTAAAGATCTCCTTATTTCTACTAAATAACTATTCAACCAACTTCCACGGAACCATAAGGACGAGAAGACATTGCCTTCAATTAATTTGGAGATGTGTTTTGTAATTTCTGGCTGAATAGTATGAACATCTTCCCATGTATCATTATCAGTTATTAACTTCCAAGCAGTCCTAACCAATGCAGTATTTCTACTTGACGAATCTTTCAGAGTTGATGAACAGTAAGTCAAAGCAGGAAAAGAAATGTCAGTCACTTGTGTTGCAACATTGGATCGATACATAATTGTAGGATTTGATTCAATCCTTTCAAAAAGCTTCATCACTAAAATAATATTGCAACCGATGGAAACAATCAGAACGAAAATCCAAAATATTCTGAAAATTGAAAGAGTTCATTCACTTTCTAATAATTTGATTATTGAAATTTCTTTTCGAACTTTTCTGCTAATGAATTTCTTTTATTTGCAAGATATGCAAACCCATGAAGTGTTGTTGCTCTGAAATAAGTTTTCAACCGACTTTCCTTTGCCATTTTCCAACTCTCCACTTTGAATTCACTTCTAATTGTAAATTTTATTTGAACTTTAAAAACTATTTGTTCGAAATGTGCCATAATTACATATGCAAGATTTGTGTCAGTGCAGTGTGATTATTCATCCAGTACTTGAAACAATTTTCATGCAAAGTTTATCTTGATCATTCAACATTGAATTTTAAATTCACTAAATGTTCAAATGAAGCAAAATTTTAAAAAATTTCAATATTATTTTCTCAAACATATTTTTCTAAACATTTGTTGTGGAAATTTCAGAAAAACATTCAGAAATTGAATTAAATTTAATCCGCAATAGAAGCTGAGTAATCCACAAGCAAAATTGAACATGTCCATCCTTTTATGTCTGAGAGTTCTTTTCAGAGGAGTGAAAGTGGAATGTTTGAATTGAAAGCTAAGAAAAGTTTCATTAGTTGTCCTTTAAGAAGGAAAACATTATAAAATTACTTCCAATAGAAAATTTAATGTTTTACTTACAAATTCCTTAGTTTGTCTTCCAATATTTGTGTGTCATATCTTATCATGTCACATGGTTCCAAACAGTTACAATTCAGGTTCTGAACAGTGTAAACTTGAACCTTTTTATATCCTTCAATTTTATGTTTTTCATCACAAACTTCCGTGTTCCGATCTCTGACAACATCAAGCATAACACACCCCAAAGTTTTGTTTGTATGATCCGACATGCATTCCAATTCACAATTTCGTTTTGTGTAAACTTTAAATAATTTTAAATTCTTCTCATTTTCCAAGAAACATTTTCTGTCTTCAATTTTAAGTCGTTTGACATCATCATCAGTTGTAATCATGTAAGGTGAGATTAAAATTTTTAACGATTTTCCTTCATCGAACTCAATGATGTCATCATCAACCAAACCCAAAGGCAGTTCCAATGGAGAATGAACAAAGAAAGCGTGTTCAAGTTTTCGAGAATAAATCTCCATTGTAGTCAATTCAAGATTAAGTGAACCATGTGACGATATAAAAGCTTTCCATGGACGATCAGAGATAAATTTCTTCGTTCCACCTCTCAAAGTTATGTTTCTATCATAAAAGAAATCGCTAGAAATTCTGAAATCAAATTATTTTAATTTATCCATGCTTCTAATGCTTTATACTTAACTCAATCGTCTTGAACATGTCGTTAAAATCTAAAATATTGAATGAAATTCCCGTTCCACGTGATGTCATTACTTCTGCAAATTCAACTTGATGAGCTTCATTCCACACTGCTGTTTGGTTTTGAAACCAACTTGTTTTAAAGAGATCAAAAGAGGAAAGTTCTGAATTAACACAAAATCTGGAAATGTAGGATTTCTCACTTAGAATAGCCTTTAAATTTGTAGTTCCAGGGTTGTCTTGCAAAATATGTAACAGCCGGAAAAGCAATCTGAGATACTGAAATATCGTCTCCTTGTTCAATAATAATATCATTTGCCATGTCGTGAAAAGAAAATTTAATTATTATGTAAAAACTTCCAAGAACGCATGGAATTGCCATCAACACTTTCAGTGACCTAAAATTTAAAAAATCAATTAAACATATTTTCAATTTTCAAAATTCGCTTTGCAACAAACCTTTTGACGATACGAGTTGCTATCATTGAATCATATTTAAAGATCAGACACTTGATTCCATATCTTACAGTTGCGAAAACAATCGATGGGAAGGAAAACCCAACGAAAAGTAAAATCAATCCACCAATATGCGAAATGAGTTCAATGTTGTCATAACTTTTAGTTAAAATCAAAGGATAAAATTTTTCGTCTTTGAAGCGAACGTCAAACGATCTTTTGGTTATCGTATCCTTTTCAAATCTGTTGACAAGTTTCCTTTCAAAAAAATAACAAAATTTATGATTTATTGAGAATTTAAATAGAAGTTTATCTACCCAGCGAAAACAATTCTTTTCTTCTCTCCTTTGTAGCTGACACCATCACAAGGATCTAAACATTGGCAGGTTTCCTCGATTTCCTTTTGAAAATTAATTTTGGATCGAATGTAACATTTTTTTTCTTCGCTGCTGCTGCAAACTTTTGTTACTTTGCTTCCTAAATGATGAATATTTTAGCAATATAAATTAACTTAAATTTAAAAAATTTAAATTAAAAATGTTTACGTATCATGTAGAATGGCACGCAGCCACATTGATTTTCTGTAAATGACGACAAACATTCATGTCTGCAATTATGCTTTGTATAAGTTTTGAAGTAACGAAGCTTTTTTTCACCATGCATGAAACAATTTCTCTTATCAACGCTTGCATCTGTCAAAGAACTTTCAATTTTCTTGATGACGGGTGTGACGAGAAGCCGAAATGATTCGTTCAAATTCAGGTTGAATGTCTCATGATCTTCATACGGCAGTTCGTAAGGACTGTGAAGAATGACAATAAAACTTTCCGTCGTACTTTATGGTGATTTTATGAAAGATTAAGAAATTTAACTGAATATTAAAATACAATATAATACTTTTATATCTACTTTGATTGATATCTCGAATAACGCTTAAGAGGAGATGCTCTGTTTACAGCTGCAATATAAGCGCCGATATTTCCTTCATGTGATTTCAACGGAAATGGTTTCGTTAAAAAGTCAAATCTGAAATGGCTACCGGTAGGCATCTGAGCAAACTTTTCATTTGTAAGATAATTGAAGTGATTCGCAGTACGATCGAGATAATGAAGATTCTTTGCATGAACTAAATTAAATGTGAAGCATAATCCATACTTGGTGAATGAATTGGCGAAGAAAAAATTAAAATGATTTAACCAGCATCCTTCAATTGATACAAAATTGATCAATCTATAAAAATCCTCATAAAGTTCTTCAGAAAATTGGTAGGAAATATTTTCTTTATCTTGTTCCTTAAATGTATAAAAATCAGATAAAATCTTCCATTCGATTAACTTCTTTCTTTGATGCTCAGTTATGTTTTCATCACTGCTCAATAACTTAATTATTTCTGTTGGTTCCTTAAACCTTGAACAGAAAGTGAACGCAGGAAAAATGATATCAGAAATGTGATGAGCATTATTTGACGTGACGACAATTGTTGGATGCTTATTATGTGTTCCAATAAGCTTGACGATAAAGAAAATCGCACAACAAATTAAAAGGAAATAAATGCATCCCCAAACAATTCTGGAAATTTGATTTGTTAATAAAAAAATAAAAACAATTAAATAAATTTTACTTTTCTGTTTTATTCCTTTGTGGATTCATTGCTTATGCAACTGTCGGAACTTATAAAACTAAATTGAATTTACTGAAAGTATTTTTAATAATAGCACGATGGATGTCGTGTTTAAAATCGTGTGTAAAATACGAATTGTAGATCTTATCTTANCTGGAGCTGGTGTTCCTGCAGCAATTGGTGGTTGCAATGTGGCTTTAGGTACGTATAAAAGAAAATATTTTTTGATTTGTGTTTAGAATTCTTATTTTTGCAATAATTTTTAAGGGGCCTGCATGGCCGGTTGTGTTGCGGCAGGATTTGCGCCTACACCATAAAATATAAGTATCTATACTTGTAAAATAAAACTTTAAACTCCTTATTTCGCTTTTTATAATATAATGACCATCAAAATTGAAAGGAGTAGAAAACGTTCACAAACCAAATAAAGAACAATATTTTAAAAAATGGAACTTACTTTTATGTTGCTTAATTGTTATTTCTGATTGAGTCTACATTTTAACTAAACTCAAAACATTGAATTTGTAAAGAATCACTTTCAGATAATGTCAATTTACCATGAAATAATAAAACACAAGCGAAACTTGTGAGAATGGGGTCGATTTAGTGATCTTATCAGCATTCGCTTTCGTTTATCGTTTTGTTCTTTTAGCAATTATCAAGGAAGTTATATTTTTCTTAGAAAAACTTAAATTGCATTTTGATATCATTTTATCTTAATCTTGAGACGACAAAAAATCCAATTTTTATTGAATATCAAACTTTTGCGTTGAACATGAATCAACTCCGCTTAAAGCTTATAATCTAAGAAAATTTAATTTGATAGTCATGATTCATGAAGTAATTTCTTCTGTCTTGCATTACTTTGCGTTCTTTATTGATTTTTTAACATTCACATTTTACTGATTTTACATCGAAATTATAATTCGCACCAGCTTGATTTATAACAGCAGACTGACCTGTTTTGTTATATATAAAAGTGTCACTAAGACAGATATACTATTTTGTATATATACATTTTGATTGTTAAATAAATCAGTTATCATTTGACCTTAGAACCAACGACATCATCTCTTTCATTCCTCTCACGATCATAACACTTTGCATGAACTAAATTAAATGTGAAGCATAATCCATACTTGGTGAATGAATTGGCGAAGAAAAAATTAAAATGATTTAACCAACATCCTTCAATTGATACAAAATTGATCAATCTATAAAAATCCTCATAAAGTTCTTCAGAAAATTGGTAGGAAATATTTTCTTTATCTTGTTCCTTAAATGTATAAAAATCAGATAAAATCTTCCATTCGATTAACTTCTTTCTTTGATGCTCAGTTATGTTTTCATCACTGCTCAATAACTTAATTATTTCTGTTGGTTCCTTAAACCTTGAACAGAAAGTGAACGCAGGAAAAATGATATCAGAAATGTGATGAGCATTATTTGACGTGACGACAATTGTTGGATGCTTATTATGTGTTCCAATAAGCTTGACGATAAAGAAAATCGCACAACAAATTAAAAGGAAATAAATGCATCCCCAAACAATTCTGGAAATTTGATTTGTTAATATAAGAAAAAAAACAATTAAATAAATTTTACTTTTCTGTTTTATTCCTTTGTAAATTCATTGCTTATGAAATTGATGGAACTTATAAAACTAAATTGAATTTACTGAAAGTATTTTTAATAATAGCACGATGGATGTCGTGTTTAAAATCGTGTGTAAAATACGAATTGTAGATCTTATCTTAGATATGTTTGAATTTGTAGATTTTGTAAAGATCTTTATAGAACTATTAAAATAATTTAAGTCTTTTGTCGACTCTGTGTCTACCATTTTTGCTTGTTATTGCATTAATATTGCAGTTAAAACTTACGAATTTAATTCATCAATGAAAAAATGAGCGTTGTGTCGATTTACACGTTCACCTCTTAAGTTGATCGATCGTATGATGTTGATGTCAGCATTTCCAGTTGTAATTCAGTAAGTTTATTACAAACATTAAAGTTCAGCAACTCAAAGGAATCATCTTTCTTTTAAATAAAACTTTTTAATTGACTCATCGAAATTAAATCGATTCATATTTCAATTATTCAAATCAGCATAAAATGTTTTTCGTTTTTCTTCAATGAAAACAGTCATAAAATTTCATCAGTTTTCGTTTCATGTTCGAGCTGTGAAGACTTAAAAGAAATTAAGAAAATGAAGTTTGAATTGCTGACTGTTGTTCTTCTCATTCATATTTTGAGTGTGGAACAACTTATTTGAAAATTAGTGACATGGAGACGGATGAAATCCCCATCGATTCAATACATTCAGACGAACCACCGACAATTTTTGAAACGACAGAATTCCATGAAGAGTTCACACTGAAATCTTTCGATCTCATCACAGAATCGTCTGAAATAATAGAAACGGAAAACACAGAAGAACCTTCAAAAAGCATGTCAGCATCTGATGAAACTAAACACGTTAAAACAATTAACAGTGGAACATGTTTTCGACTTATGATGACAGTCGTGGAAAAGTGGAGTGACGAATATCTAAATAGAAATAGCGAAAAATTCAAGACACTTGCGTCAGGTTTAGGAATGGAACTTATAGATTTAATTGATAATTCAAAAGAATCAACTGAACCCAACATGACAACGTTTAAACTTGTAGAAGTTGTCCCATCGAAAGATTCGCCAGATAAAATTTATGTAACATTTATTGTGACATCTAAGAATGAAATCAGCGGTGAAGACTTGAGCATCGCAGTTTCAACTCAAATTAGTTTGTATCAAAGTATCTACGAGTACAGTGCAACAAGTGATGGATTTGTCGTTGAGAATATTTCTGAAGAAATCGCTGAAAGTTATGATGTTGAGAATATTGCTTGTAATTCAGGTAAATTAAGCAAAGACAAAATTATTTATTTTCAAATGATTTTTACGTTTTTATTTGTTGTTTAATTTAAAAATAGTTTGATGGAAAATAAAAACAAAAATTATAATATATTTAAATTTATCCTAATTTTCCTCTCTAAATTTTATTACAGGTGAACGCTTTCATTTTGCATTGAACGCAACATCGAAGGAATCGTTAGAACAACCACGAGAAATGCACGAACCGGTGGAAAATCTTGAATTTCATTCAAACTTGCAATGCAAGCAGGAAAAGATTGAACGTGGATCAACATCGATTTATATTTTTGACAGTCAACAAAATTGTGCTGACTCAGTGAGAAGAAAGTTTTCCGAAAACAATTTAAAAGAATTAAACGATGGAGAATACGAAGATGACATGATGGCTGACGAAGCGGAAAAGGAAGACAAAAACAAGAACTTCGATTGTGAAAAGAATTTTAAATCATCGATCGATGAGAAAAACTTTGCTGATGAAACTGTAATTGTTATCAGAAAACGTGGAAATAAAGTTTTTGTTGAATTGTGAAAGAGAAAAAAATGAATTAAATTTACGTAAATTAATTTAATTTTGATGATTCCATTAAACTTTTAATTGGAGTTTTGCTTGGAGTTTTGTTACAATTGTCAGCACTTCTTTAATTTTCAGACTAAGGAAAGTTCTCGAGGTGTCAAATAAGCTCACGACGTTGTTTGTTCAATTTACTTTCCTTAGCAACACTTCCATGCATATTTATGTAAAAGTTCAACATTGTATAAATTTGTAAGTGGAATAAACAAAAAGTTTTCAATCTGCGCAGCAAAAAATGTCAATTAAAAAGATTCGCAATGAGAAATTTCATCCTTTCATCAAAAGTGAAGGTGTTTTCATTGGAAATGGGTTGAGTGAACCTCCAACTGTGAAATTTATTGAGAAGGAAAAGCTTTGGCATGAAAATCTTGAACCTCGACTCAGACTTTTCTATCATAACACTTTGAGCTCTACAAGACGTCACGCAAATTTTATGAATGTCAAGTGAGTGAAGTTTTAACATTTTCATAATAATTTATTATAAATTTATTGGTTTTTTAGATCACCTAGAGATTCTCTAGACATTATACTAAGCAGTGAATACAACCACTCAGACGATCTTTTCAGAGACAAGGAAGAAGTTTTTCGACAGCCAGAAACAAACGACAAGGAAACATTCCGAAGGTTGCGTAACACTCAAGACATTTACATCAATCCTCCAGTCTATTTAAGTCATCCACTAAAAATAGGTGGAATCTCTGAAAGAAAATCTATTTACAGTGTGAAACTGATTAACTCAGGAGTTCATGGTTCGAAGACAAATCACGGCTATAGTCGACAGAATGTTGACGGAAATTTCTTCAACTATTAAAAAGTTTAAATTTCATCAACTTTATCAACTAATAAAAGCAAAAGATTCGCTGAGATTTTATGTTTTTATTTAAGATTTTTTGTCGAATTTGTTCAACTGGTTTATCGTACAAATTATCGATTCATAAACTTTTATGACTTCGCATTAAAGAATAAATTCATTTGGGGATACTGCATAGTTCAATCGGAGACAGATTTTGAAGCTATTCTTAACTATTCTCATGTTTTATAAATTTAATTATCTCGATGAAATCAAACTCCTATTTAGCTATGAGATAATTAAATTTGTAACCAACATAAAAGAAAGTTTCAAACTCTGTAACAAACAAAATGACTTCTCTCATCTACTGAAAGTTTCCTAATGAAGCAATTAATTTAAGCGTTTTCGTATTAATTAAAAAAGTGATTAAGGGACGCAAAACTGGCTGCTTAAGTGCTGTCATCAGTAATTAAGACTCACTTCACATAATTTAAGCACTAAGTACAAAGCTATAACCTGACTTGACTTAGGTAGGGTGGAACAAAAATTCTTTTTTTTTGACTTCAAATAATACTTTGCAGTTCAAATGAATTAAAAAGATGAAAAATAAGGACAAATTGAAGATGATAAATAATTAAGTGCATCGTAAGGATTTTTTCCAATCAAATGACGGATTTAGTAAAAAAAGAAATAAATTAATATGAACGAATTGCTGGTGGGACTGTTTTGCATTCTTCTTCACCCAATGTGTGATCAATGACGGGTCGGTAGTCAATGTGAACGTCGCCGGTGTCATTGTTAATCCACGTGAGTGTGTGTTTGCGCCAATGTTCTGTTATTGGTTTCTTCTGTTGTCCTTCAAGTGGCTTACTGTAATCATATTCATCGCTACGATCTTTGTAATCTTCACGAGCGTGTGCACCACGTGATTCCTTTCGATTCTCAGCTGACACAATCGTCATGTTTGCATTCAATAAAAGATTTTGTAACTCAAGAGTCTCAACAAGATCCGAATTCCAAATCAATGAACGATCAGACACTTTGACATCTTTGATGGATTTGTAGATGCTGCTCATTTTCTGCACACCTTCCTTGAGTGTCTTCTCTTCACGGAACACAGCTGCATGATTTTGCATCGTCTTCTGCATATTCAAACGTAAATCTGCTGTTGGAATTGTTCCATTGGCATTTCGCACCCAATCAAGATTCGCGACTGATTCTTCTCCAGCATTGTCAGGAAGTGCTGCAACTTTCTCACCAGGACGATGTTCTTCTGAAATGGTCTTGGCACATGCACGTCCAAACACAACAAGATCGAGAAGTGAATTAGCTCCCAAACGATTTGCTCCGTGAACTGATGAACAGGCAGCTTCACCACATGCATAAAGTCCAGGAACAATTTGATCGTCACCATTTTTGTTAATCGTAAGAACTTGACCGCGATAATTCGTCGGAACACCGCCCATGTTGTAATGGACAGTCGGCAGAACAGGAATCGGTTCACGAGTGACATCAACGCCAGCAAAGATCATCGCAGTTTCAGAAATTCCAGGTAAACGTTGTGCAAGTTGCTCTGGGGGCAAATGATGCAACTGCAAGAAAACATGATCCTTATCGGGTCCACATCCACGACCTTCACGAATTTCAATTGTCATTGAACGAGAAACAACGTCACGGGATGCAAGATCCTTAGCGACTGGTGCATAACGTTCCATGAATCGTTCTCCCTGAGAATTGATGAGATAACCGCCTTCACCACGACATCCTTCAGTGATCAAACAACCAGCACCGTAAATGCCTGTTGGATGGAATTGAACGAACTCCAAATCTTCTGAAGGAAGTCCAGCTCTTGCAACCATCGCTGTTCCATCACCAGTACATGTGTGTGCTGATGTACATGAGAAATACGCACGTCCATAACCACCCGTGGCAAGGACAGTATTTTTTGCGCGGAATCTATTAATAAATAAAATGAATGACGTCAAATGCTTGATAATTAACAAATTTGTTTCTTTGGTTTTGCTTCACTCACCGATGAATCGAACCATCTTCTAAATTTAAGGCAATTACACCACGACATTCTCCATTTTGCATAATCAGATCCATGGCGAAATATTCAATGAAATAATTGCAATTGTAACTTAAAGATTGTCCGTAAAGAGTGTGGAGAAGTGAATGTCCAGTTCTGAAATGATTTAAGTTAAAAAACATTCAAAATTATATGAAATTTTTACCTGTCAGCGACACAACAACATCTATGAGCTTGTCCGCCTTTTCCATAATTGTAACTTTGACCACCAAAAGCACGTTGGTAGATTTTACCATCAGTTGTACGTGAAAATGGCATACCGTAATTTTCTAATTCTATGACAGCTTTGGGAGCTTCGCGGGTCATGTAATGAATTGCGTCTTGATCTCCAAGCCAATCAGAACCTTTCACTGTATCGTACATGTGCCATTTCCAATCATCATTCTCCATATTTCCAAGAGCTGCATTGATGCCGCCTTGAGCAGCAACTGTGTGCGATCTTGTGGGAAAAAGTTTCGTTACAACAGCAGTTTTGAAGCCTTCGGCAACAAGACCGAAAGCTGCTCGAAGTCCAGCACCGCCTATAAAAGTTTAATTAAAAAAAATTGAAAAAGAAAATCTTGAATTAAAAAGGAAAATTTACCTGCACCAACAACAACTGCATCATATTCATGATCGATTACTTGATAAGAAGTTGATATCGCATCACTGTTTGCCTTTGAATTGTTGGAACCAACTGTGAAGTGAAGGTTTCTTGTTGAACTTGCTGAAACTGCTTTCAACTTTAAAAAGAAATAAATTATTGAGGTTTCTTCAATTAAAATTTTTTCCAATTATGACGATGTTTATAATTAATTTATCATGACAAAGATAAAAACTTTATGTTGACGTAAAATTATCAATTAAATTATGTAACACGAAAATCGGAAAATTATGATAAATATTGTAAATTAAACTATTTTTTCAGAGATAATATATTAAAAGATATGAGGACTTACAATATTCTGTGTATTTTTCGCGAATAACGTTGAGCACTTTAATATTCCGCTCATATTTACGTTTTTGCTTACTAAAAAAAATCAAATCCACACAAGAACGAAGTTTACTTTTTTTCTCACATATCAAAACATTCCTTGACTGACTGTCAAAAAACTAAGTTCATCAAAATTTAAATTTTTGTGACCGTTGATCATAATTTTTCTCTTTATTTACGTTTAAACATTTACTGATGATTTTTACATCGTTGCATAAATTTCAATTCAATAATTTCAGTAAAACTTAATTTTAGAATTTTTAAAAAACACATAGATAAGTCAAAAATATTAAACTGCAAAAACAAATATGTAAGAGTGAAGTATGAGGATTACAATAATTTGATCATTTCTTCAATAGATTCATTTATCACGCTTTAGCTTTTGTTAAAGTTTAATTTTTCTGTCCTTGTTAAAATCTGATTTGCTATCACAATTTAGGTTCTTATATTTTTTTTTGTGGATTCTTTTCTCTTTTCAACAACATGTGCTCATATTCCTTTTTTTAAGCAGGATTTAAATTCACTTTTGTAGGTATTTATATTAAGAAAATATCTCCACTTAGTTCGATATCTTTTCAAAAGATTGGGTTAAACAAAATATGTAAAAGGAACTGATAAGTTTTTCATTGCAGATACCTCTATTAACTAATAAATTGCATTGCATGCGCATCTGCTTATTAGTTTCAAACCTCTGTTTGAAACTTTATTTTCTCAAGAGAAACTTAGAAAGTAAACTATCAACTAATCATTTTTATATCAATTAGGTATTTCATTGAAAGTGATAAGGAAAATCAAAACTTATGTGAAGAATAATTTTTAACATCAAAAGCTGCTTCTATTCATTCACAATGAGAAATATTTCAAGAACTGTTGTGGTGGAACAAGTTGGGTTTGGGAGTCATGAGAAACGCCTGCTTTCTCTAATTTTTCGCGGAATTCTGGATTTTCGGCGATACAAGGATGACCCATGGAAGGCCAAAACAAGCAAGTACAGAAACGACACAAGGCCAAAACTTCAGTGTATTGGAAGTCATCACGCAATCCATATTTCCTAAAAAAAATACATAAAACAAATGTGAAAATCCAAGTCAAGGTCGTTAAAACTTCACGCTCACTTTCTGAGATTATGATAAATCGCATGCCAATTACGATGACGTTCTGGAGTATCTTCCAAACTCAATCTTACGAGCACAGTATCAATTTGTTGCTCGCTAAAATGAAACTTGGCTAACTCCCTCCAAATTCTTTGCTCCTGAACAATGTAAGACATGAGTGACCAAGCTGAAGCTGCCGATTCCAAATCTTTGTGATCACTCATTTGCAAGATTATCTTTCTAATACATTCTTCGGGTAAATCAGTTAAATGTGGATGAATATTGGAATTTGGTTGTATGTCAATTTGACTAGCAATTCTCTGAATACGTTCGATTGTTTGGAGATGTGCAACCCACAGATTTTGACTGCCTAATGGTTTTCCCCAACACTTTTGATTTTCTTGTTCAACCAACAACCGCAATTGATCAACTAAGCCTCTTAAAGTGTTAATATGTTGCTTGCTATCGCTGACATGAATTGCAACTTCTTCAATCATTTGAAGAAGAATTCGTTGAGCACCTCCTGATAAGCTTGTCATTGCAGCTTCGCCTGACACCAATAGCTTCAAAAGTGCGCAGATGTATTGAAATCTTCTTTGATTTCGTACGGAAGACCGGAAATCTAAACGCTTAACAGCATCCCCAAGACCATTGAAACCCGCAATTTCTCTAGTACAACGCAAAACAATCTGACAATGTGGTGGTGGGACCGAATCTAGTTGAGCTTCATCTTGTCCATCTGTTGCGCTTCTGTTAAACATATAACAAGAAGGAAAAAAATCAAACTTAATTTGTATCGATTTTTCTATACAATTTTTTTTCTTCTCTGTTATTAATTTTTCACTTCCTGATTTCGTAATAAATGTCGATTTTAAGAGTCAATTACTTACCTTTTAGTTTCGCACTCGAGTACTTTAAGTTTTTCCCAATTTCCTTCATCAGTCTTGACCCATTCTTCGCCATACGACCTCCAATCCTTTGAGATGAATGGCATTTTTCTTAGTAAAAAGCAGAAAGTTTTTTTTTCTCTTGCGGAGATGAAAATTAATTGAAATGTCTTGCAACTAATCTGTTTGACTTTAAATTGCGTCTTAAACTGAACAATATTCAATGCTTTTAATTGATTTGGGTTTTTGTCTGGCAATTTCCAACTTCTTTGAGTAGCTTTTTGGTCTAGTGGAGCTATTTTTAGTTTATTTATTTTTTTCCTTCTGTTTTTCGTTCGATTGACTTTCACTTTGTTGTTGACTATTGCGCAAATTTCATGTTTTCCGTATTTCTCAATAAATTTATCACTTTTATCACAACTCTGAACTTTACTTTTATCCTTATTCAATTAGTAACTTAATATTATGAATAATTTTAGGTTTAATCCAGGAATTTCGAAGAATTTTTGTTAATTTTATTGCTGTTTAGAGGAAACTCGACTTCTTTGTTGAAGAAAAAAAAATCGATGATTGAAAGAGAGAGGGAGACAGAGAGCAAAACAAAAATCATATGAAGTTAATGTTTTTGCTCGTTGAACAGTTTTGTTGTAAAACAATAAACATTGAGGTGATGGACAAATATTTTTTGAAAATAAATTTAAATTTCTACTGACCGTTAAAATTATGCAAAAACATGAACTTTAAAGAATATTCCAAATTTTTATCAACAGGTAGATATTAGCAATTTGTAGAATCTTTTAAGAATTTAACTGCTGAAGATCATGTATTGAAGATCATTTATTTTTATTCTTTTATAGCTTTATTATTTATTTTTTCTACGCAATTTGAAAAAGCTTCGAAATGTACTCATCAAAAGTTCATAATCAGAAGTTGTCGCATAAAGCTTAGAAAACAATCAGAACACAAGGAACGTTTTGAAAAAACATTAATATGTGGACATAAAATTAAGTTTCACTTTTCTATTCTAGCTTGCTTCTATTCATATTGACAAATGAAATTATCAGCTTATTGTCAAAAAAAAAAAAGAGTAATTAACAAGAGTTTTCACTTCGTTATTCTTTGATTATTATCTACTTATACAATTAGGAAAGTGAAAAAATTAGAAGACAATTTTCAAGATCATGATTTTATTGAAATTATATATGAACGTCGCTTTCATTCACAAATACATCAAGTTAGTAAACAAATAAAATGAAATGGGATACCTAAGAAGAATAAACGAAGAAGAAAATAATGAATTAACGTTAAGAGAGTTGCGAAAGACTTCTCAGTCATCTTCAGGCTTTTGAAGTGAGAAGGTGCAAAAGAAACAAAATAATTAAAAACAACACAAGACTCAACCTACTTAGTCAAAGAAAATTCTGGTCAGCATCATTCATTTTAATGAACAATTGAAGATTATTCTTTTGCACAATACTAAAGTTCGACAAGAAGAAGAAAGTTTGAAGCATAATAAGAAAAGAAAAGATAAAAAGAAATAAAACAGTTTAACTGTTATTTGACTTCGTTTTCAAGCCACATTACATTCTTACATTTCACTGCTGCCGTTCACAAACATCAAACGTAATCAATCGAGTTTCGTGTTAAATAAATTGTTCCATTAGAAACATACAATTATGAATAAATTTGTCGTCTTGTTAGTTATTTTGTTGAAAATTCTCAGCTGCATAAAAGCTGAAACTCGTGAGTAAAGATAAAGTGTTTCATTTTAAATTATGAACGTTTTCAATCCAAATTATCTACTGAAGCATATTTCGTCGAGAAGTGTTATCGTGATGACCCGGAAGTTGACGAGTGCCTAAAATACTCTGGCAACAAGCTTGCAAGCTTCTTACACGAGGGAATACCTGAGTTGGGACTTGATGAAGTTGAGCCAACAGTTATCGATGAAATAACAATTGCCCTTGGAGATGGACCGGATGCTTACAGAGCTACTTTTTCAAATATTGAAGCCTACGGTGTCAGTAACATAAGTCTTGCAAGAGTCAGATCAGATATTGATACTTACCAGTTTCAATTAACTTATGAAATCCCTAGAATCAGAGTCAGATCGAATTTTAGATCATCTGGAGTTTTGTAAGTTTATTGAAAATTCTTCAGTGATTATGAATTTCTATATTTTGTTCTTTGAAGACTTCTTATTAAAGCAGCTGGATCGGGAGAATATTGGGGTGATTACGAAAACGTCAGATGCAAAGTTTACTTCAAAGGAGTTCCTTATCAAAAGGAAGATGATGACAGAACATTCTTGAGTGTTGAAAGAGTGAAAATGGATTTCAGTGTGCAGGAAATAACAATGGGAGTTGAGAGTGAAACCGACAATCGAGTCATTCGTAAGTGTTACTAATTATTTGCATATTTCTTTCAAAATCATTTTCTTATTGAAATGTGTTAACTGACAGAGGCCGCAATGAATTTATTCATCAACTCAAACGCTCAAGAACTTTTGAGAGAAATGAAGCCAGCATTGAAAGCAAAGTTTACAGTTCTTTTACACAACTTTATGGAAAATCTCTTTTCAAAAATTCCATTCGATGAATGGGTGGAATAATGAAAATTTGTTGTTGTTTTTCTTTATAAAGTTTTTATATTTATTTATTGAAATGTGAAATAAATATTTTAAATAAACCTTAAATAAATCTTCATTTAGTTTTAACTTCATATAAAAATTTTGAGAATGCCAGAAAATTGCGAAAAATAAAATCGCGTCAGCTAAATTCTACTTTAAATATTTCTTTGTAAGAGCGACGAAACTGCAGTGAAGGCTTTTGCATTTAAAGGTGTCGATGGTACACGCAAGTACAAAGGCTTCCAATGCAGTTTCATCGCTCTTACAAAGAAATATTTGAATTAGAATTTAGTTGACACAATTTTATTTTTCGCAATTTTCTGGCATTGTCAAAAATTTTCTGAAAAAAATCTTAATAAGTGAACACTTTTAAAATCAGAATTGCTCAAGTGTAAGTAAGATTTTTCGTGACAAGCTTGTAGTGTTTTGATGCAAAAGCAATTTTCTGTGGAGCGAAAGATGTTAAAAGCTTGAGGAATGATTGCAAAGCTTACCAGTTTACATTAAACCGCGACACGATAAAGATCGAAAAATAACATTTTTAAATATTCTACAGAGTGAATTAAATCAAAAACATTTATTTTGGGAAAAAGGTTCTAAAGTTAATGATAAGTTTGATTCATTTAAATTTATTTTGTCATTTTTATTCACTTGATTAATCAGAACAAATTTTTTTTTGAAAATCACAGATTACACTTAAATAAGTGAGAATAAACTGAAATTCTAATAATCTTCTTTGTCATCGATAAATATTCATTAAGAAATCTTAATTCATCTCAAAAATTTATCGAAATTCATTAAGAAAAATGCTTAACAAGAATAAGAAAATCGCAAAAATATCGATCAAGGCAATCTGTCAATTTGTTTACTCTGAACTTATAAAACATCTACCAAGCACCAACATTGAACGAAAAAATTCTGTTGAAGCATAAATGTATGAAGCACTGTAAAGTGTAATTGAACTTGTCTTGTCAATGCTCGTGGTGCAAGTTTTCACCTGCACGGTAACATGGAGTTGTAAATGAAATATTTTCAAGCTCAATGTGAGCATGATGCAACTTCTGTCTGTATTTAACTGATTTCAAAGGTGAATCAAGGCCAATTCAAGCAGCATTCAATGAGATGCTTGAAAGAAGCTTGATAAGATTTTCATTCATGCAAATGATGTCAAAATCTTTAAAATTTTTATATTCCTCTTGCGATTCTTCAAACTATGAAATTCTTGGAAATATTCAAATAATCTTAATGAATATTCCAAAACCAAAGCATAACAAGATACTCCAATCTTGACAGATCGGAGTTGCACCAACCGGTTAATGAATTTGTCTCGTTTTATCTTTAATTGTAGACTTACAGTAGTGAAGTGTCTACCATTACTGCGTTAAAAGTTCAGTGTCGAATCAAAACATTCATTCAAGTTATGAGTAACAAAAAATTTATGACTTACTTGATCATTTTCATGGCCGTGAACGCCGAAGAACTTCGTAAGTGTTTCGTGCTATTCCATTCATAGTTTTTGATTCTTATTGAATGAACTTTTAATTGTGCAGCTGATTTTCTTCTCGTTTGCAAGAAAAGTGATCCGAACATAGTAGGATGCGTTGAAAATTCAGTTAATAACTTAAAACCACATTTGAAGGTGGGATTTCCACAATATGACATCCCATCACTCGAGCCAATTGATCTCGGCAATTTAATTGTCGCTGGAAGTAAGACAGGTCAAGGAGTTTTCATCACAGCAAATGACATCAAAGTCGAACTATATTTGAGAACTATTTATGAACATTTCTTAACTTCTGATTTCGTTTTTAGGCTTACGGTGCTTCCAATTGGAATCTCAAAAACTTTAAGTATGATTAATGATTGTCATGAGAAATATTTTTGAAAATGTCTCTTAAAAATTTAATTCCAGCATCGGCGAGTACGCGTCGAAATATAATTTTCAAATAGAACTGCCGCATTTGTATGTAACTGGAAGATATAATGTTGATGGGAAAATTCTTGTTATACCGATCAAGGGAAGTGGAAAATTCACTGGAAACTTCACTGGTGGTGCAGGCGATGTCCGAGTCAAAGGAATTCATAAACAAATCAACGGCGAAACTCATTTCATTGTCAGTAAATTAGACATTAAAATTACTGTTTCAAAAGGAAAAGTTACACTTGAAGATCTTTTTGGAGGCGATAAAACACTTGGCGATATTATCAACCGAACAATCAATCAAAACTTTGAAGTTCTCAGTCAGGATCTGATTCCACTCATTGAAAAATCTTTGGCGAGAATATTTAAACGAACTGCTAATAAAATTCTTGAACGTTTCACAATGGCACAATTATTTCCATTATGAACTTTCAATTTTTTTCTTATATCTTAATGTTAATTATTTATAACAGATAAATATTATCAAACAATTTTTTGGAAAGAAATCTGTAAATAAATTTCCTTTGATTTTCAACATTCACATTCTAAATTAATTGCATTTTGTTTATTAATTTACATTCAGAGATTGCGCTGCTGTCTTGTTAAGTTTAACTTTCAACAGGTTTGATGTTCAACCAAACTGCACCATCAGGTCCATGAATTAGTGTGACTGGATTGATTTTTATTGGATTATCCGTTAGATTACAAGGTGAAAGTTTGTAATTGTGTAAGATCATTGCAATTCCTAGTTTTGTTTGAAGATAACCAAGTCTCATGCCGATGCAATAACGTGGACCTTTTAAGAACATTTATCAATTTTAAGTTCAAATTAATTCCTTAATTAAACATTCACCTTCTCCGAAAGGAAGTGAAGCAAATTGATGTCGTGTTTGCTTCATTTCTGGACTAAATCTTTCTGGGTCGAACTTCAATGGTTCAGGAAATAATTCAGGATCTCTGTGAAAAGCTAAGCAAGGAATGATGATTTTTGTACCTTCTTCGATGATCGATCCATTGGGTAATTTATAATCTGTCGTCACTGTTCGATGAAGTGTTGCAACAGGCGGATTCAATCGCATTGATTCTTCAATCACTTGTTCCAAATAAGTCATTTCCATGATCGCATCGTAACACCACTCATTGTTATGTTTTTCAAGAATTTCCTTGATAGATTTTCGAACTTTCTCTTGAATCTCTTCATTAAATGCGAGGGAATGAAGAGTGAAACAGCTGACAGTTGAAGAAGTCTCAAAGCCTTAATGCAAATTATCAAAATCAAATTTAAATTTTCATAATTTTCTCACCTGCAAAGTACATGACATAAGCTTGTGCTGCAATTTCATTAAAGGTGAGTTTCTGGTTGTCTTCGTCAACTGTTCCATCTTTCTTCATAAGATTTATCAACAATTGCATAAAATCTTTTCTTTCATTGCCTGTTTTCTTGCGATAATCAATTGTCTCCTTCACTAAATTTAAAAAGAAATTAGCCACATCAACGTCATTAAATCGAACACCCAACCGTTTTGCTAGTTTACTAAATGACATCGCAAAAGTTATTTTCAAAGACTTCCACTTTCCAAAGTTTAACATTCTTCTTCCCATCGTTCGAAATTCTGTTTCAGGATTTTCTAATGAATTTGATTCGATTCCAAATGCACATGAACTAATGACATCGATGTTGAATCTTGCAAGAAGATCGTAAATGTCAACATCTTCCGATTTATCAGCGAGTGGCTTCAGATGACTAACAAAATTATTTCCGACATCAAGTATTGTAAAAAACATTTGTTTCAATCTTCCAGAGGTGAATGTGGGCGTTAATTTCGCTCTTAAATCTCTCCATCGTTGACCTTCGAGAAAAAATATGTTGGCACTTAATGGATCGATTTCTTCGTTACAAAACACTCCGCGATCAACAAAATAATTAAAATCACGCACTAGAACAGTTTTTGCAAATTCACAACTCAACACCAACAACGTTGGATTATAAAAAAAGTAAATTCCACAATAATCTCCCGAATGTTTCATTTTCGTGTATAGATTTTGAATTACGCAGCCAAAATGAGATTTCCCTTTTAGAATTTCAGCGATGTTTCCAGTTGGAAAATCGGGCTCAATGTAAGGCACATTTTTGTTACTCCAATATTTGAAATTCTTTTTAAAGTTGAAATAAATCAACACAGGAATAATCAGAAAGACAGTGAAAAGTAAAATTCCCAACATTTTAATTTATTTATTCACTTAAACTGAAGATAAATCAATAAATACTTGACTTGTACGTTTTGTTATCTCTGCGTTTCAACTCATACTAACTTTGAGTTTGAGAGATTTTAAAACCTTACTTATCTGTGTATACGGCGACGTTTCACTTCGCTGATTGTTTTGTAATTTGAGAATTCTCTTCAATAGATGTAAATTTGATACTTCGTTTAACCTTCTAATAGAATGAATGAATATCGACATGCAATTGGGGCTTTGATGTGTACTCGTGTTTGGATGTTGAAGATTTTCTTAATCAATTACTTATTTAATTATTTAAAATGCATTAAGAAATATTTTATTGTTGATCAACTAAACTTTCTACCGAACAGATAAACATTGTAATAAAAATATTCTGTTCGCTTTGATTCAATCACTAATGTCATGTAATTTTTACCAATTCCACCGTCAGTTGTGTAAGCTCTGCCAATAAGCGACGATTGCTCTACAAGACATGAAATGTGTGTGATGTAGAAATCTTTTTGTTCTGGATATCTCAGCTCAATATAGAAATCTTTTGTTGATCCAAAGTCAAATTGGCCGCGGTTATTTGCAATCAAACCATCTCCAGAAATTCTTTTTCCTCCAATGTACCATTTTTGTTCCACAAGAGATTCTCTTTCACCTAAATAAAGCTTTCATTTTAATCTTTTCTAAATAATTAATTCAATTAACATACGTTGCTGATACGATCGAACATCGTCTTCATTTATAAACTTCACAATTATCGAAGAATTCTTATAAATTGTTCCAAAATCTAAAGCACAACTAAATGAAACAAAAAGCAAAATCGAAACGAAAGTTTGCATTGTGAACTTAAAGTTTCAAACTTTCCACCAAGTCATTTGATTTTTTGAAGTAAGAGCGACGCTCTTTTATAGAAAAATGCTTTACGATAACAGCTTTAGACTGTTACGAGATTTCACGCTGACTATCGCTCGAATTATGTCACTCCATGGGAGTTTTCCAAGGTAAACAAAAAACTTTTTTGTTGCTCTGAAATTCTTTCAAATAGAAATGACAAATAATTAAACAAAGTAGCAATAAAGTTCTTGGAAAATATAGATACGCAATTTATTTTATTACTTAAACTTTCATTTCATCTTTTCATTATTGAATTTAATTAAAACTTTAGCATATTTCACTTTGTAAACTTTTCCTTCTTATTTATCGTCACGCATCAGCAACAAAAAAAATTTGTTTAATTTTCGTCTTCCTTCATCTTTGATAACAAAGCGTCACAGGTTTTCTTAGCATCACCAAGTAACATGGCTGTGTTGGGTTTGTAGAAAATTGGATTATCGACGGCAGCATAGCCGACACCAAGTGAACGTTTCATCACAACAACTTGATCAGCTTTCCACACTCGAAGAACGGGCATTCCTTGATTATTAATTAAAGTTTAATACTTTACTTCATACATAATTTGTTTGTAATAGTTGAAACTTACCAGCAATTATTGAGTTAGGATCATCTTCAGCTGCTGAATTAACTGTGTCGTTTGCACCAATGACAAGTGCCAAGTCAGTTTCAGAGAAATCGTCGTTAATTTCTTCCATTTCCAATACGTCATCATAACTCACACCAGCTTCAGCCAAAAGTACATTTAATTGTCCAGGCATTCGACCTTTTCAAGAGAAAATCATTAATTAAATGTACAATTTGTGGGGAAATGTTGAAAGCTTACCAGCGACTGGATGAATTCCAAATCGAACTTTCTTTCCTCGCTTCTTCAAGATTTCAACAAGTTCAGCAATCGGATATTGAGCTTTAGCAACGCACAAACCATAGCCAGGTGTGATGATGATGTTCTTAGCATTCTTCATCATCTCAACAACGCCATCAACTTGAACTTCTGTATGTGTGCCAACAATTTCTGCTGGTTTACCACCTCCAGTTGATGATGTTCCGTATCCTGTTGAAAATAACAAATAATTTTTGTTTATCTTCATTAGAACTATCCAAACTTACCTCCAAGAATAACATTTGGCAACGATCGATTCATAGCTTTGCACATAATGTAAGACAAGATGGCACCGGAACTTCCAATCAAAGCACCAACAATTGTCATCAAATTATTGTTCAACATGAAACCTTCAGCACAAAGTGCCCAACCGGAATATGAATTGAGAACAGTGATAACCACTGGCATGTCAGCACCACCAATAGCAGCAGTTAATGTGACTCCCATGGCTGTTGACATTGCAGCGGTCGCTCCAAGCCATCCTAAACCACCCATCATTGTTGGATCCATGAAGAAACCAGCCATTGCCAAAGCATTACCAGCTAACAATCCACTGTTGATCATGTGACGACCAGGAAGAAGTAATGGAGCGGAGCTAAGAATACCTTGAAGTTTTCCGTAAGCAACAAGTGAACCTGAGAATGTCACGCCGCCAATATAAGTTCCCAAGAACAAAGCTGTTCTCAAGACATTCGCTGCTGGATCTTCAGCCAAAGTCGGGAAGTCATGAATGTAAGTTGCGACACATGTCAGAACAGCTGCCATACCAACCAGTGAGTGGAATGCAGCAACAAGTTGAGGTAGATCAGTAATTTCTATTCTTTTCGCAATGACAGTTCCAAGTAAACCACCAATACCAGCAACACCGACCATTTGTGCTAAAACTTCTGGTGTTGGAGCGAGAATTCCGAGAGTTGCAGCAATCCCGCCAGTAACTCCAATCATTCCTAAAGTGTTGCCCAATCGTGCAGTTTTCTGTGACGATAATCCACCAAGTGCACCAACACAGCATAAAGATGATGCAAGATATGCAATTTGATTGACTTCTGTTAATCCGTTAAGTGCTGCAAGTCCATAACCACCAAGAAAAACAGCAGCTGGGATTCCATACAGATAGTTATGCTCTGGTGGATCAGTTGGACGTTTAAACATGTCCAACATTCTTTGTGTCACCAAAAATCCACCGAAAATATTCACAAACGAAATCAAAGCTGCACTCGCTGCTAATCCTTCAATGGCGTTTGTTGGAAAGTAACCGCCATTCATTAACAACAATCCACCAACAGCTGTGATGCCACTAAGTGCATTTGTACATGACATGAGTGGTGAATGAAGTGCTGGCGTGACACCCCAAACAGTGTGATAACCGACAATTCCTGATAAAGCGAATGTTGACATCATTGCAGTAAATGCGGGATTTGGTGATGCAACACCAAGACTGATTAACGTTCCAAGACCAGCAGTGTAAGTCAAACTACTCTTCATTGTCTCTGTAAATGGATTTGGTGGGAGAAGTTCTACTTTTGGCTTCGGAGCAACAGCAGCAGCTGCTTGTGGTTGTGCAGAAACAGAAATGACGGGTGGTGGCCAAGTTACGCTTCTGTTTTGTGTCACAATACTTCCACGAACAACATCATCTTTAAGGTTGATATCGAAATGATCTTTCTCACCAATTGAAAGTAAGAACTTTGAGATGTTATTGGCGTAAAGTGTTGAAGCTTGTGTTGGTAAACGTGATGGAAGATCCGTGTAACCAATGTGAACGACATCATGAACAGTTTTCACTTCACCAGGAACAATTGTTGCAATGTTACCACCAGCTTCTGCAGCAAGATCAACAACAACACTTCCAGGCTTCATTGACTTTATATGTTCTTCTAAGATAAGTGTTGGAGCTTTCCTACCAGGAATCAAAGCTGTTGTGATTACAACATCAACTTCCTTACATTGCTTTGCAAACAAAGCCATCTCAGCATCGATAAATTCTTTGCTCATTTCCTTTGAATATCCACCAGCAGTTGCTCCTTCTTCTTTGATGTTTATTGTTAAGAATTCAGCGCCCATTGACTCAACTTGTTCTTGAGCAGCTGATCTTGTATCGAAAGCTCTGACAATGGCACCCATGCAACGTGCTTGTCCAACAGCTGCCAAACCAGCAACACCAGCACCAATTACAAGAATTTTTGCAGGAGGTACTTTACCAGCAGCAGTAATTTGACCAGTAAAGAATCTTGGAAAATGATTTGCTGCTTCAATGACTGCGCGATAACCAGCAATGTTTGCCATTGAACTTAAAGCATCAAACACTTGAGCACGTGATATACGAGGGATGCAATCCATTGCAAATGCATTGATGTTCTTCTTTGCCAAATGATTCAAGAGATCTTTATTTTGACCAGGATAGAGGAATGAAATGAGTGTCGAGTTGTCACGAATTAGCGGAATTTCATTCTCCATTGGCTGACGTACTTTCAATAAAATATCTAAAAATAAACTTATGTCACATCTTGCGTATATCATCGTGAATTTAAATTCTTCCACCTGTGTCCCATGCTTTGTTACTGTCAACGATGTTTCCACCAGCTGTCAAATAATCTTCGTCACGGAACTTTGCTTGTTCACCTGCGCCTTTTTCAATATTTACATTGAATCCTTTTTTCACTAACGTCGCTGTTACTTGAGGAGATAACGCAACTCTTTTGAAAGAGAAATAAATATTTGTTTGAGTATTTTGTTGAAAATATAAATAAACAGAAACATGATTCACCTTCTTTCATTTAACCATTTTTCTTTAGGAACGCCGATTGTTAGATTTTTGTATGGAATACCTTTTATGGCTTCAACTGGTTTTCCATCTTTGTTCAATAATTTAACACTTCCTGAGAAGAGACGTGATGGATGAAGTGGCTTTGGACACTTTAAAAAAGATTCCCCGCCGAATGTGCACAATCTAAGAACACCCTGTGACATTTTCGGGTAGTAATTTCGCTGAATGTATAAAAGTTTAAGTTTTCCTAGAAAAGTGTAAGTTATAGAAATTTAATGTAAATAAATTTGTAAACATAAATTTATGTTTTTCTTAATAATCTTTAGAACAGTTTGTTTATCTATCTAAGGGCCAGTGTCAAAATTCAAACTTTAAAACACATGATTTCGAATACTCGTAATCCGAGAGAGCAATCAGCGTAATCCAAAATAAAAGAGAGTTTAATACCGGCATAAACTACACTCACACTAATGTAAGCAATTTTTCCTTTCCAACACGCGCTCATGAAAAACGAAAGTGTTTTGATGAAAAACTTTTTGGAAATGAATGGAAACATACACAATTACGCGTTATCAATGAAGTACTAATTTAGACAATTTTTTTTCTAATTTTGATTTTCATTGATGACGTATTGAATGCAATCAGAAATTTTATAAACCTCAGCGGCATGTTGAGCGCGTTAAACATTTAATAATCTATTTTTAGTCATAAAAAATTAGGAAAATTTATTTTCATCACGATTTCGATATCATTTTATTTTTGAAATAAATTTTCATGAAGGTACAATGCGCGAAATTAATAATGACCTAGTTCACCAACCTCTTCTTCCTCACTTTACAATCCAATTGATAAGATGGACACAAACTCTTTAAAGAAAAAAAAATACGAAAATGAAGCGCGTTTCTTTCCTCTTCACTTGAGTCCCAAACGCCGACTAACTCAAGAATATGTATGAGAATATTGAGTGGCGAAGTCAAGCAAAGTTGGATAATTCTCAGAGAGAAATGTGTGAAAATGTTTGTGAACTGAATCGCTTTCATAATTTTAGGGTTTTTGTTTTACTTTTTATCTCCAGATCAGAATGAGTTGATTGTTGATACTTATTAACAACTAACCATTACGACAGTTTCCATAGATATCTAACACTACTTATATAGGCGATATGACCGGAATGACATTAATAGAAGCCCCGCATAGACAAATAAGAATCATAAAAAAGAAAACAAATAAAATTAAAGCTTTTTCCAGACGCTTGCTTCCGATCAAATGTTTGATGAATTTCAAGTTAATGTTTATTCATTCTGATTCTGAATGAAACTTGTTCATCTTGTCTCGGATTTTCAAATTGAAAGGTCAATATAGCCTCAATTAACGCGCCAATAAAAGGCGTCGAAATAGTTCTAAGAACATTTATTAACACTTAAAATGTCCAATATTTGTATTATCATTTCTCGTTACATATCACGAGAGAATTAACACGAGAATTGGCACGAATGATTGAACATCATCGAAAAATAATTGAACGTGTCAATTTGAGGGAATGATGAAGGACGAACACGAGTAAGCTTATCACGTCAATTTTATTTACGTATATCTAGAATTAACATTTTTCCAATGTTTATTTTCGGTGTCAGCAATGTTCATTCGAGTCTTTTGATTTATTCCTGTGTCTTAGCCGGTTTAATACGAGACTGATCACAAATACAACATTAAAGAGTGATGGCGTCGTTGCAGACAGGGAATTATTGTATATATTAGCGAACATAATTAAATTGACACTACTCTGATATCTGATGTGGCATTTTTAAATAAAAAAAATAATCATTCATCGTTTTATTCAAAGAAAAAACATGTATTGCGTACTTATTATCGGAGCACCGTTACAATATTTATTTATCCTTGATCATGAACATAAATAGTTTAAAATTCAACACGTGCAAGTTCCGCTGAAAATAGTTTGAAGATACAAATTTATCAATATTGTTCAAGAGTTGTGGGTGTAAAAATGTCAGTTGGAAATTAATCACAGCAATTTTTTTTCTATTTCTCTAAAATCAAATTCACTTTTGTATTCATTACTTCATCTTATACAAGGCAAATTCTTTTATAGCTTCTCATGCGTAAACCACTGTCTCAATGTGTTTCCTCTCGTGTGATAAATTATTTTAATATTAAAGAAAAAAGAGAAGAAAATGAAACAAGCAACAAGCCCGAAATTTACAAGGCCATTGGCATGATAATATCTTTACGTATGTGCTGGGGAAAATACTCGACGGTTATATAAAAATTAACTCGAACTCTTGTATTAATTCTTCGCATACAACGCAAATTATCTTGGAACATTCTGTTGGTGAAATAAAATGAAAACATATTTTAAGTACACGTCGTACACCTCGTGATCGTTTTTAAGTTTTTTTTTGTTTCATTTTGGAACTTCATTTTAATTCTTTTGTTTTTTTTTCCAAAACTTATGTAGACCTTCACAGACTTTACAGACTCAAAATATAATTTGATGAATTGGTTGCTGCAGAGACTTATTTTTACCCTCTTCATGGTTTAATGATTCTATATTTAGAATTTCTCTTTAATTCCATATTCCCTTTTGAGCTTGAAATAGACGTCAGTAGGCATTCATTTGTAACCATTTCGTTTTCACTTTACATTACCTTAATGCAGTTCAGGTTCATCAATATTCAATGCTATGAAGTAAAGAACCTAAAAGAATAGAACAGCAGACGAAAAAGAACAAAAAAAGTTCCATTTCTCAAATTCTATTGTGAAAGAACATGTTTGGGATAATAAAAGAGTTGGTACATACAAAGTATTAAGAATGGGAAAGATTTTTTGCCTGCATGTTAATTGTGTATGTGCGGACCCAATTTGTGTACATACACGATAGATCCATAAACGATGAAGAGAATTGAGAGAGTTGGTGGCAATATCGCATGTAATACGCTCGGTTCCTTTAGTTGATATTCAGCTCTGAATCGTTCAACATTTCCGTGAAAAACGTGATCGAAAATTGACAAACCATGGCTTTCGCTTTGAGTAAAATCGCTAAATTTGTGAATAAAAATGCTTTTGTGACACCATTGTCCTCAATCATCTCATCGAAAAATTGTAAGTTTTTGAAATTTTATCAAAAAAGGATATCACACAGGAAAAAAAAAAAAGATTTCAAGTGAAGCCGATGTTCGTAAAATTATTTTGTTTGTAGTGGTGTGAAAAATGCTGAACGCGGGTTCGTTCCAACATCTAAAATGATATGAAAGAAAAAAATATTTTGCGTGCGTAAATTTTTCATTAACATTTTATGTGAACTGAAAATAGCTAAATCTTCATCGGTGCTACAATTAAATCAACAGCCTACGTATTTTTCTTCCTCTCCTTTTGCGATTATCTAAAATAAAACAGAAACAATTTTTATCTTGCTTTGCTGCTTCTATTCATGATTTCCACATGTCCGTGTAGTTCATAAAAATTTCAAGTAGGAATCGTAAAATTGCTTATCAGACCACTTGTGTCTTTCTTATGTAACGATATAAACGTCGCATGTTACAGTTTGCAATATGATAACAGAATATTATTCGTGGAAAATAACACAAAAGGAATGAAGTCACACGGAAGTTTTTGATTTTAGGCTTTTTCCTTTTGACCTTTGAGAAGGCTGGAAAATTGGAAGAAGATTCGCCCCACATTCCTTCCAAGGAATCGTTTACTAAGTTGTTAAAATGCAAGCTTGCACTACTTCATAACTAAGAACGATTAAAACGGCCTTGAAATCAATCTACTAGTCTATAAATGAATGATTTATTCCACGTATACGCTTTTAATCTTCTGATAAGCTAAGTGGCAATGAGCGTAAAATGAATGTCAAAAATGTCCAATTAAATAAATCTTTTTCTTATCAGCAACTTGCTAATTCGAATAAAATTGTCGTAGTTCTGATTAATAAAAAAAAACGCAACATTCTGACGAATTTATTGCACTGAGTTAAGAGGTCATTGAACTCATAAATTCAATTCTTTTTTCATTCAAGCAGGATTTGATTCTGTAATTTCATCCCTTACTTATTCAAAGCAACCTCTTCCCAGAAAATAATATAAAAGAAATCAAACACCGCGGATCAAACGTATAAACATTCACTCTCTCGCTCTCGCCCTCAAAAAATTTTCAGAGAGGCAATTATTGAGAATTTCGAAAAATGCAAGGGGGAAGCCAACAAAAAAATATTACCCCGGAAAAGTAAAATTCTAAGAAAAACTAAACAAATTCTTGGAAAATGGACATGTTTTTGGAAAAGCATTAGTTTTTTCAAAGCATCATTTCAGACCGATTAGCAATAAACCCTATATTGACTTTCAACTTCGAAAAATTAAAATCTATTGGCGCTGAAAATAAATTCAAAATTAATTTTCATGCTTTTCCAGATTCTACTGGTTCACGCGTTGAAGTAGCGAAACCTGTGGTTGATATGGATGGTGATGAGATGACAAGAAGTATGTAAACAAAAACAAGAAAATTGCTTACAAATTAAATTAATTAACATATTTTCAACAGTTATCTGGCAGTTCATTAAAGACAAATTGATCTTTCCATACGTCAAAGTTGAAGCATTATATTACGACTTAGGACTACCATATCGTGATCAAACAAACGACCAGGTTACCATCGATGCAGCTCATGCCATCTTAAAACACAATGTTGGCATCAAATGCGCAACTATTACACCTGATGAACAAAGAGTTGAAGAATTCAAATTGAAGCAAATGTGGTTGTCACCAAACGGAACAATTCGTAACATTTTGGGTGGAACTGTTTTCCGTGAACCTATTCTGTGCAAAAATATTCCACGTTTAGTGCCAGGATGGACAAATCCCATTGTTATTGGTCGTCATGCATTTGGTGATCAATATCGTGCTAAAGACATGGTCATCAGTCGTCCCGGAACAATTTCAATTGTTTTCAAAGGTGAAGATGGAGTAACAGACACGACTGAAGTCTTCAACTTCCAAAACGGTGGCGTTTTCATGGGAATGTACAACACCGATGATTCAATTGCATCATTTGCACATTCTTCATTCCAAGTTGCTTTGGCAAAAGGATGGCCATTGTACATGTCGACAAAGAACACGATTCTCAAGCGTTATGATGGACGATTCAAAGATATCTTCCAAGAAATTTTCGAAAGCACATACAAAAAGCAATTTGATGAGAAAAAAATTTGGTATGAACATCGTTTAATTGATGACATGGTCGCACAAGCGCTTAAATCAAGTGGACAATTTGTATGGGCTTGTAAGAATTATGACGGTGATGTGCAATCTGATATTATCGCTCAAGGATATGGATCACTTGGATTAATGACATCAGTTTTAATGTGTCCCGATGGAAAGACAATTGAATCTGAAGCTGCACATGGAACTGTCACACGACATTACAGACAACATCAACAAGGAAAATCAACATCAACAAATCCAATTGCTTCAATCTTTGCATGGACGCGAGGTATAAGAAAATTTGTTTTCCCTTAAAAAACTACATTAATTATAAATATTTTCTAAACAGGTCTGGAACATCGCGCAAAATTGGACAACAACAATGATTTAGCACGTTTTGCACTTGCACTCGAGAAATCTTGTATTGACACAGTTGAATCAGGAAAAATGACAAAAGATTTAGCTGGATGTATTCATGGTCTCCCAAATGTCAAAGAAGGAATGTTCCTTAATACCGAAGACTTTTTGGAAGCCATCTCTGAACAGCTTAACCGATCATGGAAGAAGTAGATTAATTACACCGTTGAAGATTTTTTGTTCGTTTGCTTTTTGACCACTTTGATCTTGTTTGCATTTAAATGAGATAAACACAACTTTTTTGTAAAGTTAAAACATATTAAAGCACAAAAAAAGAAAACCAGAATAAAACAGAGAATATTTTTAAGACATTTATAAATTTCAATAAATCATGTTTGGAAAATTGAGAAATCTTATTAAAATTTAACGGTCATTTAACGATCAAAATTCAAAAATTTCAAATTTCAAATTGTCAACAAATCGGCATTTCACAAATAAATTTAATTTAAGGATTTACCAGTGTTTTTAACGTAATATGGCATCACTTAGAAGCTTTTCCAGTTCTACTCTTCCTGGAGATACGACAAGACATGATAGAAGTGGAAATTTGTGCACGTTACCTATGAAATACATTTCAAATGTCTCAAAAGTAAGTTTTGAAAATATAAAATTAAAAACATGCGCTAAATTGTATTAATTTAGGTTCAATCGTATCCTGAGATTGATATCAGTAAAGAAATCTTCAATTCACATATCTCCCGTCAAGACCACGTTATTCTTCCTGTGGATGAGTCGATTTTAAAAAAGTTTTCCCGAATCTTCTTCGAGGAAGGAATTGAAGCTTCTCTGAAAGTTCTCAAGGAATCTAATTCAACTTTCATTAGTTCAATTTCGAAAGGAGTCTTAAAATTCCTCAACATTGGACATAAAGTGAATCTCTTCTTCAATCCACATTTGAAAGAAACTGGAATAGAAGCTTTTGAGAAACATTATTCACAAACTCGCCAATGGAAAAACTCAGCAATTAGATACATAAGCTGGAATTCCTTATGCTTCAAGCTTGCAATTGCAGCTGTTGATGACTCCATCCGAATTTACACAGATGAAGAACATTCTATTGTTTTCTTATTGAAGAATGGACTTCAAAAATCAATAACTTCGATGTCTTGGCGACCTTTATCTCCATCACAACTTGCAGTTGGATGTGAAAGTGGCTTTCTTGTATGGACTATTGATCCAAACTCTTATATCACAAGACCATTATCGCAAGCAGCCCACTTTAAGCATGGAAATCATTTCCCAGTGACAAGTCTTGAATGGAATTTAAATGGTTCACTTTTGGCAACTGCAAGTATGAAAGATTCTTCAATTTTGATTTGGGATGTCGAGAGAAATAATTGCACACCTTTACGACGAACATTGCCGCCTTATCTTCATCTGCAATGGTCGTTAAATGGCGCATATCTCTTCTCATCTTCTGTTGGAAATGTTTTCCGTGTTTGGAATTGTGAAAGTTGGAAAGCTGATCGTTGGACAATCGCGTCAGGTCATGTTCAATCATTTAGCTGGTCTCCTTGTGCTCGGTTCCTTCTTTTCGTCACTTCCGATGATCCAATTTTATATTCACTTGGATTTGCTGATGAAGTTTTATTCAATGAGAGTCAAAGTCAAGTTGCACCACAACAAGCACTTCCCGTCGCTGATCTAAGCAAAATCAATATCGACGACACAGACATTGGTGGGATTGCGCAACAACTCGCATGGAATGGAAGATATCTTGCAGTCACTTTCAAAGATACCAACGCAATTGCAATCTTTCAAACTTCTATTCGACGACATCAACTTAACATTATCCCACTTTGTCTCATTTCTGGAATTGGAATTGAATTTCCATCTTTCATTACATTTCAACCATTTTATAAACAAACAGAAAACATTTTGACAATTGGATGGTCGAGCGGTCGAATGCAATTCTTTCCTTTTGTTAATATTTAAAGTTTTGCTGTTTAAATAAATAAAAATCACAAATTTCATACAAATCAAATATTTTTTATTGCTAGAATTTCTTTTCTAATTTTACTTTGAACTTCAAGTGGAAACTGAGTGACTTCAGAATGAGCGCATGAATAACAGAAGGTACTTTTATAGAACAAACTACAATCTTTACAAACAACTGAATTGCACATTACGCAATGACTTCCGAGAACGATGAAATATTCTGTGAAGGATCTTGTGCCATTTCGCGTGGGTGGAGCTGTAAATGGATCTTTCATGACGTAACTGTCTTCAACCAATTCAATGTTTCTGATGAATGTTGGAGATTTCCCAAAGTAATCAACCATTTCTGACATTGAACAGGTGCTGCATTGAAACTTTATTTTTTCTGGTTCGTCTTCTTTGGTTTTCTCATCAATTTTATCTTTTCTGTAAGATTTTGTATCTTCCTCGATCTTCACAGCTTCAAGACTCATCTACGAATATTTTTTAAATAAGAAAATTATGTTCTCGTTATTCGTGGAGTTTTTTCAGCTTCCACAGGCCACCAAGATGGTCTTTCAGTTCGACACTTGTTTTCGTTAAGAGAAAGTTGCTTTGCAGCCATCACCTGTTCAATTCTTAACAAACCCAATCCATACTGACCAACAATATTGCGTATTTTTCCAACAGATTTATTCTCCTCATCTTTAACATCATTAACTTCATCAGCCTTGAAAGTAATTTCTTTTTCAAAGAACACTGGCATGAGACGTTTTCTTATCACGCCTGTATGATGAGTTCGTGCTGTGAGTTCTTGTCCAATGTAACATCCTTTATGAAAACTTACACCGTGCATATAATCACAATTTGACTCGAGAGGTAAAGCTTTTTCAGGTGGTAAATCAATGACACCTTCACATATCCCAAATTTATATCGATGAGCGACATAATCTTCATTTGAAGCTTCTTGAACTTCTGGCAAAGATTCTTTCAAAAAATTCTTCAAATTTTGATCTTTTGGTGAAATTATTCTCGATCCAATTTCTTTTAAACGAGGGTCAGTACATATTTTCAAGTCTTTTGAAGATTTCAGTAATTCAGTTGATCCTTGGAAGCACCAGACATCGTGATCTTCAGACAATGCAATTTCAATCTTTCTTCGCACTCTGTAGAGTTTCAAATGTTTTTTTAAACTATTCACGACAGAAGCATCGCACTCAATAAGAAAATCTTCTTTGCTATCATCTGTGACTGGTGTTTTGTAAACTATTGAATCGTAAAGAACTCTGCCGGCTTTGTTAAGAAACAATGTGTAAATACAAGAATTATCTTGAACTAAATGATTCATATCATTAGTGATTAGTCCTTGCAAGAACTGTGATGTTTCTATTTTAGCTCCAGAGCATCTTATAAGGGATCTCGTAGTATTTAAAGAGAACAGACGATTCATGTGTGATGGCTGTAAAGTTAATTTTTTTATTTCATACAAGTGTCTAACGAAAGATTCATCATAATGCGCTTAAAACGATGGAATTCTTACCTTTTTGATCTTCAACTATAAATAAATATAATGTGTTATCAGGAAATGATTTAAATTATTATTATTACTGCTTTATATTTAAGTGATTCTTTAAATTTATTTAAAAATTTATTTTCATTCAAATCGTGGTGAACAGTGGTGAAAAAAGATAATAACAAAGTGGTGAATATCGTGGGGAAAATATTTCGGTTGAATGTTGGGTTAACTGATGTATACGTGTTTTTCACCACTCAAGGAAAAATATTTTTTTCGGATCAAAAATTGTGTATTTTATTGTCAAAACAGCTTCTACAAAGAACGCAAAAACAATTTTCTCTTGCTGAATTTACTTAGCGCAACAATGATACTAAATTTGTCACATTCTCAACACTAGAAGCAAGAAAAAAGTGCAAAATTAGCGAATGGAAGATGGAATCAAATAAAGATGATTTAAAAACGCAATTCGTGACGCGAGAAGGATGTTACCGTCTTCTGAACTTATCAGAATACTCACGACCCAATCGCGTCGGTTATCAATCAAATCAAAATTCTCCTCAAGTTCGTGTATCTTTCGTCTCCCTACCGCAAAGTCAAACGCAAATTTCAGTAGCACAACAACAACAAAAACCAATTGAAAAAGGTAAAAGATGAGAAATCTTTCTTCTTAATAAGAATACCTTTAATAATACAATTGTTATGTCTTTTTACTAGGATCCTCATCCGCAAATAACAATGGCAATAGCAGTAATCCAACCACAAATGGACCCATCCCATCATCCAACTCCTTATCATCATCTGCCACCACTGCAACTGTGACCTCTTTAACAAATGGACTTCAGCAGGAACATAATTATCTCAATCAAAATAATGTGCCGAATGGTGATTGGATATGCTTTAACTTTGGAAAAGAACTTTATACGTACAGTTATCGCGGTGTTAGAAAGGTAAGTGATGATGAAAACTTTTATCCGAATGTCAAAATCAGACGAAATTCTGTGGATGATATTAAAAAAAAAGAAAAATCGTGACAATGTAAACAACGATAACACCAGATGCCTATCAAGCAAAATAAAAAAGGAGAGAGTTGGGAAGATTGAAATAAAAACAAAAATGATAAAAATAGCGATCAGACAGAGTTGGAATTAAGTTCTTGAAATCATTAAATCAAAATGATAACCGTGATGGTGGTTGGTAGAGTGAACAGTAATTTATTCTCCGTGATTTTCAATTAAGAGTATTCTCTCCGAATAAACCGCGTGTGATTTATCTACATAACAGCTCAATGTTGATTTGTGATAAAATGTCTCACGTGAATATTTGTTTGTAATTTTATTCACAAAGAAGAAAAAAAATTGTGCAATGACAGTTAATCTTTGTAACTCATCAATTTAGTTAATTAATGTCTACAATCAACCTGATTTAAACGAATCTTGATGTTAATCTTCTTCAATTAGTTTTGAGAACAAAACATTGTTGTTGCAAATGCTTCTTTTTTATTATATTTATTGCTCACGGGTGTCGAGGGCGAATGAAATGAAATAGTTTTTTCTTCTTTTACATTTTACTCGTCACTAGAACAACAAAGTAATGAAAAATTACTCAGCGCCGAATATAATTTTACAATCATCCAAATCAAAATTCTTTCCAGTCATAAAATGAAACTTTCCCTCGAGTAGAAATAAAAATAAAAACATTGCATCATAACAAGTCATTGTTATGTGTTTTTTCCAACTCATTCCCAATCAAAACTTTTCCTCTGTTTAACAATTGACATTCTTATAATTGCGAGTGCTTTCTTATGTCTCGTGCTGCTCCATATTTCTTTCCTCTCATAAAAGCTTTGATTGAATGTGTAAATATTTGTTTTCATTAAGAATCGACGAGCGACAATATGTTCGCTCGTTCTCGGCTTGAGGATGACAATTTGTTTGAAGCTTCTTTCAATAATGACAGAACATAAATCGTTCTGCAATCTGTTATATATTTCCCTCTGAATAAGATTTCTCACTCTATTAAGTGTCGTTCAACATTTGTTCATTACTACAAATTTTCATCAATCAATTTCAATTCACAAAACAATCAAAGATTTCATGCCACATTTATTTCTTCATTCTCACACTTTAAGGCTGCTGATCTTAGCAAACCAATTGACAAGAAACTTTATAAAGGAACGAATCCAAGTTGTCATGATTTTAATCAAACAACAGCAACATGTGACGGAGCGCCGCTTCTTGTGGGTTTCACAACTGGTCAAATTCAACTTGTTTATCCTGGTCGTCGTGAGCAAGGAAAGCTTTATAATGAAGAGGTTTGTAAATCGAATGAAATTGATTAAAGTTTAATTTTGAAATGTTTTTTTATTTTTCAGAGATTAATTGATAAAACAAAAGTTACTTGCCTTAAATGGCTTCCAAACTCTTCAACACTTTTCCTTGCTGCACACGCATCAGGTCATTTATATTTATACAATGAGGAATTGCCTTGTTCACCTACAACTCCTGTTTATCAACAATTCAAATGTGGTGATGGTTACAACATTCTCACATGTAAATCAAAATCAACACGTAATCCAATTTATAAATGGTCATTTGGAATCAATTGTACGGTTATTAATGGTAACAATTCATCGTCATCGTCCAGTTCATCATCATCAACAATCAGTAGCAGTTCAAGTTCGTACTCATGTGCCAGTGATAATTGTAGCATCAATGAATTTTGTTTCTCGCCTGATGGTGTCAATCTTGCAATTGTATCACAAGACGGCTTCCTTCGTGTCTTTCTTTACGATACAATGGAACTTGTTGGCATTGCGCGATCATATTTTGGAGGGTTTCTTTGTGTTTGTTGGAGTCCCGATGGCAAATACATTGTTGTTGGCGGTGAGGATGATTTAGTGACGGTTTATTCATTTACTGAACGACGTGTTGTTGCACGGGGACATGGACATCGATCATGGGTTTCAGTTGTTGCATTTGATCCCTACACGACGTTCTCATCATGGGATACGAATGACTTTTCTGACGATGAAAATCAATATGAGATATCGAGCAATAGTAACAACAAAAGGGTGAGATCATCATCAATACGTGACAGTACGTTAGCTCCAGATAAGTTGATTTGTTATCGATTAGGCTCAGTGAGTCAAGATACACAATTGTGTCTTTGGGATATAACAGAAGATGTTTTAAGACCACACCATCGTGTGAGATTAAGCACACTTGACCCAACACAGCAGCAACATCAGCAAAAATCTGAATCAATTCAAATGAATGGTGATTGTTGTTTAGTTGGCGGTTCAGTGACTGTTAGTGAACGACCGTCACCGACTTTTATAATTAAGGATAACACAACAGTTGATAATAGTTTAAGTAATTCGCACACAACAAAATTATTGAATTTTACAAAGCCTGTGAACTGTGTAGGTGGAAATAGTGGCGATGAAAATGGCAGTAGTAGCAGCTCATCGAAGAAAAATAAATCAACGTCAGTTTCATTGGGCAACAATTGTTCCAATAGTAATATAAGTGCCACAAAATCATCGTCAACGAATGATGAAAAGTCCAACAACAACAATCATAATCATTCGGCCTTTAATACACTCACACAACGCTTCTCAAACTTTAGCTTTGGAAGTGATAAAAGCTCGAAAGGTAGCAAGAGAAATTATCATTCAACAGGAAAGGGAAATGGAATTCATTCTGTTGATCAGAAGACAAACGCTGATGGCAATAGCGGAACATCAACATTAAGAAATAAAAGTAATAGCAGCATTGTGACTTACGATGCGATGAAGTTAATTGGAACACCAGCATGTCCAAGATACGATGAATGCCCTGTTCTTGAGCCGCTCATATGTAAAAAGATAGCACATGAAAGATTAACCGCGCTAATATTTCGTGAAGATTGCTTTCTCACGGCATGTCAAGATGGGTTTGTTTACACATGGGCGCGACCGGTAAATTATTTTTTTACGACTAAATAAATCATAAAACAACTTAATGCATCAATTTTCTTTTCTATTTCTTTCTTGTTCTATTTAGAGCTCGTCACATTTAGCAACTAATAGTCCAACAGCTACGCACAGCAGCACAATTGTGTAATTGATGATGATTGTGTTGGTGGTCACAAATTAAGCATGAAAAGCAATCATCGACAACCAAGTGACACAACTTTGTACCAAAGAAAAACGAGTGAAAAGAAAAGAGAAAAATGTTAGGAATTTTTAAAAGAAAATTTCCAAGTGAATTTTTAAACAGTGACACATGTAACAAAGTTTAGTCGTGACCTAAAGTTGTTGGAAACAAAATTTCTTTCTTATATTTTGATTGCAAGATTATAAATTAAATTAATTACATTCAAATATCAAATTCCCGAATGTTAAAGTTTTTCAATCTTATTTTTTCTTCAAATTCTTTCATAACTTCTCTTGTAAAGTCGAGAAAGAACATCGTTCACGGTTTAATCAAATGTCAGCTGATTATCAGCAATCAAAACATTTCCCCATCTTAGTTATACTGGATATTTCTAAAATGGAATGAAACGCGAACAAACTTCATTTATTAAAATGAATTAAGTGCAATCGTGACAACAAACAAGCATTGTGGCAAAGCTGATAAATTATTCAAACTTGCCTGATCAAAAAAAAGAAAAAATTCCCGCCAGTCCCTTTTCAATTCATAAGAATTTTATAACATTAATTAAAATATTCTGAGTCTGCCATTAATGCCTGATTTGATTTCAGTGATAGTGGAAGAAGTAAATTTAATTAAAAACAAGAAACATGAATGAGATATTCTTTGCTTTTTAAACAAACAACATAGAAAAAAGAAATCTTACTAAATTAATTAGTTGTGTTTTAGTTAAATATGTAATTGATTTTAAATCAAGTTTTTCAAATCTATCTTTACATGTACATAAGTAAATACTTTTAAATAATGAAGACAAACAATTCTTTTTCGACGAGAATTCTATCAGAAATTAATAATGAAAGTTATAAAAATAATAATAATAAAAAGTCAAAATAAACAATAAAAAAGAAAGAGATCAAGTAGCAATAAATAAATAACATAATAAAAATAATATTGAGAACAAAAAGCTGTTCATTTGAATGAAAATTCTAAACAGTTCATTGCATTTAGTTTTCATCTTTATAAAAAATAATATGGAAACATTCATTTCTGTCGCGGTATCATTTATGCAGACACATATCTAACAATTATGGGTGAGCTTTCATAAGAAAATTAATAGGAGAAAAAAAGAGATTCGATATTTTTCAATCTTTCCATAAGATTCGTCATTGACTTCGCACGAAGTTATCCTTTTACGTCGAATAACGTTACGTAAGTTATGCAGTAATTGGCATAACGCGCTTACGTCCTTTTACGACACGAACAAACTTAGAAAGATCAGTCGACGAACTGTGAAATTGAAATGAAAAAACTCTTAGTGCAACTTACATATTTCATTGTCCGAAAGAAATCTAGTTACCTAAATAAAACAAAAACGAACAAGAAAATTTATGAATTCCGAGTTGCAACCTGTGAAAAGTCAAGGGCCGTAAAAGTCCGAAAAAATGTGTAAAAAATAATTAAAATTAATAAAATCAAAAATAATTTATTTCGAGGAAAATTTATCGAAGACTTTCATATTCTTTAAGTTTTCTCTCTAAGAGATCATGATTAAGTCTATGTTTACATAAAAATTCTCCGTTCAAGAAACAAACTGGAATATCAAGTCGATAAAGTCGAAGAAACTTTAAATTCTCTTTTTTTGTAATGTCAACTTTCTCCAATTGATATCGTCTGTTGAATCGAATCTCCAGCTCTTCAACAAGATCATCACAGAGTGAACAATGATCATGAGTATAAAGTGTGATTACTGGAAGTTTACCTTGCAATTCATCACCTCTGAAAATAAGAAAAATGAAACTTCAGAAAGTAAATTCATGACAAATAACAAACTTTATTAAATTTTATAAAAAATTTATCAAACAGCTTTTAAATGCATCGATTCCATGTGAACACTTTTTATATATCAACTTTCGGAAAGAATATTTTATAAGGAAACTTACAGTTTTTCGATTAACATTGAAGATGCGCCGCCACCTCCGTTACAAATAGAAGTGCAACCGATTTCGCCTTTCTTCAAGTTATGAGTCAAGTGAGTTACTAATCGAGCTCCACTCATTCCGATAGGATGTCCAAGTGATACAGCACCACCATGGACATTCACATTTTTAATATCCAAATCAAGTACTTTCATGTTTGCAAGAACAACAACTGAAAACGCTTCATTTATCTCCCACAAAGCCACATCTTGTTTTCTTACACCAGTTTGTTCTAAAAGCTTTGGAACCGCGAGAGCTGGTGCGATTGGAAAGTCAATTGGATCAGTCTCAGCATCAGCAAACCCAATAATTCTTGCTAATGGTTTACATTTATGTTTTTCAGCTGCTTCAGCTGTCATCAAGACCAAAGCACATCCACCATCGTTCAATGTTGATGCATTTCCAGCAGTTACAGTTCCGTTTTCCTTCTGAAAAACTGTATTAAGTTGTCCGAATTTCTCGAAGTTTACTCGTTTGAATTCTTCATCTTCGGTGACAATGATGTCCGGTTTTCCTTTCTTTTGAGGAATTTTCACTGGCGTAACTTCAGCATCAAAGATTTTATTTTTCCACGCTTCTGCTGAACGTTTGTAACTTGAAATTCCAAATTCATCTTGTTGTTGTCGTGTGATGTTTAACTTTTTAGCTGTATTTTCGCCACAGTTTCCCATATGAATTTTATTGTAGACATCCCACAATCCATCGACAACAATTCCATCAGCTAAATTAACGCCACCGTAAGGAGTGACACCACGTTTAAGATAAAAAGGAACATTCGACATTGATTCCATTCCACCTGCAACAATAACTTCTTGACCTTGACCTAACATTAATGTTTGAGCTGCAACCATGACACTCTTCATTCCAGAAGAACAAACTTTGTTGATTGTAGTACAACAGACATTTGTTGGTAAGCCGGCAAAAATTGCTGCTTGTCGCGCTGGTGCTTGACCTATTAAAGCAATAAATCAGATAAGATGATTATTTTCTAAAAGATTCGTTACTGGAAGAAGTTTTGAATGTTGACCTTGAATATATTTTTATATAAAATAAATTATATAAATTACCTAATCCCGCTGCGACGACATTGCCCATAATAACTTCATCAACATCTTCTTTAGCTATTCCAGCTTGTTGCACTGCAGATTCTACTGCAATACCACCAAGTTGTGTAGCTGATAACGCTGATAATGATGATTGGAATGATCCAATTGGAGTTCTTGTTGCACTTACGATCACGACGTCGTTAAACTTTTTACTATTTGTGTAGAATCTCAAGCTTTTTCCAGCGATTCTGGACACTTTCAATGAAAAGGCCATTGCAACAAATTAATTTTTGTCAAACTCAGGTCACGTTATCAAAGAAATGATAAAAAAAATCACTCAAATTTCACTTTAGAACTTTTGCTGTGGGGAATAATTTTAAGTTGACCCCCCCGCGCTCAAAGTGTACTTTTAAAGGGTGTTCAAGTACTATATGTAATCAGAGTACTGTAGTTGACACCCTGACATTTCATTGAAAAAAAATTGAAAAAAAAAGAATATTTAGCAAATTTCGTATTAAAATTTGATTATGATTATATTAAGTTCTTAAATAATGAATTCAGACTCATCCAGTGATTCTATGCCTCTATCGCGAAGCATCCATACAAATACACTTTCAACAAGATCCGAAGTTGATTTGAAAATCATCGAAAATAGATTGCGAACATATTCAAATTGGCCACTAGAATTTATAACTCCAGAACAGCTTGCACAAGCTGGATTTTATTATTTAAATATTGCTGATCAAGTTAAATGTGCATTTTGTAATGGAATCATCGGACAAGTAAGAATGAAATCAAATAATCATCAATATTTTTTAATGTTTCTTTTTATCTATTTTAATAATCCATTGTTGTGCAACATAAAAACAAAACGTAAAATGAAAAATAAAAAGTGGGAAGTTAATGATCAGCCTCTTCAAGAACATCGAAAATTCTTTCCTGATTGTCCCATCGTACGACAACAAGAACTTCAACAAGAAGAAATCGGAATACAATCTGTAAGAACGCCTAAGTCACCAGAATTCAGCACATTAGAATCGAGAACAAGATCATTCAACACTTGGAATTCAACGATACAAGATCCTTCACTTCTTGCACAAGCTGGATTCTTCTATTTAGGAACTGGTGATGAGGTAAGAATAATTTGTTCTAACTTTAAGCTGACGCTTCACTTTTTTCTTCTTCTTATTCAATTTCAGGTCAGATGTTTTTACTGTGACGGAGGATTAAGAAATTGGCTACAAAATGACGATCCATGGTAAGTAACATGATATAAATCGATTTTGATACGTCATTAATTGTAATTGTTCATTTATCGATTTCAGGTTTGAACACACAAGGTAATTAATTGACAAACTAATTAACTCATCATTGCCCACGCAATTATGATGAACAATAAACATTAATTCGTCATGAATCTTTCAGATGGTTTCCTAAATGTCCACATGTGATGCTCGTGAAAGGTTCAAATTATATCAAAAGAGTCATACAACGTTCCACGGAGAATGGTGGCAATCAATCAGGGAATCAATCAATGCCAGCCACTCCAACGATAACAGTTGACGATGCGATGAACGCTCAAGCAGCTTTGGATGCACTAGCAATGGGTCTGAATGCAGGAAGAGTTCGTGCAGTTGTACAAAGACGATTAAATTTAACGGGACGAATGTTTAACGACACTGAAACACTTGTGTCAGCAGTTCTCGATGGGCAAATCGAAGATGAAGGCTTTGATAGTTCCGAAGCAGATGATCAAAGAGTGACAAATCAAGTGACGCAACTTTTACTCTCAGCAGTATCATCCGTAGGTCTCAATAGTGATGAAACTGAACGAGCAACATCCAGCAGTTCTATCATATCCCCGGCTGTACCTGAAATGAGCGTAATGACAGAAGTTGGTGAAGAACCACGACAACCTTCAGATGAACGTCGATTAAAAAATGTCGAATGCAAAATTTGTATGGCAGAGGAAGTGGGAGTTGTTTTCTTACCTTGTGGTCATCTTCTTTCATGTGTTATGTGTGCACCTGCTATGGTGACTTGTCCATTGTGCCGTCAATACATAAGAGGACGTGTGAGAACTTTCCTTTCATAATCTTCTCGCTTAATTATTTTCTTTTTATTTACCAAATAAAAGAATTTTCGATTAAATAAGAATTTGATCAACAAAAGATTAATTTGTCAATGCAAAAATGTTTCATCGATTAATGTTGTGGATAGCAAATCAAAAAAAGAAGAAATTTTGAAAGTAATTTAAATGAAGTTCGTGGTTGTAATATATTTAATTTTCAATATTTTCTTCAGAAAATATTTTCTGAATTGCTTTGAGATGAATTTAAAAGAAAAGAAACGAAATCATATAAAAGATTAAAATAATTTATGTAATAAAGAGAATGATAATTAAGAATGTTCTCGTTTACGATATGTTTTAAGTTAATTAAATTAGGAATTTAATAAAAAAAGAAACAATAATTTATGAGGAAATAAACTGTCATTTTTATTTTGTTTATTTTTATGAATCATTGAAAACATAAATTTTAGGTAAATGTTGAATAAAAGTTTATCTTTTCAGAATCATATAAATGCGAACATTCATTTGTTTATTACCTTTGTGTTTAATTTTTTGTTTAGCATTTGAACGATTTTTATATTCCTTTACTGATTCAAGTCTTACAGACTGCCAGCCTAATCTGCTTTAAATGTTTAAGAATTGTTCACTTCTAATCTAAGCCGGCATTCTTAATCTTAGTAAAAAATTACTAAATCGGGATTAAAATTAGTTATGCATCCTAATCCCGATTAGATTATTAATCAGAGTTAGATAAAACAAGGATTAAAAGCAACAAAATTAGGTTTATTCTGTAAAAATTATTATTTCATCATGTCTGTTCAACTAAAGAAATATTTTGAAAAGTTGATTTTAGTACCTTTCAACCTAAATTTTACATGAACTTTGAATTGAGTTTAATGTCCGAATTTTGCTCGTGCGGATCTCGCGCGATTTTCACATTTTCGCATCGGAAAGAAAAAGTTACGAAGGAATTTTCATGTTTTACATTGTATCTGTAGGTCATAAAGAAGAAGAATTTAAATCGGGATTTTAATTGAGTTTCACTATGGGATTGATCATGGAAACGTGTGATCTTCAACTTATTGAAACAAAACTTTAAAATTTTCTCGATAGTCGGAATAGTTAATTTCTCAGTTTCATATATTTCTTGCTCTCCATCCCACATTTCTAAAAGCTTCTTTTTTATTTTATTTTGAGACGAGACGAAAATATGTTTTGAAGAGAAATAATCTCATAAGTGCGCATAAAAATCGCAGATATCTCAGTCTTTGCACAGATATTTTCAGATTCAGTTGATCTTACATTTACTTCTGTTTGTTCCGAAGATAAAATTAAATTTGATTCAGTGAAAAAAGTTAGTGCAATAGAAATTGTGTGCCATTGATGTTGTCTGAAAATGTCAAGTTTAAGATTCGTAAACTTGATTCGATCATCAATCACAGTTCTATGTAACACAGCGAAATCTCAACAAACAATCCGAAACTTCTCTTCAAACCGTCCACCGAAAATTCTGATCACAGGTTATTGTCCGATGTTTAAGTCAAAAATTATTTGTTACCTTTCACGATGAATTAAATGTGCAGGGATTGCGAACTTCTTTCACACGTCTACATCAAAAACATCAAAAGATAATTCAATTATAAACAAATCATTCCATTTCAAATAAACTGAAACGACACAACAATTTCACTTTACACTTATTTCCCTTAAAGGCTAAAACTTACTTAGTTTGCCTTATAAAATTTTACATACGCAGAAATAATCTAAAAATATCAAGAAAATTATTTCACACCCACCTGATTTTCAGAGACTGAACTGGCAGAGAAAAAGTTTTTCTTCAACATGTTTTTCGTTTTTCTTTCTTTCTTTTCATCATCAACACGTGCGTCAAACGATCAAAAATTTCATACAAAAGTAGGCTCGTCTTGTTTTCTCTCTGCCAAACACGTGATAACTTAAAATTTTATTTGATGATTATAGTCAAGCCTCAATTGAAATGTTGCCAAAAATATTCTTAAATTTTTGATAGAATCAACCTTGACCGACAATATTTATTAAGATGTTTTTGAATTATTTAATATTTTAATAAATTTTCATCTATAGGTGGATTAGGACAGTTGGGAACGGCATGTGCGCAACTACTTCGTTCCAAGTATGGTCAAGAGAATGTCATCCTCTCCGATATCATCAAGCCAAGTCAACAAATTGTGGATGAAGGTCCTTATGTGTTCGCCGACATTCTGGACTTTAAAGGTCTACAGAAAGTTGTCGTAACACATCGTATTGATTGGATCATTCATTTCTCAGCACTTCTCAGTGCTATCGGTGAACAAAATGTGTCACTTGCTGTTCGTGTTAACATTGAAGGGATGCACAACATGATTGAACTTGCGAAACAATACAAATTAAGAGTCTTTGTGCCATCAACGATTGGAGCTTTTGGACCTGTAGGTTTTGTTTTTGTTATAAAAATATAAAAATCATTCCATGTTCATTCATTTAAGGATTCTCCACGAAATCCAACACCAAATTTGACAATCCAAAGACCACGAACAATTTATGGGGTCTCAAAAGTTCATGCCGAATTAATGGGTGAATATTATCATCACAAGTTTGGAACAGATTTTAGATGTTTACGATTCCCTGGCGTTATCTCAGCTGATCCACCAGGTAATTTCAAATAAAAGTTTAGCAAATAGTAATGAAAACGTGTTTGAATATATTTAAGGTGGTGGCACAACAGATTATGCAATTGCAATTTTCTTTGATGCACTTCGAAAAGGAAGTCATGAATGCTATCTGAGGCCAGATACTTTACTACCAATGATGCATATTAATGATTGTTTAAGGTAAATTTGAGTTTAATTTAATTTAAGGATGATAAATTTATGGATCGGGTTGTAGATCACTCATTGAATACATGACTGTTCCTGAAGAGAAGCTCAAACGAAGAGTTTATAATGTCACTGCGATGTCATTTACGCCAGAACAGCTTGCGGATAAAATCGCAAAATACGTTCCAGAATTGAGAGTTTCATATAAACCTGATAGTCGACAATTAATCGCTGACTCATGGCCGCAAGTTTTCGACGACTCAGAAGCACGAGCTGATTGGGGCTGGAAACACGAATATGACTTGGATAAATTGGTTGAGCTGATGATCAAAGAAGTTACAAAACATTATGCAAAGAATGGCTGCTAGCGAAATTCATTTTTATAAATTCAAACATTTTTATGAAACATAAAATTTAATAACGATTTAAAATGTATACGAAAAGATTGCGAAATAAAAATATTCAATTTGATTTGTTACCATGGAAATGAATGAAAATAATTTTTATGTTGTTTGTTTGAAAAAAAAATTCAGAAACCTTTTCAAAGATGAGCTATTCAAACTCACCAATGTCCTTTTTGGACGAAGATAAATATAATTCTGAACGAATTTTGGCAATGAAATATATCAAAGATAGAATAGAACGTGCATCAACTGTTCAAAATATTTTAGCACCAATAACATCACAAGATGAATACATTTTCGAAAAAGTTAACGATAATGCATCAGATGTGAGTGAACTCTCTGATCCTTTTGCTGAAATTGGAACGAATATAATTTATAACGCTGAACATAAGCAAAAACGTCGCTTAAGTAAAGTAGAAGCAGACGTTTTGATCATGAATTCATTTCCACCAACTCATATGGAAGTACAGAATGAGCTTGTAGGTGAGATGAAACTTAAACCACCGAATTTGGATGTTGAGAAGATCATGGAAAATCTAATAAATAAAACTGAGGCAATCGATGATGATTCAGAAGGATTTAAAGAATTAACTGAAAAATTAAAAAATGCTGGATTGGAAGGACACAAAGAAAGAAAGAAGAAATTGCTTGAAAAAGAAAAACTTAAACAGAAGCCAAAAATAAAGAAAACAAAGGAAGAACAAGATTTAGAAGCTAGTTCCATGTTGTCTGGTGTTTGGAGAATGTTAGGTAATTATAAATTATTAAATTATACAAACTTCAATGACGGTTTTTCAATATTAAACTTGCATACAAATTATATGATACTTGCATGCAAGTTATATCATACAAGTTTCTTGTATGCAAGTTTATATGATGTAAAATTTTCTTTTCAACGACTTTTACTTTTTTATTCAGATGCAGCTTCAATGGAGGAAGACGGATTCCCAATCACTCAAGCAGGTTACAACTTTTATGAGGATAAGAAGACACGTGTGCTGCCATCAGACTTAACTTGGAATCAAAAAGAAGAAATAAGAAGGAAATGTGAAAATTGGCTTAAAGAAGTGAAATAAAAGGTCATTTTTATAAATCACATATGTAACAGATAGTAAAATATGTAAACAACTTAAGAAATAACTAAACATGCACTCTAACAGAAATTAAATCAAAATTGTATTGAAAATTTTTACTGATGATAATCTTTGATGTGTCACCATAGAAAAACAAGATTTTGGAGATCTACAATAAAATATTTGATACATGATCTTTTCTTACTTAAAAACATTAAATTATGAAAAATTTAAAGTTATTAAATAAACATTGATGTGAGCTTGCAACAATCAAAGCAGTGCAGTGTTCTGGAAAACGCAATGACAAAAGATCCGATAAAATTTTACTACATATAAAAAAACGATCAGATCTTAAGTAAAGTGGGCAAATTTGCTTCATTGGCCTAAGTGTCTGTGCCATCGGATTTGTAGTGGTGGTGGTCACTTGCGCTGAGGTTTTCAGAAGTTTAGATACTTCGCCCCTGTTTCATTTAAAGTGGAATTTTTCACTAGGATATAATAAACTGAAATGTCTCTTTGTATCAAATTAAATTTGATAAAAATATAAATTTGTCAAATATGAACAATGAAGAGTATTCAGGAATATACAATCCTGTGGAACGCTACTGAAAGTGGAACCTTCATCATTCAGGTGATGAGACAAAGGGAGCGAAACAAGTTGGAATTTATATTCCTGTATTCTTAATCGCTTTAGTGTACAGTCGTGCACTCCCTACTCTGATGATGATGAAGTAAAGTGTTCAGTTTTCTAATATTCTTGAAGGTGTAAAATCTCTTCTTAAGCGAAATGAATTAAAAGTGGTTTTAATAAAGTCTCCTCGTGCTTCCTTAAACCAGTCCCCGAGAAGTTCCGAGATATTCCTTTACTACGTAGAAAAGCATTTTACACATTTCTCTTTAGCACTCATTTAGCACTGAAAACTATCGTTCATCTAATCATTCATTTTATCAAAAAGTAAGAGTTGTTAAAAGTTCAAGTTTACAAGCTGTTAAAAAATTCTCTAGAGAAGTGAAAGAAGTAAAGAAGTTTTAGCCTACAAGACATAAGAAGTGATATCAGATCTGACTCCAACGATAAACGAAACTACCCAAGAAAGAAACATTTTTAAGATTCTTTTTATACGTATCATGCGGCTTCAGTTAAAGCAACTTAAATCTTCATACTTGTAGAATGATTCATGAAAGAATCTGAAAAAATTCGCAGCTTTTATTTCCTCATCTTTTCGCGAAGCAAAGCAATAATCATTTAGCTTCTTACAATTTGATATACAGGTATGAAATTAAAACTTCGTTTCTAATCTTTGCAAAAGTGTCGAATGTGTTTTATCAAAAAATTAAGTAAAAAAATTATGAGATATTGTTATCAGTTTCCTTATCAATTTTCTGATTAATTATAAGTTTGATCGTATAAATTTTTAAAACAATTCAGTTATAAGTTAAAAGTTTTCTAGTCAACATCAAGTTTAAAATGAGTGAAGAAAAAGATAAGAAAAAAGAAGAAATTGACGAGGTCATGGAAGAAATGCAAGCTGAAACATCAAGAAAAAGACCTAATGTTGTTCATGACGAAATTGATGTTAAAGGTCAATTTTCAAAAGTGGTTGCCAAAATTTTTCAGCCATCTAGAAAGAAATCAACTTCTAAAATTTCAAAACCAACTAAGGAACGATATTATGATCCCGCATTTAAGAGATTTGGAATAGCAGTGATATTTAATCAAATTACATTCTCTGGTATGGATAAAAGAAGTGGAACGAGAAAAGATGCTGAAGACTTGAGCAATGTTTTGGAAAAAATTGGATTCGAAGTAGAAGTTTGGGAAGATTTCACAACTAAACAAATCCGAAATAAATTAATTTCATGTTTGTGACAATCAAAGAGTTAACAAATTAAATTATTAAATTAAATTAATTTTTTCAGTGTCAGAAAGTGATCATTCAGACTGCTATTGTTTGCTTGTCACGCTGATGACCCATGGAGATGAAGACGGGCAAGTTTATTCACGTGATGGAGAGTTTAATGTTCAGGAACTTTGGGAAAACTTCTTAGGAGAAAATTGTGAAAGTTTAGTGACAAAACCAAAACTTTTCTTCGTTCAAGCATGTCGGGGTCGAATGGTTGATCCTGGAGTGATATTTAAACCGCAACCTAAATTAAGAATGATGCGTATGTCTGATACTGTCGACGCTCAGAACGTCGAACCAGATTATTATGTGTTACCATCAATGGCAGATATACTCGTAATGTACTCAACTTCCGAAGGTTATTATTCATTCCGAAATCCAAGTGAGGGATCGTGGTTTATTCAGGCTTTATGTCAGGAATTGAGTGAAAATTTAGAATGTGATTTGATGACTATACTCACTGGAGTAAATAGAAGTGTTGCCTTTGCAAAGCAATCAAACGTTCCTAATTCAAGTTATCATGAGATGAAACAAATGCCATGCATATTGTCAATGCTCACCAAAACAATGTACTTAAAGATATCAGAAAGATTTTTAGAAGATCAACTTGAAAATGCTTAATGCGATTAGTTAGTTAAATCAGCTAAGAATTCTTTCTGAAATTTTAAAACTTTTCGTTCCTAGTCTCAAGGTAAAAACAAAACGATGACTCAATGTCATCATCAAAAATCGTGATAAGTTAGACTTGATAACAAACAGCTACTTAATCTATTTGTATCTAATACAAAAAATAAAAACTTTCTTCAATTTTTATATCGAAACTAGAATTTAATTAAACTAACAATACAATTATGAAATATTTTTTAAATCTTCATCATCTAACGTTTATAAGAACTAAATTGATGATTAAATAAAGAAATTTCCAAAGATAACAACACGAAGCTTTTGAACCTTCTTGAATGGATAAATTTCCAACTAAATCTGAAGTAAGAACCGTGTCAAGATCTGTAACATTTGAGAATAGAATTTCATCGTCAAGTTTATTGATGATTTCATTTCCTTCTTTCTTAAAAATTTCCTTTTGTTGTTGCATAAAACTTTCCTTCTCAAGTTCTTCTTTCAATAAATGAATCGAACTTGGTTTTTTTCCACGAATGATTTCATTTCTCTGATCAATCACATGACCATAACAACGATCTTTATAATCAAACAGACACATTGCAAATGCAATTGCATGTGGAATGTATGTTTGATCTAACGACCCACTGAATAGAAGATTAGACATTGAACCAGTTGCGTATAAAGGGACGTCATCACCACCATGATTAGCCCATGTCAATGGCACTGCTGCCTTATGATAAGCATTTCTATGATCCGATTTTGCTAAATTTTCTTGATAGTTCTCAAAACCAAGACCACTCGAATACATTAGCAATTGATAAGGGCGCTTATCAACATTTGATAAATATTTATCCATGCCTAAGATTGAATGTTCCTTCGGTGTAGCGTAACCTGAGTAAATCATTGGCGAAGAATGGTCGCTTGTCACAATGATAAGAGAATTCGTCAGATCTAAAATTAAAAAATTCGTCATTGATTTCACCATATTGAGCTTAATGCTTAATCGTTTGAAGTTTATTTACCAACATTTTTAACTGCAACTTCTACAGCTTTATCTAAAGCAAGTGTGTCGTCCAATGCACGAAATGCATTATTGAAATGATGTGCAAGATCAATTTTCCCTGCTTCAACAATCAACATGAAACCATTTCGATTATTTCTTTTAAGAACTTTAATTGCCATTTTTGTCATTTCCGCTAATGATGGTTCAGCTTCCTTATCGCGGTCAGCATTGAACTTCATGTGTGAACTTGAGAATAGTCCAAGAACGTGTTCAGTGTCATCACTAATGTTCATCATCTGCCAACGGTCAGTAACAAATTCACCATTTGGATGGTCATTTTTCCAGGTCTTTATTAAGTTTCTTCCATCTTTTCGTCTTCCTTCTGATTCACTTTCTGGTATAAAGCTTCGATGCCCACCACCCATAATAACATTCAATCTTCGTCCAGTTTCATCTTCTATCAACTGTCTCGCAATGTCTTTACAAGTGGTGTCAATTTTCGAATCATCTTCCATATGACGACGTGAATGAGCATAAAGTGCGGCTTAAAATAAATTAAAACAAAATCAGATGATTTTTTGACACATCGCTGATGTTGTTGCCAACTAAAATTTTAACGCGTAATTAATACCTGGAGTTGCATGAGTTATTCTCGTTGTGGTTACAAAACTGGGAAGATTATGAAAGAGAAAAATGAAATTTTCAAATTATTTAATTATAGTTAAGCAGAAACATAACCGAGTTGACATTAATTAAATATGAGAAGTGACAGGGCAGAAAAACATTTTTTAAAATGAAACTTTCTCTTCGCAATCAATAGTTTGTTACGATCATAAATTTAATATGTGAAACCAACCCAGTTTTGAGGTTTTCATTCTGAGCCCAAGAGATGATCGATGGCGTGTCTGAATCGATATTGTTGCATATTTCATGATCTGCTGTTATGTCAACTCCAAGATTCTCAAAATTTGTTTTAACACCACAAAAAAGTGCTGTTGCAGCTGCTGCTGACTCAGATATTTGTGTATTTGCAGTGTCAGTTCGAATCATTGCTGAAGCCGGAAATTCGTCAAATGACAACAAAGCTTCAAAATTGTCTAATTTTTGTTTTTTATGAACGCGACTTGCTGTGACTGTCGTGAGTCCCATGCCATCGCCAACAAACAAAATAACATTTTTTACTCTCATGAGACTCTCCGGCTTCACATTAAATGAATTATATCTTTCTTTTATCAAGTCATAATTGAGATTATACCAATAGAGTTTATTTTTTGCATTCAATGTCGAAGCACAATGGCAACAAGTGAATGTCAAAAGTAACAAAAATATTCGAAAATGTATCACAGAAATTTTCATATTTCTTCTCTTAGTTTAATAATTCAACGATGTTTAAAACTTCACTTCACTTAAATGCTTTTCGTGAATTTCTATTAAATTTGTGAAAATAAATTTTAAGCGTCACAGACAAAATAATTTTTACCGATTTTTCCGCGCTCGATGATGAAAAATAAGCAAATCATCACGACAACACTCAACGACTTACTGAACTCTCAATGAGAAAATTTCAACGTCTACGAAGATTTTCTCATTTATTTTGCTTAATAAGAAAATATAAACATAAACTTGAGCTACTTGAAGAAATCTTATGGAGAAGAAAATCTCGGAAGTATTTTTAGACGACAACTTTAAATAATTTAATTACTGTGCGTGACATAAGAGAGGTTCGAGTCGTTGGTTGTTGTTCTATTCAAATTAAGTAATTAATGTGATGACAACTATTTTGACTACTCGTCTTCATTTTTGAACCCTGAAAATATTGTCGTACAGTGTCACTTCTTCATTAATCAACATCTCGTCTTAATTAGTTCTTTACAAACACCGCCCATACATCTTGAGAACTCTCAAAATTATTCTTACATAAATTTGAAAATTCCTTTGTGACATGAAGAAGAAAATTAAAAGTCGAGTTTTAACATAAAATTTTCCTAACGTATCTACATGTTTATTATTTTTAATTATATAAATTACACAAATTATTTTCACTATTGTAGTAACAAGCGCTCTCAATTAAATTTGATAAAAAAATTTACGACCACCAGCCACGACTCAATGAGTTTGTTGTGTGAATGAGAGAAGGAAATGTTGCGGTGGTCAGTGATGTTAAATGGTTGTTGATGCCGATTGAGTTGGATAAACTTGTCGTAAGAATATCTAAATGCTTTTGATTTCCTCCCAGACATGGTTTGCCGTCACGCACTAGAACAGGTACAGCGACTCGACGCGGTGAATGAAGATTCGCTGCGTTCATATTTTGATGATGTTGTTGATGATGATGATCCATGCCCTTCTCGTGTGCCGCTCTTTTCGTTTTGTATCGATGAGATCGGAAGAGCGTCGTGTAGGGAAAGAGTGNATAAAATGGAAGGTAAATGCTCGAAAGCGTGACAAAGTTTATCAACAGTTCCTTTCATTTGTTACCTGCATTGAAGTCATTACTTTCCAGTTTTACATTCATTTTTAACGTCAATTTTAAAAGCAGCAAACATTCCACAACCAACAGAATGTAAAGGAACTTTGAAATCCATGAAATTGCATCATACAATTGCATTTCATTCATGACAAAATTGTGCAAGGGAAGTTCAAACATTGAAGTAAAAATGAAAACCCTTTTTACGTTTATCATTAAATTTCTTTTCGAGAGTTTATTTCTGTCTATTTCTTAACATTAAACGGCTTAAAATTAATTTATTACCCTTAAACGATACATCAATGAACATTCAGAAGAAAGAAATTTATACAATTGAATACAATTGGACCTTAAGCCTAAAATATTGGGCAATTTAGCTACAGAGTGAGAAATTATTAATAATAGGAATTGATGTGAAGAAGCGGAAATCCTGCTTGTGAAGTGATAGCTGTAAAGCCGGGATGGTGTAAGTTGGTAGCTGATGAAACAACATTTGAGCCCACCAAGCATGGTCTTCCATTTCTTACTAACACAGGTACAGCGACTCGACGCGGTGAATGAAGATTCGCTGCGTTCATATTTTGATGATGTTGTTGATGATGATGATCCATGCCCTTCTCGTGTGCCGCTCTTTTCGTTTTGTATCGATGATTTTGAAACCAAATCTTCACTTGGGTTGGCGTCAATCGAATCAACGATGCGAGATGTTCACGTTCAGGTGCTGATAAGTATCGTTGTTGGCGGAATCGTCGTTCAAGTTCAAACGTTTGTGCTTTCGAGAACAAGACTCGTCGTTTCCGTTTCTTATTGATTCCATTTCCACCATTTTGACCGCCATCACCTGTTTGAGACGATCCATTGCCAGCATGATCGTCATCGTCTTCCATCTCCATAATCTCATCGCCGTCATCTTCAATGTCAACATCATGATCGTTGTCTTCATTGTCCGAAGGATAAGATTCAGATTTCTCTTGACTTTCGTGTTGACTCCTTCGGATGTCGATCTCATGATGACTTTGATGATGCTGAGCTTGCTGGTGGTTATGAAGTTGTTGTTGCAAGTGTTGGAAATATTTTCGGTTCTTCTCCATCACACTTTGTCTCGACAAATTCCCATAGGAAAGCTCGGTGAGTTCGGAGATGGGCGACGTGCTGTCTGTCGGACTCGAATGTTGAAAAACTGTAAAACGAAAGACGAAAACAAATGAAAAGAAGAAATAAATAAATAAATCAGACTCAACATCAATGACGCATCTGTTGCAGTAATCGATGAATAATAGAAATGCCCAACGACGAACGAGATGAAACGACACAAAGAAGGACGATCATCATCATAAAAGTCAACTTAAGGATGGGACTGAAAACACCTTTCGAGTGAATCTATTGACGTGGACAATGGAAGGTTCCGGTGTCCATTCCATTCTGTGTTGTTTTGTCGATTGAATGAATGCGGTTCGAGCTTGAAACTGAGAAGGATTCCAACAATTGAACGAGAACATGTAAACGGATGTGACTCATAAATTATGTTCGGTAATCGTTCTGGAAGTGCATCGACGCTTATTGCTGCCGCAATTTGAGAAAATTCTTTTGACAAATCATGAATTTCTAGTTTTATTCGAAATGATGATCAATTGTGATTGTTGTGAATTCACACGCCCATCGATCGTTTCTCATTTATTTCTGATATTCGCAGTTATGGGAACTTCAAAACTATTTTAATATCAACGAGACAATGCGGAAGGAATTGCAGATGTTTCATTCATTCGTGACAACAATTAGCATCGAATGGGCAATAAAGCTAAACAATTAATTGATGAGTTAGAACTATGAATGAATGTGAATGTGCAACATGAAAACAGCGCCACACAATGACACAATGGGAGTGGAATGGATGACATCGCAAAAGCCCATTAAAGGAAGAGAAAGAAAGAAATTTGTTCCCTCAACTTCGCAATGGATTCGATTTCAAAACTACCAACAATTAAAAAGTTTTTAAATCCATATCAAGCACCAACAGAATGTTGAGTTGAGTCAATAAAGAGAAGAGTACGAAGAGGGCTTGTAATTGTCGCATCTGCCACAAACATCGATTTGTTAAAATGAAGTCGACAACGAATGAGAACGAGCTTGAAATTGTGCAAAATTCATCATCGTCACCATCACGATGCGCTCAATTAAAGCGTGAAATTGTGTGAAAAATGAAGTTTGCTTGTTAACTCACCATTGGAATTGAACCACGGACGCATTGCCGGATGGTTGTGGAATAAATGCGGATATTGATGGAGAGTTTCGTTGAGAAGTTGATGACCTGAAGTGGCTTCATAAGTCGTTCGGTGGTCTTCTTCATGTCTCAAATGTTTCTTTGATTTCTTCCCATCTTTGATTTCTTGCGGTGATTGCGATTCTCTTGTTGTCAGACTAGATGGCGACGGGCTGTGCTTTCTCTTCACACAATTCTCGTCCCTTTCATGTTCTTCACTTTGATTGCTCAAATTTTCTTTCTTCATTTCAATTCCTTCATCACAATTTTCATCGTCGACTTTCTTCTCTCGTTTGTCTTTGTTTAGTTCAAGAATATCACAAATGTGGAAGCCAGAAGTCGGCTTCGTTGATGTCGGCAACTTCATGCTTTCAAGGAAACTGTGAACAACAAGAAGAAAAGTGATTAAGATTTGCAATTCAAATTCACCGGCGGATCAAACGATCACAACATTCTTGATGGCATCATTTGCGGAGAAAATACTTGAAAAGGTGTAAAAAGGACTCAAAAACCTTTCAAAACGAACACGAACGTGACCAACAAAGGCGAACTTAAAATTTCCGATCATAAAACTTCTCGGCCTCGACTTGAATTTTGGATTTCAAATGACTCAAGTGAAGAATTCTCACGAAATTAATTCCAAGAAATCAAAAAAGGAAAATTGAATTTTCCGGAAAATTCTTTCCTCATTGAACAATTTTCTAAATCAAAGAAAGGAATTTCCGATGTCTTCACATCTGGTGCAACCTTTTAAAGATCTTTTAACACCTCAAAGATGAGAAAAGAAAAACAAATCTGGGTTGGTTGAAGTTTTAAGAGTTTATGCTAATTATCATAAAAGAATAATGGAAAATCCCAGAAATTCCCAATGTTTTTCATATTTATGATGATCTGCCTTGTTCGCAAGCTGTAACATCTGGTAGCGATTTGTTTGTCATTCGCAAGACTCAAGAGTGTGGTGAACGAGGAATTGTGTCAAGGTTTTCACTTACTTTGGTAACGATCGAAGTGCCGCGGGATAAAATGCCGGAATTATCGTGGAATTCCAAGGCGGAAATAAAATTGGAGCCCACGATGGAAGTGCCGGTGGACTTGACGCTGCTGGCATTTTATTGTTATTGCTATTGTTATTATTTGTGTGATTTAAAGTCTCGTCACTAATTTCAGTTTCAGATATTCTCGTTATGGGCGACGGAGAATGATTGAAGTTCACTTTATCCTCGTCGTTTGCCACTTTGATTTCTTTTCTCATTTCATCCGATTTCATTGAGAATTTTTAATTTTCTTTTAAGAATTCAACAAATTATTAGACAATAAAAATTATTTTATTTTGAACATTTGATTTTCAATTATTTAATCTCAATTGATGCACCAACAAAACTTTTCTTCACTTTTCTACATACACAAACACAATGAAAATGAAAAACTCCTTCTAATCGTCTTTAAAAGTCCTTCATGAACGCTCGATAGCCTGATGATGACTGGAGTATCAGAGCACTCTTATGTTGCCGCACAAAAATGTTCTCATGTACACACTTCAGGCAGGACGTTCGTTGAGTGGCTTTTTTTCTTCCCTTAACTTGCACTCGAAGAATCCTTTTGAAAACGGCGAACGTGAAGCACGAAATGAAAAAGGAGAATGGAAAACATTTCAGCCAATCATAGACGAGACTTGTCGAGAACGGGGCGTGATTATTTCGAGGACACTTTACCATCATCATTCGTTCTCTTCACTTTTCTCTCTTCTATATTTAGTTGCCTTGCTGTTGATGTTCAAACAAGCATTTGCACAGTTGAGAACCCTCATTGCCTCGTTCTCATAATTGAAATTTATCTTCCATGATTCGCATTAAATCGAAACGAGAAAATCCTTCCAACATTTTTTTTTCATTGCCCTCCATCTCTGGGGTCTAATGGCTTTAGATGGTTCTCGAGTATTTTATTTCTGTCTGGAAATTAAGTGAAAGTTTCATTAGATCTCATTTCAATCACGTCAGATTTGGGATTTATAGCCCTCGCTTACTCCAGAATATTCATAAAAAAAAGTAGTTAAATGAATGTTTCGCCCTTCTTGCGCAAGCGGAACTCGAAATAAATGAATAAATGAAAGTTATTAATCTTCAGTAGATTATGAGACCCTTGGTAATGTTTCAGAAGCCCAAAGATCAATTGAATTACATCACCATTGAATTGACGGAACAAGACAATGATTTACGCAATCGATCCTATTTGAACACCTTTTCTGGCTTGTCGTGTTGTTTACACTCAGCAACATTCATCACACCTTTGTACGATTGTGCAAAGCAAAGCAAGAAATATTTTTATTGATTTTTCGCTTCTTTTTGTGAGAATGAAGAGAAAAAAGTTTTTTCAAGAACTTCAAAGAGCCGTCTCAAGTCCACCGGAAGTTGATTGTGCGAAAAAAAAGCGAAGGCTAAAAATTTTTTTCGGTTCCGGATCCTCCTGAAAGACTCGTTATTTCAATAGTGCCAGCTTGTACAAAGTTTACGAGTTTACGTTGTTCATGTCATTTATCTCAATTAATTTATGTGACATGAAATTCGTTTTCTATTTTTAAAGCATAAGAATTGAGGCCATTTAGCAATTTGAAAGATTGGATTGGAATTGAATGGGTTCGGAAGCAGAGAAATTTTTTTAAGTGATGATGTTGCAAAAAAAAAGTCTCAAATCATGATGCAATGTCGTTTTCGAAGATACCAGAAAGAAGGAATAAAAGTTTTTCACTTATGCTGACGTAAATCACGCCCACTCTTGCTATCGATTGGTGATGAAAAATTATGTTCTTCAATGATTTGATTCAGATGCTCCCCATCTAAAGGCATTTAATTCGAGGGGAATTTTTCTTCTTATTGAATGAACTGAGCCATGTGGTTGTGAAGATTTACAAGTTTTCTCATCTCTTCATCATGAAACGAAGACTTAATGGCTATTACTATCAATTTTCATGCAAACAACGTCATTAAATGAGCTTGTAAAGTTTCGGATGTCGACAAGAGATTCTCATTTCTCAATGGAATTTAGACAAGAAAAAACCAAATATGTTGCACTTAAATAAAATTCCTTGACAGGTCCAGAAGAACTCTTCAAAATTTACATAATTTTTATTTTAAACAAGAAAGGAAGAAGAATTATGTGTAAGAAAAGAATGAGGAAAAAAAGGTGAGAAGCTTTGTGGATAAGAGTAAGTAATGAAGGCATGTCCGAAAGTTATAACTGTGACGCATTGAAAATCATGAAACTGAGGAATGTCTTCAACCTTGACGTCATTCATGAATAGTTTCTTAAACAAACACCATCATCTAAGGCAGGTAATTTTACAACCATTTGCACTTTGTTTTTGCATAAATTAAAGACAATTCAAATGAAGATTTTCTTACCTGCTTTCATCTAGCTCCGATCTGTCTGGTTGTGCACATTTTAAAGATTTTGAGGAAATTCCGATCGTAAAAATCTTCGAAATATTTTTGTTTCCAGATTGTCTGGTTCTGCTGTTTCAATGATGTTCACTTACTTGTCTTAACATAAAATATCAAAAGGGCTTCGAACAACTTCATTAATATGGAAATTTTATTTTCTGAAGAATAAATTTCATTTGTTTGAGATATTTGGGAAGGAAATCCTTTCTAAAGCAGAATTTGTACAGGGTTACTCCAATAAAAATTAATCCATTACACGTTTACATAAATCTTTCATATCGCAAAAATCTCTCGAGCATAAATTATCTAATCATGCATAAATATTGTGAATATTTTTAAGCATCTGCACTTCCAATGAATTCTCCGACGATCGAAAATTTTCTGTCGACTCGACAAGAACAAATTCAATTCGAATTTATTTATTTTCGAGGAAAAGGAAAAGCAATCAAAAGAGAAACTTGAAAAGCATTATTGTTGTTGGTTGACTTCCGTGCTTCGGCATATTTTTAGTGTTCCATCGCGTGGCTAAGGAAAATCGATAAAACTCGTAGATTTTATTGAAGTAACTTTAATGCAAAAGATTTTCGTAAGGGAAAATTAAAGACATGTCAGATGAGTTTAATTCTCAATTAAATTCTAGATGACGATGGTGTAGTTGGTGCTGCAGTCCACCAAGTTGTTTGTTCAGTTGTAGAAGTCGTTGTCGTGTTTGGAACTAAATTCTGTTCATTCTCGAAAGGAATGTTGAAGATCTGAAGAATGATGTTTCCATTACCATTTCCATTATTTCCATTCTCGTTTCCGTTGCCATTTGCAAGACCATTCAGAACATCATTACCTGTGATAAATTTTTAAGGAAATTTTACTCTGATTTGAAAGTTGATTTTCTTACCGCTTAGTTTTCCATTGTGGGTTTCGTTGAAATTAACATCAATTTTGATGGTGTCGTCGATTGGCGGCTCTTCATCTGCAGCATTCTCATTGTCGATGCTTTCAAACAATTTCTTGATATTATAAACGTCGTCATGAATAGCAGTCTTAAGTGCTTCTTCGAATTGTTTTAAATTAGTTTGACTTAAACGAATATTTCGAGCATTAACGGAAATGCTGAAGAAAACCAAAAGAAAAACTAAAGAAAATTTTAAATTCATCATTTTGATAAAGTAGAAGTTAACTGCGATTAAACTCAAAGAAAGTTAGAAGTAAACTAACGAAAGAAATATCAGAAATTCAAAATTTTATTTGCTTTAATCGACGGCTTATTACAATTGTTCTTCTAATTACCCGGAAAGATAATTTTATGCTTTTATTGATGACAATCGATAACGATAAACATTTGAACAATAAAATCTTGAAGTCTAAACAATTTTGTTGTGAAATTAATTTGGAAATTATTTTATGACAAGAATGGACATGAATCGGAAGTTTATTACAGCGCGCCCATCACGTGTCATTGACGGTTGATTCATGTTTATCCATTGAAAAATGGAAAAATCAACTTTAAAATGATGCAATTAGGAACTGAGTCGAAATCCTTGGTGGGCTCATCGTTGACTGAATTTCTCTTGTTGCATTGCATGTCACTTTGGCGTTTACATTCAACAAACATTGAAGTTTGAGTTTCACTTAAAGCGCACTCAGTCACGTGCACATTGACTTCACATTTGAATACTTTTGTGGATGTGAAGTGAACAATTCATGTTGCTTATCATCAAGGAGTGGCGATTGTGTCTTCAAATGGTCATTGTCAATTCTGCGTTGTCATCATAAAAGCGATTTTAATATATTAAGAGATGCAATTTGAATATTTGAAGATTCGAAGAAGGAAATAAAAATCAAAGTGTGAACATCAATTTTCATAATTCTCAACCCGATGCTTCAGCTCAACAACAATTGCCAAGAACAAGAAGAACGAGGGTGAAGACTTTATTGCATTAATATGAAACAACAAGCAGTAGTGAAAAAGGGCGAGGGTGTTGAGAAATATTTGATTGTTTGTTGTCGGGTATTATGTGGAATCAAAAAGCATAAGTTTTCTAATTGTTTTTAGGTGTTTATTTGCTGGTTATATAAATTTCACATTTAATGATTCAATAAATTTCTCAATAACATTTTGATTCTCGTCTTTAATATGCCAACACGTGTCAATGGGAAAACTTTCAAACATTAAATTTACAACGAAATGAAAAATCTCAGAACCATTAAGTGAGTGTGTCATGATGTTTAATTGCGGCTCATTTTGATCGTGGGGAAGGAAAGAGAGCTCTGAATTTTTAATTAACTTTTACCAACGAAACAACGATGATGAAGTTTTTCCTTCGTTTTGTTTTTGGGTGGAATGAAATGAAAAACGTTGTAACCGTAAATGACTTTTATGAACCATCGAATGAAGTTAAAAGCCATTCTAATTAAGATAAATGACGTGTTAAAGCGCAGAACAAAAATTAATTCCACTGCTTTAATGCCATTTTTATGAATAACAACCCAAGCACAGGGCTTAACGCGCTTGAACTTTATGAGATTTTCCTCTGCCATTGATGATTGTCAACGTTCGTTTAGATATTTGTGAAAGAACGAGAGAAAAAGGAAAAAAAAATAAAATAAACGTTTCGATGGTGACACACAAAGAACGTTGAGATTTTATCATCTTTTGTTGTGGGATTTACGCCTGATGTTGTTGCTGGTATGCCAAACAATGATGTTGATTCGCTGTTAACAATAAACGCTTTCGTATCAAAATGAAATCCATTTTTCTCATCATATGCCATGAGAATGAATGGCTTGAGTGAATGTGATGAAGGCAAAACTCGCAAATTCACTTTCCTGTATTAAGCTCAATCAATTTTCGTCAGATAAAAAACTTCATCGTCAAGGGATCAATTCATGATTTATGTCACAATGTGTACCAACAAAAGCAAAGCAGGCATTTGCTTCCATATCTGATTATTCATCCCCTCGTTACTTCATGTAAATAAATAATAAAAATCTACATCATCATCACTCTCTTTAACCCGAGCATCATCAAAAATGGTTTTAATTAAACTTTTTTTTTATTCTTCTTCTTCTTTTTCTCGTTAGTCCCTTCAGTACATTGCCTTTGTGTTACATAGTGAAAGCACCTTTTGCATAGATGATGATTTCTGACAGCGCACCCGATGGGCTTTCGTAAACTGTCTCGGTGGAATGAAAGCCATTTAATGGCGCTCATACAATTTGATGTTTCTTTTCATAAAAAAAAGCTAATTGTGTGTGTATGTGTGTATGCTTGAATGATTCTTTATCCTATTTTTTCATACTGATGGTTTTATGATGTTGAAAATACAAAAAAAGAAAGAAGAAGAAAACTCGTTTAATGTTTTTATTCTATTGAAGCTAATATGGAAAACAAAACGGTTACACGATATAAATTTCAATTATGAGAACGAGGCAATGAGGGTTCTCAACTGTGCAAATGCTTGTTTGAACATCAACAGCAAGGCAACTAAATATAGAAGAGAGAAAAGTGAAGAGAACGAATGATGATGGTAAAGTGTCCTCGAAATAATCACGCCCCGTTCTCGACAAGTCTCGTCTATGATTGGCTGAAATGTTTTCCATTCTCCTTTTTCATTTCGTGCTTCACGTTCGCCGTTTTCAAAAGGATTCTTCGAGTGCAAGTTAAGGGAAGAAAAAAAGCCACTCAACGAACGTCCTGCCTGAAGTGTGTACATGAGAACATTTTTGTGCGGCAACATAAGAGTGCTCTGATACTCCAGTCATCATCAGGCTATCGAGCGTTCATGAAGGACTTTTAAAGACGATTAGAAGGAGTTTTTCATTTTCATTGTGTTTGTGTATGTAGAAAAGTGAAGAAAAGTTTTGTTGGTGCATCAATTGAGATTAAATAATTGAAAATCAAATGTTCAAAATAAAATAATTTTTATTGTCTAATAATTTGTTGAATTCTTAAAAGAAAATTAAAAATTCTCAATGAAATCGGATGAAATGAGAAAAGAAATCAAAGTGGCAAACGACGAGGATAAAGTGAACTTCAATCATTCTCCGTCGCCCATAACGAGAATATCTGAAACTGAAATTAGTGACGAGACTTTAAATCACACAAATAATAACAATAACAATAAAATGCCAGCAGCATCAAGTCCACCGGCACTTCCATCGTGGGCTCCAATTTTATTTCCGCCTTGGAATTCCACGATACTTCCGGCATTTTATCCCGCGGCACTTCGATCGTTACCAAAGTAAGTGAAAATCTTGACACAATTCTTCGTTCACCACACTCTTGAGTCTTGCGAATGACAAACAAATCGCTACCAGATGTGACAGCTTACGAACAAGGCAGATCATCATAAATATGAAAAACATTGGGAATTTCTGGGATTTTCCATTATTCTTTTATGATAATTAACATAAACTCTTAAAACTTCAACCAACCCAGATTTGTTTTTCTTTTCTCATCTTTGAGGTGTTAAAAGATCTTTAAAAAAGGTTGCACCAGATGTGAAGACATCGGAAATTCCTTTCTTTGCTTTAGAAAATTGTTCAATGAGGAAAGAATTTTCCGGAAAATTCAATTTTCCTTTTTTGATTTCTTGGAATTAATTTCGTGAGAATTCTTCACTTGAGTCATTTGAAATCCAAAATTCAAGTCGAGGCCGAGAAGTTTTATGATCGGAAATTTTAAGTTCGCCTTTGTTGGTCACGTTCGTGTTCGTTTTGAAAGGTTTTTGAGTCCTTTTTACACCTTTTCAAGTATTTTCTCCGCAAATGATGCCATCAAGAATGTTGTGATCGTTTGATCCGCCGGTGAATTTGAATTGCAAATCTTAATCGATTTTCTTCTTGTTGTTCACAGTTTCCTTGAAAGCATGAAGTTGCCGACATCAACGAAGCCGACTTCTGGCTTCCACATTTGTGATATTCTTGAACTAAACAAAGACAAACGAGAGAAGAAAGTCGACGATGAAAATTGTGATGAAGGAATTGAAATGAAGAAAGAAAATTTGAGCAATCAAAGTGAAGAACATGAAAGGGACGAGAATTGTGTGAAGAGAAAGCACAGCCCGTCGCCATCTAGTCTGACAACAAGAGAATCGCAATCACCGCAAGATATCAAAGATGGGAAGAAATCAAAGAAACATTTGAGACATGAAGAAGACCATCGAACGACTTATGAAGCCACTTCAGGTCATCAACTTCTCAACGAAACTCTCCATCAATATCCGCATTTATTCCACAACCATCCGGCAATGCGTCCGTGGTTCAATTCCAATGGTGAGTTAACAAGCAAACTTCATTTTTCACACAATTTCACGCTTTAATTGAGCGCATCGTGATGGTGACGATGATGAATGTTGCACAATTTCAAGCTCGTCCCATTCGTTGTCGACTTCAATTCAACAAATCGATGTTTGTGGCAGATGCGACAATTACAAGCCCTCTTCGTACTCTTCTCTTTATTGACTCAACTCAACATTCTGTCGGTGCTTGATATGGATTTAAAAACTTTTTAATTGTTGGTAGTTTTGAAATCGAATCCAATGCGAAGTTGAGGGAACAAATTTCTTTCTTTCTCTTCCTTTAATGGGCTTTTGCGATGTCATCCATTCCACTCCCATTGTGTCATTGTGTGGCGCTGTTTTCATGTTGCACATTCACATTCATTCATAGTTCTAACTCATCAATTAATTGTTTCGTTTTATTGCCCATTCGATGCTAATTGTTGTCACGAATGAATGAAACATCTGCAATTCCTTCCGCATTGTCTCGTTGATATTAAAATAGTTTTGAAGTTCCCATAACTGCGAATATCAGAAATAAATGAGAAACGATCAATGGGCGTGTGAATTCACAACAATCACAATTGATCATCATTTCGAATAAAACTAGAAATTCATGATTTGTCAAAAGAATTTTCTCAAATTGCGGCAGCAATAAGCGTCGATGCACTTCCAGAACGATTACCGAACATAATTTATGAGTCACATCCGTTTACATGTTCTCGTTCAATTGTTGGAATCCTTCTCAGTTTCAAGCTCGAACCGCATTCATTCAATCGACAAAACAACACAGAATGGAATGGACACCGGAACCTTCCATTGTCCACGTCAATAGATTCACTCGAAAGGTGTTTTCAGTCCCATCCTTAAGTTGACTTTTATGATGATGATCGTCCTTCTTTGTGTCGTTTCATCTCGTTCGTCGTTGGGCATTTCCATTATTCATCGATTACTGCAACAGATGCGTCATTGATGTTGAGTCTGATTTATTTATTTATTTCTTCTTTTCATTTGTTTTCGTCTTTCGTTTTACAGTTTTTCAACATTCGAGTCCGACAGACAGCACGTCGCCCATCTCCGAACTCACCGAGCTTTCCTATGGGAATTTGTCGAGACAAAGTGTGATGGAGAAGAACCGAAAATATTTCCAACACTTGCAACAACAACTTCATAACCACCAACAAGCTCAGCATCATCAAAGTCATCATGAGATCGACATCCGAAGGAGTCAACACGAAAGTCAAGAGAAATCTGAATCTTATCCTTCGGACAATGAAGACAACGATCATGATGTTGACATTGAAGATGACGGCGATGAGATTATGGAGATGGAAGACGATGACGATCATGCTGGCAATGGATCGTCTCAAACAGGTGATGGCGGTCAAAATGGTGGAAATGGAATCAATAAGAAACGGAAACGACGAGTCTTGTTCTCGAAAGCACAAACGTTTGAACTTGAACGACGATTCCGCCAACAACGATACTTATCAGCACCTGAACGTGAACATCTCGCATCGTTGATTCGATTGACGCCAACCCAAGTGAAGATTTGGTTTCAAAATCATCGATACAAAACGAAAAGGGCGGCACACGAGAAGGGCATGGATCATCATCATCAACAACATCATCAAAATATGAACGCAGCAAATCTTCATTCACCGCGTCGAGTCGCTGTACCTGTGTTAGTAAGAAATGGAAGACCATGCTTGGTGGGATCAAATGTTGTTTCATCAGCTACCAACTTACACCATCCCGGCTTTACAGCAATCACTTCACAAGCAGGATTTCCGCTTCTTCACATCAATTCCTATTATTAATAATTTCTCACTCTGTAGCTAAATTGCCCAATATTTTAGGCTTAAGGTCCAATTGTATTCAATTGTATAAATTTCTTTCTTCTGAATGTTCATTGATGTATCGTTTAAGGGTAATAAATTAATTTTAAGCCGTTTAATGTTAAGAAATAGACAGAAATAAACTCTCGAAAAGAAATTTAATGATAAACGTAAAAAGGGTTTTCATTATTACTTCAATGTTTGAACTTCCCTTGCACAATTTTGTCATGAATGAAATGCAATTGTATGATGCAATTTCATGGATTTCAAAGTTCCTTTACATTCTGTCGGTTGTGGAATGTTTGCTGCTTTTAAAATTGACGTTAAAAATGAATGTAAAACTGGAAAGTAATGACTTCAATGCAGGTAACAAATGAAAGGAACTGTTGATAAACTTTGTCACGCTTTCGGATATTTACCTTTCATTTTATTTATCCTAAGTCAATTTGTTATTAAAACTCTTCCATGTAACTTAATATTAGAACAGTTCCTAAAACTCTACCTCTCTTGAGTAAGAATTTAAAAATTTATTGTGACTTTTGTAAGCCAAAAAAAGGAACTAAAAATTGACTTCATGTTCCGCCTTTTGTTCATGCCCTAAAAATTGCTGAATAGCATCGTAGAAGGACTTTTGGTTGTGAATGCGATTGTTTGAGAGGACGAACATAAATTTCTTTCAATAAGATCACTAACAATAGAAGTTATTCAATGAACCGGATGTAGTTTTGATAACGCAAAAAGAAGTTGAATGCTTTTGATGGAATTAGTTGCGCATGCTTTTTTATGTTTTTTAATCTCGCATGGTGCACTCGTGATGACTAAAGTGGCTTTCATGTCAAGAGTCGAAGAAGAATCCTTCTTTAGATCTCACCACCAATAAATTCCTTTCGGTCATCGCACACAATTCGAGTCATAATTGAACTGAAGACGGATGTTGAAAGATTTTCTTCCGGCTTATGATTCCATCTGGACATGAAAATTCAATCGCATCCCTAATAAAATATTCAGGAAGTCACAATTGCTTTTATCTCAATAAAAATTTTTGATATTTAAATCCGCTTACGAACAATTTATTAAAATTTTCTCACTCGATGATATTTCATTTTTACCTTCACATAAACCTCAGTGAGAGTACAAAATCATTTTTAAAAAAGACTAAAAGTTAATTTGGCATGTCATTTATCTTAATTTACTCCCATAACACATCACATTAAATGCGATTTTGATTTCTGAGAGTCATTTAAGTGCGCCCTTCGAGACATTGAAGACTTCTCGCATGTTGAATAAATTTTTAATCAAAAGTCTAAAACGGCAATCAATTAACTGGCATGTTATCCTTTAATACCACGAAATGTTCAACACACAATGAATGGAAAAGGCAGATGATGAAGGAAAACAGATTTCCTTGTGTGTAATGGAACCCCTTAAAGTGAAAAACCATTTCCCACCCTCGCCCTATTCCTTCTACAAATCTTGATGTGTTTATTGTTTCGTGTTGTTAATAAACAAAATGCAATAAAGTCTTCACCCTCGTTCTTCTTGTTCTTGGCAATTGTTGTTGAGCTGAAGCATCGGGTTGAGAATTATGAAAATTGATGTTCACACTTTGATTTTTCTTTCCTTCTTCGAATCTTCAAACATTCAAATTGCATCTCTTAATGCATATTAAACTCGCTTTTATGATGACAACGCAGAATTGACAATGACCATTTGAAGACACAATCGCCACTCCTTGATGATAAGCAACATGAATTGTTCACTTCACATCCACAAAAGTATTCAAATGTGAAGTCAATGTGCACGTGACTGAGTGCGCTTTAAGTGAAACTCAAACTTCAATGTTTGTTGAATGTAAACGCCAAAGTGACATGCAATGCAACAAGAGAAATTCAGTCAACGATGAGCCCACCAAGGATTTTGACTCAGTTCCTAATTGCATCATTTTAAAGTTGATTTTTCAATGGATAAACATGAATCAACCGTCAATGACACGTGATGGGCGCGCTGTAATAAACTTCCGATTCATGTCCATTTCATGTTGACCCCCATCGACTGTCCATTATGCAAAGATATCATTTGATTCGATTTAAATTGAAATGTTATTAGATTTTCTCCTTTATTATGCCGATTCCGTTTGTTGTTATTCATAAAGTTTTATAGGATTGCCTTCATTTCCGTTTTCCGGCATTTCCATGTCCGACTTAAATAATATCACAAAATTCCTTCAACATCAATCTGAATACAATTACAATTATCTTCCTCGAGTTTCTGACTATCGGACATGAGAATAAAGAAAATAATTTTGTGAGGGTTGGAAAAAGATTCGTTTCCTTAAATGATTATTAAGTCATTAATTTAAAATCAGATCAAATTCAAATTTTCAAGGCCATTAAATTTTAAAGTAATTTCCTCAATCGACTTGCTGATGTCTTCATCATTTATTCAAACAACTCTTTCCAGATGAAAATTCTACATACTAACTTCGATTATCTGTTAACAAATGAAAAGAAGGAAAAAATTCACAAGTCATTTAAGTCGAGGAAATTTTAAAAATTTCAAATGCAAACCAGGGAGGGTTGACGAGAAAAGAAACTTTTTTTAAACATCACGCAACCACACCTCGATAAATCATTTTGTGTGTAATCTTTTTAAAATAAAATTTTAAAGTGAGTAGAATGGGAGTCGAGGAAGTTTAAGTTGCAGCTGAAATGTCATGAAATTTATTTGCTTTCGCCGACAACTTTTTTTTTCTCTTTCCTTTCATTCTTTCGCTGACTTTCTACTATTTTGTTAATTCCATTAAAATCCTTTACGAGCATTTATCTATGCGAAAATAATTCGAATTACATGCTCTAGCTACTTGAAATTATTCAATTCTCAGTTTATTTTCATAAACCAACTCCCTGAAGTTGATGGGAAAAGGATCGCAATAAGGGAAAACGCTTGAAGTCACAACATAAAAACCCCGACACTGCTTAATCTCCAAACAGATAAAAAACATTTTTGCGACCATAAATCTTATGATTCTTTTCGACGAAAGCAACTCGCAACATAAAACATATTTTTTATGCTGAGAACGGGGATTCCCTCGTATTGAAAAAACTTTTTTTATTGTTGTCTAACATTTAATGTAATTGAAAGGGATGAGAGAATATTATCAAGTCAGTTCTTGTCCTTGTGACGTCTACTTTTTTACGAACATTAAGCAAATTAGATCAAATCGCCGATGTCGATAGTGAATGGTGTGCTTCGTACATTTAATGATCTAACTTTCTTTTATGACTCATTCACTATCAAATTCTTCTTATTCTGTTGAATATGATATTTGAGTTTTAATTACAATGACAAAAACGCGTGTGATTGATGACCTTTGATTGTGACCTAGAATATGTTTACTCTTCACATGGGAGAAAGCATTAATGGATGTAATGGACGAACGTTTCCTTTCAAACCAAATTAACATGATTCACTCATTGATATTATCTTGTGGAAGCATAAATATAAAAAAGCAGATCTCTGTCGCATCCTTTTTTTTTCTTCTTCATCAAAGTCCTTAAATCGTGGTCACTTGAGCGTGAACAAAAAAGATAAAAACTCTCGGATCGTTCATCAATAATAAATTTATGAGCTGTGCGAATCTGATTTGAAGCATGTTTCATTCATTTAACCTTCCACCACCACACGCATTTGTGAATCTAAATCATTTCTCCTTGTTCCTGTTATTGTTGTTGTTGTTGATCTTCACTTAAACATTTGTGAAAAGTCATTCAGTTAATGGACATAATTCACTTATGTATGAAAACAATTTTCAACATGAATCGAAGGATACTTTAGTTTGAAATTGTTTGTATACATGTCCAACATCTTGCCTCGGAATGAACAATGCATGTATGAAAATAAAATATAATTGAATCGGAAATTAGGTCTTTGTAGATTTAATTGAATTTAAGTTTTCTTTTTTCATTCTTGAAGACGGTCAGCAACAATTATTGTGTGTTAGAAGTGCAAGAATCTAATTATTCATGGGTAATTGCTTGGTATTGTCAAGTCTTTTATATTCTTTTCCGGTTTATGGTTTATCCTTGAAAATGCTTCTTTGGGCGAAAACATCAACTTCAAAGAATATGAAATGTGTGGGAGAGTTGACAATAATCCAAGTGCTTTAACATTTCTTGTGGTCAATGAATCGATTGTCTAACACAAAATTGGTTTATTTGTTGCCTTCTTACGCTCTAAAGAATCTTTAAAAGACGACAAATTGAAATCACGTCTGAAACATTAATCTGAAACTAATTGCATCATGAAAATCTCATTTCAATGTTGTCTTGTTTGCGTAAAGTATTTTCAGAATGAAAGTTGCTAAACGGCAATTTGAGGGATAAAAAATATTCCAAATTGAGTTTTTCCTGATGCAAACTTTCACTTGCACTGCGGGATATTTTTATATTAAAAAAACTTACTAAGGCTTGAAGACTTTTGTCGATTATTTCCATGAAGATAAAAAGACTTGAGTTCAATCTAAATAAGTAGTGAAGAACGAATTAAATTATTCAAGTCAATTTAATGTCACGTAAAGTCCATAAATGATGTTGATGAAGGATAAATTCTTCAACCTGTCTCACGCTGCTTAAAGTTTAAAGTTTTTCTTATATTAAATGTTGTTGATGCATTAGATGAAAATCTGGTTGTAACATTTCGAAACTTCCACCATCACGTTTCATTCATCATTGAATTTTCAATTTCACGGTATTAGGCGATGAATAAACACGTTCACACCTTCGCATCCACCAACGAATTAGATTCAATTATGATTGGATTATTCTCTAAAGAAAAGAATAGTTTTGAAGGAAATTTTAATCCCTGTTGCTGCCCAACAAATCCGTTCTCTCGCCTTTGTCGACATAAAAACATCATCAACAAATTGAACTTCATTTCGAAATAAAAAAAACTTTTTCAATCAAAACTTTCCTTTCTTATTTCGGAAACATGTTTATTTGTATCTTTAACACTTCTTTAGTTTCTTTATGTTGCCCTTCGATTTATTTTGAAGGTGTCAGGAACAATGGAGATGAATTCATGTTCGGAACTAGTAGAAGATTTTTCTTTCTTCGTTTCTTTCCTTTTTTCCGACCAGTTACAAATTTCTTCGATTGGAAGTTCTTTGTATCCATTCAACATGACAAAGCGCTACTATTTAAAGCTAATCCTGAAATTGCTAAATTGATCTTATTAAAGAGCAGAGGGCACATTTTGGTTTATTGTTTGACAGACCCAGAATGTGTCAAATCATTTCAAATGTCGATGGGAAATGTATATCAAAGTGGATTTTATTCTTTGTACCGAAAATATCTTTCAATGCTAAAATCACAATGGAAAAGCATAACGTTTGAGATATTTCAATGACTGCAACAAACTTTTGTTATTAGAAAATTTGTTGTTATGAAATTACCTTTATTAGAAAGTGGCACTGCACAAACTTAGCATAGAATTCCATTTAAAAGTACAAACATAAACAAATATCTTAGCATTAAATTTTTTTAAGTTTATTAAGTTTCACGATCAATTCATGCAGATAACTTCTCAAATTATTTAAAAAACAAACGTAGCCAATTATTTATCCACATTTGTATCGGCAATTAATTTTTTTTTCTAATACGAGTTGAACATACAAAGCAAAAATAAATTGCTTTTGAACATAATTAAAATGAAGAAATATTCATACATTTAAATTAACAAAGAATGAAACATTTTCACTGCTTTTACGTCAAGCATTTGATCGACCCAAATAACTTACATTCACATAAATCGATAAAGATATCGACAACTCGGCATTTCTTTTATTACCATTCGTCTCTATAGTGCTTCGATATTAGCCAATGCCGTATCAAAAGACCTATAAGTATCCATTTCATTCTGAAAACAGAAGCGACAAAGAAAGGGGGAAAATCTGGAAAAGTTGAACAAAAGGAAAACAACAATAATGAAAATGATTATTTATCGTTATCGCTCTAGAGTTTCGTTCCGATGAGAGAGAAATTTTTTATAAAAAAACTTTCATCCGGTCCATTGAATCATCAGTTTTGTTGAAGAAACTTTTATGTCATCCGATCGATTTGAAGTCTTCAAAACGATAAATTTTCCTGATATTAACAATAGCAAAGGTCCTTTAATTCGATTGTGTTTGATTTTGAATGAGCGGAACGTTTGATTGAATATTTGGAAAGGAAGAAGTTAAAAGTCAATGACAATCAATGACCGGATCACTTAAATAAAACTTTTTAAATTCCTTTTAAGTTTAAAGTCGTTTCATTGGATATCAAACATATTTCAACATAAATTCCGACATTAACGTGTGTCGCAACTTGTCGAATCGTTTCCTGATTCAAATAATACTTACAATCGATTGAATTCGTTACGATCAAAAGAAAAAAAAAATCTTTATTGGCAATAATAACTATGGAATGTCTGTTCTTACATGCTTAACAATCTCCAAGCAATAATCAACATCATACATCAGAAATGTTGGATGGCTTCCTCTTTATTTTCAACAGAATCCATCACAACATCATTGTCAAGGAAGCTCAAAGGTTTCGATTTTGGTTCAGGGTTTTCCAACTTTTGATTAAAATCATTTTAAGACACGTAACAATATAATTATGTTTCATGCATTAAAGGCATTTAAACGAAGTTACGTTAACTCTTTTTTTTTCTTTGATCAGAAAAAATATCACAGCAATGTCCATTAAACTTCGTTTTTCTCTTTTTTATGCTTGGAATTTCATTAAAGTAAAACAAGCAAAAATTAAACACCAGAAATAATCACAAACTCTCAAGTGAAATTTTCGACTCTTTGTAATTTTTTTGCTCTTCTATAATAGTGGTGAGTGTCTTAAAAACATTATCAGGAAGATGATCAAGCACCATTCGTGGCATAACTTTAAACTCTTGAAACTCTTCTGGTTGACACCATCGCATCTCATACGTTGGACCGCCTGTCTTCGTTTTTCTAGAAGATTTAAAATATTAAAAATTAGTTAAAAACTTCAATCAAATGATATGAAGTGTCATTGAATTAATTTAAGACTCAATTTTAGTTAAATTATCGTTGAGTAAATTGCGGCAAATAAATATCGCGTCATAAATAATAAAATTTATCAACTTAGACGTTTAATGAACTCAATGGAGTTTAAAGAAATAATCAAAGCAAATCATGTGTCATCATCATTTAAAGCGATTATTCTTCAACTTACTTCTCCATTTCCGTTTTCTTCCTTCTAATGATGTGAAGAATTCTTCCGCCTGTGTAGAGTCGTGTCTTGGCAAATCTTCTTGATGAGATTTCTTTAGATACAAGTGCAGCTTCAGCATTAATCTGGTCAACGTCTAATGTAGCTTGTGCGGCTTCTGACTGTTGAATGCTTAAATCTGACACGTCACGCCAGGTGGTCTCTAAATCGCGAGATGGAATGTTAAACATCGTATATCCAAATCCATTCAGCATGATACGATACTGTAAACATTATATAAAGAAAAAAAATCTTCAGCTACTTTAGTAGTTAATTAAACCATAAAAATATTTCAACCTTTGGTAACTTGGAAGCTCTTAACGTTTCAATGACGTTTGTTCGTATATTTTCGACCGATTCCACACAAAGTCTCATCACGAAATCATCGCCAACGCCGACGGTAAAAACAAATGATTCAGTTACGCGTGCTGCTTCTCGACTTAATAAGCCAGCTGGCGTTGCAAAAGCATAGACACGCAAATCTGGATATTTCTCTCTCAGTTTCGCACCTATGAGAATTGACACACCGCCACCTAAGCTATGACCAGTTAAGGTCAACGTATAATCTGCGTAAGTGTTACAAACACGATCCAATAATTTGCCTTCTTGAAGACGATTTAAAAGTTTTTCAGCACCAATTACCATTCCACGATGTGCTGCTGATCCGGGTGGAAATCCAGGGGCTTGAAAATCTAAAGCATCTGCGGTTAAGTCAGTGAAAACATCGCGGAATGATAAACTACCACGCACTGACACAACAATTTGTTTCTTCTTATGATCTAATAATATGCAGTATGGTAACTCAAAAATATGATTCTTCATGTTGACATGAATGATGTCTTCGGATCGAAGTCGTGAGATTTCAATGACTCCACCGAAATGGCACAAGCAACAATTGTCGGCGACAACATCTGTTCGATTACGACAACAACCGCAACATGTTATGTTCTTGAGAAGTTTAAAACAACCAGAACAACATTTTAGATAACAAACCATCGGCCATCCATAAGATGCGAGTGCAAATCTCAACATGTGACGAGCGTTTGGAATTGTCATCCACGGTGGTGATGTCGCAAAAAGACGTGACATGTCAGTTGAATACCTTGGACCATCATCAGGATTTAACATTCGAATTCGTCGCATCTCACGAGTCTCACGTTTCTGTCGAACTCTCAAGAGAATTGCACCAGCAATGATGTCAGATGGCACCAAATCAGTGCCACGGAAAAGTGCACTCAATAAACTTGCGACTTGCATGAATGCTTCTTGTCCATATTCGTCTCTTCTCAGACAACAAAACACCCAACGAAATCGCTTTATCCACATCTTTGACACTTTTTTATGAAGTGTTGTTTCTGTTGGTCCATTTTGATCCAATTCTTTTCGATATTTCGATGATCCAAGTGGATTATAAACAATTGCAAAGCCAAACATAATCAATCCGAAAACAATCCAATTGAGTATGACAGTGACTGAAAAATTATTAAATAAAAATTACTTCTCATAACAATTAATAATTAATTTACAACTCACTTTCAATAACTGTCTTTGAATAGAAATCTTTATTTTCACATCCAATAGTTCCGCAAAAAGCCCAAACGGTTCCAAAGACATTGAAAAATGTTTCAGGAAAAATCAAAGAGATTTTGATTGTCAATAGCGGTGCGACAATCCATCGATTTTGTGTGTCGGTTATCCCGCCTTGAGCACTTCGATTCACAATCACCATCAGTAAAATCAAGTTAACACAAATGATGGCAATTATTCCTGCTAAGTAGATTCTTATCGTCAAACCGTGCTCTTCACATGCGTAAGTGTTGTGCCAATATTTATTTATCACACAAGACATCAATGCGAGCCTGATTTGTATTGTTTGGGAAAAAAGACCAAATATATCAGTGAACATGTTGATTTAGGGCCACGATAATTTATCGCATGTGCTTAACTCACCATACCAACCGGAAGCAAATTTCGAATGTGCCGGGAAAAACTAAATCGTCGGAAGCGAAGAGCCTGGGAGTGGGTGAAGAAGTTAATTATTGGCTATGAATATAATCGTCAATTTCTCACCATTTCCGACCAAATAAACGAAGTGCGGGCATTGTGGGGAGTCTGTAAAATGATAATAAGAAAAATCGCGGATCTTTAACATTTGGATTTCTTTTTGATTTGCCATTTTTTTTATTCGATATTGTTAAAAAATAATTTCGTCACGTTTGATTAAAATCTCATTTGAATCATGAACTTCAACTATTTTAATTACATTTGATCTCATTCCAGTATTATGTAGTTAGTTCTTCATTGAGTTAATCATGTAATCAGTCGACAAATATGCGTGGGTCATGCGAACAACAAAACAATTAAAATTTTACAAACCAACAATTATTATTGAACTTTTATGAATGATTTTGACCAAAAAAATGTTCGATTCAACTTGAAATTGCTTCGATTTCGCATGTTAATTACACATATGAATGAAATAATTTCGACTGCATTGCAGAGATGTATTTAACATTCATGTTTGCGTAATTCAAATGAAAATTAACAGCAACTTCATGGTCATATTTTTTTTTCTTCTCTTAGATAGTTTTCAACACAGCTGATTACAACTTCCATTCCACATCATACGCGATCAATATAAATCTCATGTTTTTAAATAGTTAATTCCATTTTCTGCTACATGAACTATTCATGATTGAGAGCGAAGATAATTTGCAAATTGATATAGTTTTGGGAAATCCCTTTACGATTCGTTTAAATGAAAGTGAGATTGTGTAATGACGATCAAAGCATCATCTGTGACTCATTATTCTTAAGCCTTGATCTCATGTCATGTAATATTTACAATACATAGATTCTCGTTTATTACGTGCAATTAATATTGTGGCTTAAGTTCAAAAGCAAAACACCAACAAGTGCGCGAGAGAGCGAAAAAAAAAAGCTTTAACTGACATTCCTAACCCACTTAATTTTGTCATCGATATTCAATGTTTCCAACGAGTCATCATCGTTCAGAAGCTGGTTTTTCTCGTTAAAAGATGTAATTGTAAATATCTAATGGTGTCAACATGTTTTCATGCACAAGTGCATGTTGTGTCTCTAATAATAATAATAATAACAAAAATCATAATAGCAAAACTTGCAACTTCAACTCGTGGTTACAGTTGGAAAATGCTTCAGGGAAATTTACAACCAAAAGATTCTTACAAAGTTGCAAGGGAAATTAAATACTAAGTTCTGTTACGTGCAAGATCTTTCTTTTCAAGATTCAGACATCTGTTTACGTCTTTCAACAGTGACATAATTCAAGAGAAAATCCAAGTTAAATGTTTGAAATAATAAGCAAACATTTCAGCTTTAGACTTTACCTCAATTCAACTCTCTGCAAACGTGACTCTTCTTCTCTCTTCTACGTTTTACCTTCGACAATGTTCTTTAATCTCGTACTTTCTTTGATTATTTTTTTCTTTTCTTTTCTTCTTTATGCGTAAATTGAACCGTTATGATTATGCTGTTAGGTCGTCGTCTGCATCATCGTGTATCTTTGAATTATTGTCTCTTTCTTCTCTGTTGCAGTATGATATTTAAGTTTAATGTTTTCGCAGATCATTCTACACAAGATTTACAAACGAGCTTCTTTCTTGCATTAAATTAAAAAATCGTTCCAATATTCATAAATTCATCGACAACTCCAAAAGTGTGTAGTAATATAAAAGTAAATAAAACATCAACTGAACGTATTTAGTAGCATTTGTAAAGTTGCAAGAAGTTGGACATTGCATGAGATGAAGAAAAAAAAACACGTTTAATCACTTTTTATGCAGTTGCAGCAATGCTCACTACTGCATCCAATTTAGATTTAGATTTTTCACACTAATTGTCAAGATTTAATTTAAAATTTGCTCATTAAAGTTTGACTCATTCATTGTTTACTCAACGGCAGATTTCAATGACACTTCTTCAATCATCAATACATATTCTTCTTGTTTTCTCTGGCAATTAGTTTCGTAAAGAAGATGATTACCAACAAATTTATAAAGTGGTATGAAAGCTTTTAATATTTTTCAGAAACACAAAGGAAAATCCAAAATTCGTTTAATATTTTTTTTCTGCAACTGCGAAGTTATAAAATTTTGCACAATTTTTTTTAACTGGTCTGCATTGAGTTTTGAAACTTTTCACAATTTAATATTTATATACACTCACACTTTAATCAAAATTTCTTTTTTTCAGATTTGAATAGCGTTTTAGAATGAATTAAATTTTTAGATTGATGTTTAGAGAACTTGTCAGAACATGAGAAAATCTAAACCGAAGAGAAGGAGAATCACGGAAAAAATGACAAGTCGATGTTAGCCGCGAAAAAGCACGTTGAGCACTAAACGCCAAACAGCAAAGTAAAGTAAGCAAAAGATTGAGAAAACGTTAATGAGATTTCACGCTCTCATGATTTCCAAGATAATATGAATGTCTGTAGCGGTGTACATTGACACTCATATTCATTCAAATCAATTTAATGTTTTCATTTCATTTAACAAACTGCACAAATCTTGAATGCACAAATTTAAATGCTGTTGATGAATTTGAATGATAAAGTAAATTACTTTACCCTGATTGATCTCAATTTCTTTTTTATTCCTTAATGAATGGATGAGAACTTCTTCCTGATTCAAAGAATATTAAAACATTAAAGCTTCTATCTTTATTTTAAACGATTTTGAACGATCTTATTAAGTATTAAGTATAACGAATTATGCAAATTAAAAAGATCAATTGACGTGTGTTTTAAATAAATATTTATTTGTTAACCTGACGCACATTTACATTAATGCGACTATCGGTTAAGTAATTCTCATAAAGTTGCCAGTCATCTTTCTTCAAACATTGATTCACTTCATCACCATTAAGATCGGAACAATTTGTTGAATTTTGACTACCGTCCCATGGTGACTTGTCATTATGTTTAAATACACGAGGCACAGCGTGATAACAAAGCCGACTATCTCCAGACATTATAAGAACGTCACCAGATTCGAGTAAGATTGGAAGAGCTTCATCTTCTCGTGAAGTTCCTCCAATTAAGAAAATGGCTGTTTGTCCAAATGAAACTGAGAAAAGTGGCGAGTCAAGGAAAAATTCAGAATGATCTGTGTGAGCAGCTAAAGTTGATCCCAGTGGATAGAAATTTATTATGGCAGCTTCCGACTTGTAATGATTAAAGCCTAAAGTATCAGCAATAACCTTAATTAATCGATTTAATTCCAATGGAAAATCATTCTTTAAATTTTCATCATAAATTTTGTTTGTCCAATCGTAATGATATCCAAGAGTTGTCCATCGCATTGATTTCTTTATCAATTTCCTTTGTTGTTCATCTGATTCATTATTTAAAGAGTTCCAAAAGTCATTAATGATATTTTGATTAAAACGAGCAGGTAGAAGATTATTTGGATTCGGAAACTTTGTGTAATCTTTTAAAAGTTTTCTGATCCAATATCGTTGGCCCATTGGCGTGAAAGGATTTTTAATTAAAATCAATCCCGGCTTCTCTTTGAACTTATAAACTTTCCATTGATCTTCAGGTATAAGACCAATCTTTAAGTTTTGCTTCTTATTTATATTTATTTTGATGATCTGTTGATGATTAAGAATTGTTAAATAAATTTTAAGAATTGTTAAAAATAAATTTAGAAACTTCTTAGATAAACTCACATTTTTGTTATTTTCGTCGTTACAATCAATGACAGTCTCTAAATCAGGTGGTTTCGTTTTATTTTTATAATATTTGAAAGTTTCTTGCATCTTAATTTCTCAGACTATTCTTTGATATATCCTTAATAAATTGTTTTTTTTCTGAAAGTTTTAAACTTTGTTTACATTTTTCAAAGTAAAATTTGTTTAAAAGTTTTGTCACTCAGTAAATAAAATTCAAATATTTTAAAACCGTTAATAAATTTTATTAACAAACCATCGTCCAATATAAAATTTTGAAAACTTAATCAAATAAAAGGTGTAAATAAAATGTTCACGAAATGTCTTTTTTTAGAGTTTGCTCTTAATTGGTTGTTCACCAACTTTCACCAACAACTGATACATCAATTGAAGCGCTTCTTGAAGACTCTTCTTAAATGTTTCAGTGCTTGTATCACTGTTGGATCTCATGCTTGATAATCCAAACCAAATATCATTATTTCTTGGGCTATAGCAACATCCATAACCGTCATTAGTCAAAGGTCCATAACACATAAATGCATCGTAAATTGAAGCGACTTGACTTGTACTAAGTCTAAAATTTGAACTCTTCACGTATCCTTCATCGGAGTAAATTTCAGGGACAGGAATTCCGTTTTCCTTTGCGATAAGTTTAAGTCCGAGTAAATGACGATCAACACCGAAACCTTGCACAGCTTGGTTCACATATTTTTTATGAGAATCAATTGCTTTTCTCAACTTTTCCACTTTCTCTTGATCATTCTTCGATTCCATCATCGCTTTGACAAAAGCAACAGATTCGTTTGAACAACTTCTAATGACTTCAGTTCTACCATGAACATACAACCTTGTACCAGCACTTTCATACGTTGCACCTGGTAAATGATGTAATCGATGAAAAGCAAATTGAATTGCCATTTGAATATAAGAGTCGGGTGAAAACTTTTGACTTTTAATGAAATTCTTTCCATAATCGTTGAAGTGAAGGTAACCCATGTCGATATCACCAGCAAGCTTATCAATGTTGTGTGACGAAAGACGAATTGCTTCTTCGATTTGGGGAGACGATACAAAGTTAAGTAATGCTGGCTTTTGATAACTTCCAGAAGCGTTCATCGGTTGAGATTTTCCAGATTCTTGTTCTAAAACATTTTTAATGATAAAATCGCCGATAATCGAAATGGGTCCACCTTCAGCTGGTGAATGTTCGTAAGTTAATCCATTGATTCCCGTGCTTCCAATGATGAATTGAACTGTTTTGTCGTACCATCTATTGCTTGAATTGTATTTCGAACCAGCCCCTGTCACTAACGTGTGTTCAGCAGTGACGGTGTCGTCTTGAATTTGTGGCATTTCACGATCGATTGCCAACACGAAAAGTGATTGTTGAATTTCTCTGACTGACTGACGATTGTTGACATTCTTTGTCAACTCTTGATAAGCTTTTCCCCAATTGTCACGATTGTCTGATGTCAAAACGCCAACTTTCAATGCATTCTTCTGTTTGCTGCCAACATTGATGCATTCACGGAGTTGATCTTGAAGTTGATTTTCACCCAAAATACTTCCGTCATCAGCATACACCGGAACTTTGAAGAAAACATCATTCACAATAACAGCGACATGTTTTGAAGTTGGATTAAACTCAACAGAATCAGCTTCAACACCAGGAATGCGACAAGTTCCGAAAACTTTTTGAAATTGTTGCATGTCCAACTCATTTTTTCCCATTTTCTCAACAGGAATTTGATTTGTGTCAATGAGATTTTTGTAACGAAGTGCAACTGAAAAAAAAGATAAAAAATTTAAGGCTTGAAAATATTTTTAAAAATAGAATGAAAATTACATTGAATGACTTTTGCAGCGTAATTGATTTTGTCATCAACAGTTACAAATTTTCTTTGCGGATAAACAAGCCCAGGGGAACTCCAGACAACGACTGGATCTCGGTATTGCAAATAGGCGCAGTTAAGCCACCAGTTGGAAGTTGGATCAGACAGCCAGTTTTCTTTAGTCTCAGCTCGTTTTTCCAACAACTTCTGAAGCTTTTCTCCGACACCTCCAACTCGACCAAACTCTTTGACGACATTCTTGGTGTTTTCAAATCGTTCTGCTGTCAGATGAGGTTCAGTAGTTGCTAGAAACCTCGTCAAAGTATCTTCCAACTTGGGAACAGGCAGACGTGGAAGATTTTGAGGATTTGTTGATGAATAACTTGCACTTAACATTTTTATTGGCATCTTGAATAATTGGTTTGATCTTTGAAGCGCCTTTATCATACCTTTAAGATTCAAAATAATTTTTATATGTAGATTTAACACCAACTCAAATGTATTTCGATCTTTCTTTACTGTAATCATGCAGAAGGAAAAGAAGAAAAATGTTGCAAACGTGGATATAAACTTTGGTATATTAATCTGGTCTTGAATACACCCAGACACGAACTAAACTAGAAAATAGGCACAAATGAAAGTGGAACAAAATAGAACACAAAAATGGGTAATTTAATTCTGAACATAAACCGGAAAAACAACTTTTAATGAAAGTTTCTTGAAAAGTTTACCTGTTGGACTTATGATCTATCAGATACTCACAAAAATATTCAATAAGTCAACTTGTTAGTAAAAACTTAAGATAAGTGATAACAACACTACTAAAAAGTATTTCTCTATCTACTTCTTGACAGATCAAGCAACAAAATATTTGTTATGTATTGTTGGCAGTGTTTGTAAACTTTGTCGATTAATTTCTGTGATTGACGTCATTTAATTTATTCCCTATGTCAGCTGTTATGTTGAAAGTAAGTTGAATAACCGAGGTTCCAACCCTATATTGACTGTCAACAATTCGAATTTCAATAAATTAGAAAATATGCCTGAAATTGTTATTAACATAACACAAGGCTCTGAAAAAGTCTCCAACAACTCAATTGAGATTAAAGGGAGTACAATGGAAGATTTGATAGCATCATTGAGAGTGGCTAAGGAAGACACAAATGCCATTTTAACCAAACTTGTCGAATCGTCTTCTGGAAAGGAAAAACAAACCCGGAAAAGTGACGAGAAAAGTGATGAAGATAAAAGTGAAGATAGTTCCGATAACAACGAGGATGATAATTCAAGGAAGAAAATTAAAACTTAATTAATTTTTATGTCACTTAAATATTTTAATTTCATTCATGTTCACCAAAAAAAAAATCTTAAATAATTTCATTAAACGATTGTTAAAAATATAAAATCGAAGATATTTTAATTAATTTATTAATGACGGTGAGGTGGAGGCATCGCTTCGGAATCGTCTCTGAATCTTTGTTTGTCAATAAAATCTAAAAGCATGGACTTTGTCACTGGATACTTAATTGAGTTACAAACAGCTGGAATTAAACATTTTTGAATACTTTTTGTAAACATTTTAATCATTTCAACTCTACTTACATACTGCAGTTTTATAAGCATTCGGATAAGATTTATCAGTTCTTTCTCGCATAAACATCCATTGATTTGTGCTGTTATCGAATTTACATTCAATGATTTTGTTGTCGTATTGTTTAATGTCTCGCGTAAACTTCATTTCAGCGAATGGTGTTGTTAATGATCCAACAAATAACAACGCACGTTTCTTTGCTAAGATTCTGTTAAGAAAAAAGAATTAATAGATTGAATTAAAAGTGAAAGTTTTTCACTTACCCAACTCCACATTCTTCAATTATCTTCAGTTGAAAGTCAACTGAATTTTGTTCTGCTGGCTTCCATTTCAGCACATCATCACACTGTCCACTGACATATGGCTCTAGCTTTGGCTGGAAGATTAATCCATCGGGTTCATGTGAGAGTTGTTTAGCAAATTTAGGGCCCAAAAGCGCAGCAGCTGTTGTGACATCCCAAAAATCTTTCATTCTTATACCAAAAGGTTCCAATTCTCTGTTAATAATTCCACGTGCAATTGCCTCATGTCGCGGTCCAATAATGAGATTTTTAATCGTTTTCAATCGGTTTTCAAAAGATTTCTTTCCACAATCTTCACCTTCATATCGCACAATATCATAAACGAGATATCGTGGCACTCGTTTGCCTTCAACCTTATCAATCACCATCTCACCATCCAGCAGAGTATTTGTGGCATGTTTCGTGAGATCTTTGCTGTTGGGAAATGTAAGTCCATCAATTTTAAAGCAAGAATTGTCACGATCAAAGAAATAAATTTCTTGGTAATCTTGAATCAGCATCATGTAGCGAGTTCCATCAGCTTTCCATGAAACTTTATACGGTTTTGTGTGGAGAAGTTTTAAATTTTCACGATCCATTGAAACAGGCTGCGAACCAGGGAATCCCGGCTTCTCCCACCCACACATGTCTTGAATTACTCGTTGAAGTGTGTTAACTTTCTTTCTATCAGTCATCAAAGTCGCGCCTTTCACACCTTCCATAAACATAGCATCAAGTCGTATATGTTCAGTTCTTCGTTTCTTTTTACTAGGACCACCTCTACCACCATTTGAAGCATCCTCAAGATCTTCTGGATCAATGACATCATCCTCGCCAATGTTCTTTTGTTCTTCATCTTTTCGTTTTCTATTTCCTTTTGATTCGCTTTGTGAAAATGAATTTGAAGATGTTGTGCCACTATATGAATTGCCATGATCAACGAAATCTTCTTCCTCTTCTTCGAAACACCAGTCGGGAAGTTGTGGAGCTGGTGTTGCATCATCCTCGTCATCATATCGCTTGTAAAGTTCTGTTATGTATTCTTGTTTGTAAATTCCTGGCGGTCTTACTTGAGCAAACATTTGAATAGCCGCTCCAACAGATATATCATGTTTTTCAACCAGATATGAAGCAATTAGAAACCCAGTTCGGTTATATCCATGCGTGCAATGAACTCCAACAATCTCTAATGGATTATTAGCCACAAATTCGTCAACAATTTCTATGAATGATTTAGTTTGCTCGGGAGAAGGTGTCTCGCCTATGCCTTTACATCTAAGTTTGACGTAGCGACAATTTTTCTTCTCGACTTCTGCTCGATCATAAAATCTTGAAGTGTTTGTGAGGTCGATCCAGAGACCAATTTTAGCCTGAAAAGTGTTACAATGATAAGCAACTTTGGACTTATTTGATCTGATTAATTACCTTAAAATATGTTTTTATTAAATCAAACATCATATATGGATAGAAGAATCGATCTCCGACTTGTGAATCAAATTGTTCATTCAAAGGAGTTTTGAATGCAACAAATTTTTTTGCGATGAATTCTTCAGATCGGATTGGACAGTTAAGCCATCGTTTAGGGATTGGTCCAGGTCCGTTATCTCGCCAATGGCTCATGATTAACAAATTGTATTGTGAAACCACTTTTAAAGACTTTTTCTTGATTTTTTTCTTTTGACGACGAACACGAAATAAAATGAGAGAAATTTTCTTTAGGAACTTTTGTTTTGAATAGGGTGAATGCTACTATGTGTGAACTTTTTTGTTGACGGAAAAACAATTTAAACACTTTCTCACACCCTGTAAAAATTTAAAAAAATTGTATTGAAAATTTTCCTTATTAACTCAAATCTAAACATAATTATAGTAGAAATGAATCGATTTGAGTTTGCCCAAGCAATGCTTCTAGATGGTGAAGCTGTTGTCATCAAACATGAAAGTGTTAAACTGTACGACGGCCATGAAAAGGTAAAATTACTTAAAAGTATTTATAAGACAATTTTCAGTTTTTAATTTTATTTTCAGACACTTTTTGAAGATGGCGAAGCTGTATTAACGACTCATCGAATATTTTGGGGTAAAGCTGGGGAATTCTCAAGAGGTTCTCACATTATTCAACTGCATCATAGACATGTTAAAGCGTTAGATGAAGAAATGGGATCGTCAATGTTTTTTGGAAAGAAGAAGCGACTAGTAATTCGTTTACATGATCCATATCCTGATAAGGCACCAGGACCAATGGAATATAGTGCTGCAACATTTATAAAACTTTCAGGGCCAAGCGGAATTTCCTCAAATTTCATTCAGGCATTAAACGAAACTTTAATGGCGAGAGTTTGGCAAATAAATTTACAAGTTTCTTCACCTTCATCACCACCTCGGATAAAACCACGATCAGGCATTGGCGGAATTGAAAAAGGTCTCATTGAAAAGCATAGACAAACCGACGAAAATCTTTCGATGGCATTCCAAGATTTAAACAAATTAATTGGAATGGCTAAAGAAATCGTTCAAACTTCTAAAAACATCAGCATAAAAATTCGTGAACGACAAACTGATGCTTCAGAGGATGAAACTTTGAAATTTAAAACATTGTTGATGAGTTTGGGAATTGACGATCCAGTGACGAAGGAAAACTTCACAAACAACAACGAATATCTTCGGAGTTTGGGAAACGAAATTTGCCAGTCGCTTCTCGATGTTATCACAGTGAGTAAAAAATTCATTTTGTGTTCATTTAAATATTTTTATTATTCTTTCTTTTTCTATTTTTAGGAACAAGGTGGTATGATGACAATAACAGAAGTTTATTGTCGCATCAACAGAGCTCGTGGATTGGAACTTGTATCACCAGAAGATGTTTTAGATGCTTGCAAATTGCTTAATGGGCCTATGAAGCTCAGACAATATCCATCAGGTGCATTAATTCTTCAACTTGATAATCATAACGATGAACAAGTCGCTGAAGAAGTTGAACAGCAAGTTAAAGAAGTTAACTCGATGTCGATTGAAGAATGCGCTCGTCTTCAACACATTAGCGTTCTTCTAGCCCATGAACGTTTTCTCATCGCCGAACGTGCTGGAAAAGTTTGTCGCGATGAGTCAGTTGAAGGCCTTAGATTTTATCCAAATTTATTTTTAACACAATAAAGAGAAAATATTTTTTAATCAAAATTAAGTAAATGAATTGCGTTATCAGTTGAGATAAAAAGATTGAACTCATCGCTTGCAATCTTTCTACAAACTGTTGATGTGTCGAGATGAAAAACACGTTCGAATGTTTTTGGATTTCTTAAATCACAAAGTATGAGCATTCCAAGTAAAGTTCCATAAATAACACCAAAACATCCATCATAATCGATTGCAGTTGCTGTAAAATTTCCACATGAAAATTCTTGTCTTTGGAATTCCGTTCGACAATCAATAAGTGACAAAGGATTATTCCAGGATGTGTAAAGGAAACATGAATCACTGATCCATTGCGTGTTATAGATTTGTGACTTATTTGATTTACTGCTGATAACATCGCCATTAATTGGATTAATTAAGTGAAAATATTCTGAATTTGTTCCAAGTATTTTATCTCCTGTTGGATTAAAGTTAACAGTTTGAAATCCAAAGTTTGTTTTAACATCCATCGCGTCAAATGATAGCATTTCAAGTTCCATTCCAAGACGATGGAATTTTGCATTGTTTATAGTCGTGGTCACAAAAATGTCTTGATGAAAGTCTAGATCAAGTGTAGGGTCACATTCAAAACGAATAAAATCCATATTGTAACCTTCATAATCTGTGTAAGTGAAAACTGAACCATTACTACGACATCCAGCAATCATATCGCCTTTTCTCTTCAAACTTGTAATTACGGAATCATTTCGAAATCCTCCAGTGAAAAAAGGTTCAACTATGATTCCATCTATTCTTTTTCTCTTGTTAATGTTGAATTCACCTAAACTAGACGAATACAGATATTGTTGATCAATCTGAAGTTGTGAAACGTAATTTTCACGATGCTGAAAAAATACCAACTGCTGACATGAACCAAACAACCAATTTTGATGAATTCTTAATCTTTCACTATACTTCAATGAACTATTTAAAGTTCTTTCAAATAATTCTGGATAACTTTTCATATGAGTCACCATAAGCAAGTTTCGACACTTGATTTCATTGAAATGTTCTTCAATTATTGCTTCAAAAAGTTTGCACACTTTTGCTATGTTTCGATGATCTAATTCAGAACAATATTTAAATATTAAAATAAGTTCATCGTCATTTAATTCTGTTAAAATCATTTTGATTTTAATTCACTGATTTACTTAATTACAATGATTCTGTTTACAATTTTTTTATAATTTTTTCTCTCTTTGTAATGCTGCAAGTCGTCGACCCAAATTTTTTTTCTCACAAACACATACAAGAAGAATTTTCCGGTGTTGACATTTTTACTTTCACTAATACTAATGAAATTGCATTATTTCTCAGGTTCAAAGAAAATTGTTGGATCTTCAAATTTGTGAACTTCTTCATGATAAATGTCTTCAGGAAGTTCATTTTCATTTCCAGTGAATGTTGGGAAGGGCGGCGGATCTCGATACTTTCTTAGAGGAAGCACCGTGTCATAAACGTAAACTAAGCCATTGACGTCTCCAGGCATTCCATGTCCGGATACCCAAAGTGTATTTGTGCTGGTGTTGATTCGCCATATTTTGAGGCCTTTTGCTATACGCCAACGATTTCCCATATGTCCAGGCATCTTCTTACCAGGCCAAACACGATGTTTTATGCCACCACCAATACCACCAGGGCGACGATGAGTTTTAGTAACTCCATGTGAAGCTGGTTGACCTTTAAATCCCCATCGTTTCATAACACCTTGAAATCCTCGATCAATGCTACATAGAATATTTTAAGTGAATTATAGTTTTAATTGAGAAGATAAAACTTACGTTTTTCCACGAACATCAACGTAGTCACCAACTCGAAAATGCGTTGCATTAAGAGGTGTTCCAGGCATGATCGCAGCTTCAGGTGAAATAATAAAGCGATTTAAATTTTTTGTTGGCATAACTCCTGAATCTTTGAATAGTCCGATGTAATTTCCTGTAAGTTTGTTTGGATCCACACATTCTGATCCGATAAGCAAGCAAGCTCGGCCAGTGTAATTTTTGAGAGGTTTTCTTTGTGTTGGATTGAATTCATCTGGAGGTATGTATTTAACGACATAATTGTCTGCAATTTGAATGACTGTTGTATCGATTCTCTCTCCATTTTTAAGCCATAAGGGATAATGACCAATTTTACGTCCTATAAGTCCGGTTCTTCTCAAACCTTGTCTCCATTCTACTGGTGCTAAATGTTCTGACTTTAGAAGAGATGATGAATTTTCAAAAGTTAGAAAACCTTTACGAATTACTGGTTTGCCGTATTTTTCGTGAGTAATTTCTTCCATAAATTTTTTGTTTTCCGGTGTGAGATTTTCTACTTTTTTCTGAAAGTTCAAAACACATTAAATCACAAACGACATGTAGGAAATATTCAACAAACCGCTCTATTTTGTTTGAAAAACCATATTGGATTCCGCTTTCTTGGGTGATTCATGAAATCTCTGAAGCGAACTTGTGTAACTCTAAAAGTAAATAAAAGTTTGGTTAAAATCAAAAGTGCTTAGAAAGAGTAATTTTACTTATTCTTCCAATGATTTATTATTACCTTAAATCAGTAGGAAGTGACTGAACTAAAACTGATCGAATGCCATTAACGAGAAACATTTTTCAATGATATTTCTCCAGAAAAAACAAAAGTTTGTGGTTTGTTTTTATTTTCACTTTGCACCAAAAAAGGTTTTTGGTTTTTAGAACATGTGCAGTACTAGAAAGCTATTCTAGGTAGCATGAAAAATTATATTTGAATTTGAATAGGTCGTTAAAATTATGTAGTAATTTTTCAACATAAAAAATTTTAACACTTAACTTTTATCATTTAAAATTCTATTCATTTAGATATAAAACATTTGAGAGATAAATATTACAAAGATTTATTATTGATGATTGTATTTATTTGGTTTTATAATGCTTTGATATAACAAGTGCGATATTTCTCTATATGAATAATACCAAAAATATTAACATTTGTAACAATGTACATCAACATTTGATTAACTATCTATTTATAGCCAAACTTTTCAATAAATTTTTGTATCTTACATAAATGTACTTTAAATAAATGTGTATAAAGGAGATTCCTTTTATCTTCTAAATTATAGCCCCACAGTTGGTACATCGCCTATTTTTGCAAGCGATGCAACAAAGGATACCAAGAGGAAAACAAAAAATAGCAAGACAGATTCCTAGACAGCTGTAATCATCTTCCAAGAGACCTAAGTAAGAAATATATAAAATAATAATGTCGTTCATAAAGAAATGTTTCGAAAAGTAAATATGTCACCTATTCGACAAACAGGACAAGCACCTACAACGACAATATTGTTTACTGGTTGCTGAACATAAATTGACTCCGTAATTGCTCCATAATTTTGATTTGCTATAAATGCTGGAGGAGCAGTTGGATGTATAGGAAGAGGTCCAGATGGTTGCGAGGTTGTCACCTCCTCAATAGAAGCTGTAAATGATAACATATGAGCATACTGCTTCTAATCGTGTCATTAACTTTTCAATTTGAATGACTCACAAGTTGTCTTAACTTCGTTGTTTATGACTTGGTCATATGTCGGTGGACTTTTCTCCATTTTTCAAAATTTGCATATAAAAACTATACTTTGATGTAAAATTATCTGTGCTACTTCCACAAAGTATTGATTAATGGTTACGGGAGATAACTATTTCCAAATCAACGAAATTTTATTATTCTTTGTTTACCTTTTTCGATTTCTTTCTGATGATTGGAGATTCTAGTACTATCTTTTGAAGTACTATACTAAAATAATTCAAAACAAATAAAATGTTAATTTTATCAACCTTTTAGATTATTACGAACTTTTCAATTACAATGTAAATATTTGATCTTATCAAAAAAGATAAAACATAAATATTTTATTTGAAGTTATGATTCATAATTATATTTGTTTAAAATGAAATAAATTTTGAAATGAAAACCTTTATGCCTTCCTTCCTTAACAAAAATATTACAGATTTTAATAACGCATCAAATTTTCTTATTTGTGTTCTAATTTAGCTGTAACTTCCTGTAATTATTATTATTAGATTTAAGATTTACAAGGTAAATAAGAGTAAAACTAATATTTGACTGATATCTATTTAATATCGGATACACTTATCAACAAAATTCTTCATAAATATTCGCTGTCTTCGAAATTACGATTAAAATACGTTCTACCTTCATGAGGGTTGGTATCATTTTGCTTTAAAACTATGTTGTTGTTAAATTGCGAAGACGACGTTCGATCGTTTTGACGATATCTGAACTCATCACTAACATCAATTACGGAAGCTCTCACATTCGAACTGCAAAGATAAGTTAGAGCAGAATGATAAATTACCTTAATGACCTTATGACTTATTTTATTTTATTTCATTTACTTTGATTTGATCGATCCTTTGTGAAATATTTTTGATTCTGGTTTCATTGTGGGTTCAGGAGTATATTGAGTATATCTTCTATTAAGCTCTGAATCCAGGTTCATTGCAATATTGCGACGTAAAATTGAGTTATTGTCATCGAGACTTCTAAGAATTATAACGCATGAAGTGTATCAAGGTTGAATTATTAATTACAAAACTTATATTTACCTTTCATAAGGAACCTTTTTGTACAATTTCCAAAGATAATAGCAGAGTAAACTACTTGATAAAATCAAACCTGCAATTAAAATCCCACCTACTCCTATGATGATATAAATTTGAAGCTGAATCTCCATTGTTAAAATATTTAATTTAAAAAATGAAATTGCAACATAAATGTGAGAGTGACGAGAAATGACTGAAGCAAAATGAAAAAGAAAAATACGATGAAAGAAAAAAAAAATCAAACAGACGATAACAGCAATTACCTATTACTTTAATTCTTTTTATTCTCAAGCGATAAGATAAGAGAAACAATGACAATAAAATTAATACATTTTTTCACCAAGTTTTATAAAATTTCGCGCCTAAATTTGAAAATTTAATTCTACTACTTTTTATGTCGCAGAGATAAATCTACTACGTCACAAAGAGTGTAAAATCGGATAAAAATGAGTGGAAAAAACTTATTTCATTTTGAATCGCGATTAAGATTGGACGTCTTAAGATGTGGTCAGCAGATTAGTGCTTATTCGACACAGTATTCATAAAGTGTTAAAATGAATCCCAAGTGAAGTAAATTTAACAAAATCAAGTGACAAGAAAGAATTAAAAAGAAATATCTAGAAATAAAAACAGAAAGAAGAAAAATTGTGAAAATTTCTCTACGTAGAACCGCAGATTAAAGCCTTGGTTGTTATCAGTGGGTCACAAGCAACCACATCATTTTATAAGAATACAAATTGTAATCAAAGGTAATGATAGAAATGAGTCATTAACAGAATTTATCGATATTTTAAGAATGAAGAAAATAAAAGTTCATTTCGTAATTTCGCCTCTTATTTTCACGAAAAACTTTCTCCCAGTGATTACGAATGTAGGGTCATGGCGCGTAAAGAGGAATAACTTTCACATCTTTTAAGAATCTCTTCTCCTTCTTTTTTGTTTTGATTGCACGAAATTCATTCTCAAATTTATTTGGAAACACTGATAAGAGGACGATTATTGATATTCGCATGACATACAGTTCACTTTTGCTTTCTCGTCTTCTCTCTAATACTTCAATCAACTTCTCGCTTATTTTCTATTTTTCTTCTTTCAACAGAAATGAATTATAGATCGAAACGGTAGTTAAAGTGCTTTAAAATGTTTTCGTACGGTGTTTGATGTGTGCAGAAAAGTAATTGCTTAAATTAATTGCAACATAATAAAAAAAAGCATTCGACCATACTATAAATAGCAAGTCGTTAGAAAAAAAAACTTGCAAACTAAAATGAATTTTTTTTCTCATTTAATATGAAAATAATCAAACCGATTGATGGCATTAAGAATTCGTGTTCACTGTCTAAGTTAAGTTGGTGAGAATGAGAGAATTGCTGAATGAAAAAAAATCTCTATCGCTTATTGTATCTTGCAATGAATTTAAAATGTAGGTAAACAGTTTCAATTTACGATTTTCTTTTCTCACATTTCTTGTCTTCGTATTCATTCTGCTTGCTTTTTTTATGTAAAATGTAAATCTTTTCCATCTTCAAAGCACTGACGATCAGCTAAATTTCACATCAGTTTTGGTTGATAGTGGAGGTTTCTTCTTGTGTATAGAAGCAACACTTATAAATGCTTTAGACTTAATCAATTTCTCCTTGACCTCATCTACCAGCTTCATTCACTCTCTTTCTCTCTCTCTTTTATTTTCTTATGCTTGTCCGAGCAACATATGGTTGCCTGCGCTTCCACCAGTAAGCAAAGCAATGCAAACAGTCAGGTTTTTCCTTTGGTTGTAAATTTTCTTTTCTTATGCGGTGGGGCGCTAGTTGATCGAAAAAAACCCGTCATGTTTATTTCTTATTGTTGTTTATAGCTTGACAATGAATATTGAAGACTAATTGATGCTTAAAGTGGTTAATTTTTGGTTTGGCATTAATCTTGAAAAGCATTTATTTCGGAATGGTTAGCGTAACAACATTTATTATGAGCTTTGAAGGACTCGAAGTTTGAAGTTCAATCGCGATAGTTTGCATGAGTGCTTTTTTATGCTTCATTTGAATAAAAATATAATAAAAATGTTTCCTCTTCATCTCTGTCGAGCGTTGGCAACAGACCGGATTTAATGTGAACATCTTCTCCGTCAATTTTCAAGGTGGGCTGAAAGATGAAGTGAAATTTCTTTCGTCCAATTGTTGCAAAACGCTCCCGCAACAATGGAACGCGTGAATAAGTGAAATTTTCTTTTTTTTTTATTTTTTCAGACACGATGTAATGGTCGTGGTGAGAAAAGAGAAAAGAAATTGATTTGCTGAGAAAAAAGATATTCGCGAAACTCCAAAATAAAAATGAAATTAAATATAATAATAATAGTAATAATAATAATAATAATGGTAATAATAAAAACCAGTACAAGCGACATACATTTCTTTCATGAAAATAAGCGGTTATTGTTGGCGCGGGATGGCTTTTTACACATAAGCATAAAGCAAATTTAATACCGAAATCACCACCAACAAAATTATGCAATTTTTTATTTCATTCGATCGCTTAAAAGGAAGAAAGAAAAAAATTCATGACACAATTTCCTTTGTTCACTGCTTTCTACTATTTACCGGTCTGAGTGCGTAAAGGTAACTCCTAGTTCAACAAAAGTAAGATTAAGTAATTGATTAATGACTGTTGATCTGTTAGACACAATGACGGCAAAGTTTCGCGTGACTTGTTGCATGCTCTCAGCTGATCGCTTCTCATAACAATTTTTTTTCTTTCTTTTTCATCTTCTGATTAAAAGTTTGATTTCATCCAGTTTCGATTTTATTTTCATCGACTTTTGAAAGAAATCATTCAAAGAGAGGTCATCAAAAAGAAGCATAAAACTTATGTTGCTTAGAGTTAAACGATGGTCCGGTTGTTATGTAATAACAACCAACAGCCGAGTGCTAATGTTGATAAAGAAGAAAAAATAATAATGAAAGAAAGAGAAGCATGTGAATGGTTCGTAAAAATTACATGTACAAGCACATGAATTGGTGTTAAATTGATAATCAATCTCGAGGCCAAAATACTTAACATCCGATAGATCACTTTTATTTGCGCAAAAATCATTCAACGATACCACTTTGAGAAAAGACTACGCATACAAAAAAAAAAGAAGGTTTAACGCTTCTTTTCTTGACACGCATTGAAATATCGTCGTTGCTTAAACATTTTTCTTGCTCAACAAATATCATTTAAAAGAATTCGAAGCATGAAAACTTCCTCAATCCTCTTCTAAAGCTTATTTCGTTACTAAATTAACGTTTATTCATTAATGTTATTCATTCAGCATAAATCAAAAATGACATGAGTATGTGTGTTGTCTTGTCTATAAATAATCAACCCAATTGAAGAAACCGTTAACGTGATCGTCCTCAAAAATAAGTTATCGCTTCGAGTCGTCGCCATCGTCAACACACAAAGCTCCAAGCTCTTTTTTTGCAGATGGGCGCAATCGGTAAACAGAGAAGCTACTTTCGTAAGGCTTTCTGGTTTTCATAGTTTCGGCTGGTAAACAAACTTTTCAAGGATGTCAACAATCATCGATGCTTCTGATTGCCATTCGTTCGTGTCTTATCGACACGAACTTGCTTTTCATATTGGTCGTGTTCAACAAATTTGACGTAGCCGATAATAAAAGAAAAAAAAAAGATTGTTGAATTGTGAATGAATGGATATCTTTTCATGTACACATAGTCAACCAAGATTGATAGCTGTTTGCTCAATTTATCTCTTATTTGATTATGCTAATTGACGAAGCATTTGTTTCGTTAGCTGTGAGTTTGTTCAGCTTTGGTTTGAATGCTTCAATCTGTACTAATGAGACGAATTTTTTCACTTTTTTCTTTTATTGATTTGAGTTTCCTTAACACTTTTACTATCTTTCAGTGACGAAAAATATTTTTAGTTCAAGGGAAAAAGAGTTATGAAAAGCTAATTTATCAAAGAATCGTTCTTGAAGCAACACCTGGGCTATTAGAAAATGTTAACTTCGTCGTTATAAATCTCATTTGATGATACCGGCAGAATCACTTGTTTTCCCATCTGCTAGCAATAATTTATTCAAATTTCATTTCGAATCAGATTTGGTTTATTTGCACGTGCTTTTTCAATGACCGAATGTTCCTTAAGTCTTCAATTTTCTAACTTATACCGGTCAACGACTGCATTTTACTGCGCAGTTCAGTTTCTCATCTCATGATTTAAAAAAAAGATACAACGCGAAAAACGTGATCTTATGAACGTCGTTTTCGCCAGTTTCGACTCAAGTTAAGCTTTAAGTTTATTTTCAAAACGCGCTAATGTCTACATTTATAATCAGAAAATCAACACGATGGAACGATCCCAAAAGCAGGATTCACGAGACCATAAAAAAAACCAAAAAGCAAATCTTTTTTTCTGGTTGAAAAAGTAAATATGGAAAAAAAATTAAAGAATTCTGCTAAGAGTCATAAATGAACAGCGAAAAACTGGAAATGAATTGAGGAACCGAATGGTCTGAAGATTTGTTCTTGAATTTTAAATTTCCATTAATCGCCACGAAAGCTTTTTTGAATATTAATGAGTTCAGATTTCTTTATAAATTTCAGTCCGACGATCAACACGTGTTAAAAAAAAATATTGATCATCTTACATTTTATTCTTCTGATCTTCTGCTTTTAATAATGTCTCGTGATTCTCGTTAGACGAGAATTTCAACAGGGATTCACCGGCAAAATTTAAGATGAGAAATTTGAGTTGGAAATTTTGTGAATTTTTATTTATTTTTCATCATCATCTGCATTTGATTCTGTAACGTTTAAGGATCGTCACCTAGCAACTAACTAATTACAATAAATTAAGCGACTTTTCTGATTCTCGATAACAATTTTTAACACTACATGTTTGACCAGAAAACGAGTTAAAACGAAAAAAAAAGTTGACAAAAAGAAGCCTTCGCTGCCTTCTTTGGCTTCATATTGTCTCCGAATCGTTAGTTGCCGATTCCAACTCATGCGAATCGGACTTTGAAAGTTGTTGTTCGTAGAAAAGAAAACTTCCTAGTGCACTTTTTTGTTTGAATTTGATTTTAAACTTTTTACAAGTATCGAAACCTCTTTAGAGAGTTGAATAACATTGCTCTATCAAGTAAGTTATGTTGGGCAGTTATCGAGTTGAATAAAGAAATAAAATCTTCCTTGGAAATAACACGTTAATTGATGAATGTGTTATTCGTTTGATACTAATTGAAATCTTTGTGTTTTCCCCCTCAGATTCATCTGAAAATTTCATCAAAAAATTCCCCAAATAAATTATACAAAATGGTCAAGACGGGACGTTTGTTTCGTGCTCATGGAGAATTCTGCGCATCACACCCTTGGGAGGTGATTGTGGCTTTGATCACATTCACCGCATGCATGTTTAGCGTTGATAAACGAAGCTCCAGTTCAAACAGTGATCCGCTTTTGAGTGAACCATCAGTGAAGCCGCTTTGTCATGGATGGAGAGAGTCATGCGATGGATTTGAAACTCAATACATTGCTGCTGATGTTATTCTTATGACAATTGTTAGATGCTCTGCAGTTCTCTACTGCTACTATCAATTTTGTATTTTACACAAGTTAGGATCCAAATACATTTTGGGTAAGTTTCATACTTTTTTATTCATTTGTTTTCTCATTTATTGTTGGAAACTTTTCTCAAGAAAACAAGAGAAAATTTTCCTGTTAAAATATGAAAGCATTTTCATAGAAATAAGATTGTTTGATGTGCATGATCGATGCATGCCGGTTCTCAACAAGAGTATTTCAAAAATAAACAAAACGAAAAATTAAGAAAAGAAAGAAAAAAAACTTTCTCACAATGTTTAGTTTCATGAGAGTGGAAACGACTTGATGTGCTTTAAACGAGATAAAATTTATGTGTTTTTGCAAACAGACGAAGTTTTCACGGTAAAACAGAAGAATCATTCACGTAAACAAAAGCGTAACACGTTTCATCAAACTGTTCTGGAAAAGTTGTGAGATGATCAAGTTAAAATAGACATTTGACCTTTAAGAGTAATCCGGTAATATTAGAAGCAATCTGCTATCCGCTATGTTAGAAAACCAGGAAGAAGTGCTGCCTTTGGTTGCATAAATAATTAGACAAAGAGCACCAGCGCGAAAATTTATTTTTAAAACTGATAATTAAGATTAATCAAAGAAACTTGCTAGTTGCTATTTCCGCAATCATATTTTCAGTTTAAACTGGAATTTATTTTTATTGGTGATCATTTTTATTTTAATTTTGGTATTAAACATGTGACATCTGAATGAAGATGAAGTTCATTTTGTTGATGACTGCAACTGTTTAAGAAAAAGATCAAAAAAACATGAAAAGGTTAACAGAAAAAAAAAAGTTTGAGCTTGAAACAAAATTTCTGAGAAATTCCATGGGATTTTCCGCATCTTTATGATGATCTGCCCTTCAACAGCGTAATACGACTGTCGTCATCGGTTATCGTACAGGTCGTGATCATGTTATTGAAGTCTTTTTTCGGCAGCTTGAGACTTGAGATATTTTTAGATATTTTCTTGTTCAGAAATAAACAAACTTCTGATCTATTTATATCAAGCCTTCCATTGTTGAAAGCCACGTCAAAAAAAAAAATACTTCGCAAACAAACAATCAATTCCTTCCAGCTTTAAAACACCGCACGACTAACATGTTGTGAACTCACGCTATGCCGCGCAATCGATGATGAAAATATCGGCTTCGGATGTTAACAGGATATGAAACTTTTTTTTTCTTTTCTTCTTTGAATGGGGAGTGCATGACACAACGTTGTGCTCGAAAATAGTCGTTATTGAAAGATTATTTTCTGTTCACTTCAAAAGAAATGAAAGAAAAATGAAAAAAGCGAGAAACTTACAGCAAAAGCACAACAACAATGTGACGAGAAAAAGCAATGCGCGATGGTGAATGAATTTTTTTTCTTCAATTTTTAGAAAGTCATTGTTGAATACAACAATATCATTAAACGATCGCTTGCTGTCTTTATTTTTTTTATTACCACGCTGCTTCGACTTCTCATCACTTCAGTTGACACTCAGATATTTTTCCATCTCGCTTTCGTATGTCTGCGATTTACATCCGATAAAGGTTTTTTTGGTTTTCGAGAGTATTTCAACGTTTTATGATGTTTAACATGTTACCTAACGCTTTTTTTATTTTGTTTAAAGAGACGATGAAGTCGAACTGTTGCCGCTAATAGCTTTACAATTACAAGACATTCAGAATTCTTTTAAGGGAAATGTGACATAATCTTTAAGTCACTAATTGCTTTTGCTTTACAAACTCAATTACCTATAATTTATTTAATTAATCGACATGTTATGTTTACATTTTTTTCCATTTTCTTTTATTTGCTTCCTAATTATAATAAAATGAAATGATTGACGTGAAGAAATCTTTATAAAGTTTCTAGTAGAAAAATTTTTATCATCTTTTGTTACGTAAGAAGCTTCAACAAGTATAGCAAAAAAAAGATTTTAAAGATTTTTCATTCATGAAGTCGTGTGGTTTGTCCTTGGATGTCTTTTTTAAAAACAGCTTTTTTTTGCTTGGTTAAGTTGCAAACTTGTGGAAGAGAAGAATACAAAAAGAGAACTTAAGTTTCGTTTATGCTTATCACAAAGAAAATAACAAAAAAAAATACTAAAATTGTTGAAACTAATTGACAGAACTGAATCCGGAAGCATCGAGTCGGTTTTAAGTTTGCTCTTGAAACAACCGATAGAAGAACAAGCAGCAAATGTTGTTAGTTTGCCACAAAGATTTCTCTTTTTTTTTGCTCATAAGTTTAGCTTTGCTTGCGTTTTGATTGTGTCATGTCCCTCGCTAGTAAAATTATTACGTCAATTCATCTCGTTCTTGATTTATTTCGCTTAGTTTTTGATTTGAAATTTATCCTGGATCTCATTGACACATCAATCAAATTTTATTTATTAACTTATACCGTTGAGTTTATTTACATTGTCGCCGGTGTTTTGTTTCTGCTTCTGTTATTTTTAATTAAACTGATTGCTAATGAACTGCCTTGACAAGAGTTTTTCGACTCTTTCGATGTTAACGACTTGCTGCAGTTTTTACTAATTAATTTCATTTTGTTAACCTTTATGCTATGTCAATCAAAAATCAAATCGAGTTCATGATAATTATGAAAACAAAAACAGAAAAAAAACCAAAAAGCTTTCGGCAATTCCTTCAATTAACACCGTAAGATTCTCGGGGATTTTTTGGGTTTTTCTTATTCTTCGATGTCCATGTAAATATTTAGCGTAAGCAAAAAAAAATGTTTCTTGTATTTATAAACTACGAGCACATCATAAACGTAGAGAAAAATCGGAGTCAAGGATAAATTGCATTTGTATGACGCAAAGTAATTTGCAAGTGTTAAACAAAAGAAGAAAATTTGCAGAAAGTTTTGTTGTTTACATTCCGGGAATTTAATGTTTAATGTCAACAAGAGTCATGCTAACCATGACGTGAACTTGATATTGAGATCAGTTTATGGTTGGATTTCCCCCAAGACCGACTTAAATTGCCTTCTTTGTCTTGCCAGAAGTTTTATGAAACAGTAAAATTAAATCAGTAAGACAATAAAAAAGATTTCAAGTGTATCAAGTGCAAGCGTAATCAAATCAATCGTAGAATTAAAGTCTTTTATAATGTTTGAAGGAAATAATCATAAACTAACTTTAATAGTCTTCAATTATCTTTGAAAAATGTTTCTAACCTTCTATCTGCATTATGTCAAAGCTTTTTGATTTAAAGCAAAAAACAATAATGAAACAATCAAAGAGACAATCTTGAGAATGCGACGAATGTCCATGACTCATAGAATCGAACTTGAAAAATTTTATTTAAAAGCGATTTTGCTTGGTAACATTAAAACTTAAAAAAGAAATAAAAAGAAAACATGCTTGCAATGATTTGTGATGATACGAGTAGTTTTCATGATCACCTTCAAGAAGCCAAGCTAAGCTAACCAAATTCCATTTTCATTCAATCGAAAAAACATTTCTGGTATTTAGAGGAGAGGTTTCCAAAATCGTTTACTTACATAAAATATAATCGAAGAATCCCAGAGTTGGCAGAGCAAATATAAGAGATCCTTAACATTTTCAAACATTCCAAATTAGTAATGATATGTAAATGGCTTTGCAAATGTTTACAATGTCCCGGAAATTAACTTCTGATATCAACGAGACGATCACTAGATATCTAAATATTATCATAAATATTCTGAATGAATTAGGTATATTAATGTGCAAACATATAATCGATCGTCAATTAAATACGCAAAGGAATTCTTCTCATGCTTCTCTCTCTCTCACTTTATTAACATAAGAAAAATTACAGAAAGAATTCACGTTCGTCCGATTCAATAGATGATCATCATTCCACGCCAATATTTGTTGTCCTTCAGTGTGTTTTACAAAGTTTAAATATTTCGACCAGAATGAAGTTTTCGTCGTCTTTTTCGATGTCTTCTTCTACTCTTGAGAAAGATTATTGCATCGATGAGCAAAACATCAATGAAAAATAATCGATAATTAGTCTTATTGAGGGTCTCAATGGCTTACATAAAGTTTAACCAACTGGTTTTACCATATATCATTAATTTAATAGCTTTCTTGTGTTCGATGATGTCCGGGTCGCGATTAAAAATAAATCTTAAGGAATTAAAATCTTAAGGACTTTTGAAGACATCGAATCGGCGACTATGAAAAATGTCAATCTGCATTTTTTTAATTCCGAATTTTCTCATTGAAACGATTAAGACGGAAGCGTGATCGGCATTAATGGCGATAGTTAAAAGATTATTCATGACGTCAATGTCATGTAAACGATTAAATTAATGACGTCATAAGGCGTTTTGTAAATATATAAGCAAATACAAGGCAACAGACGAAAGTAAAAGCGAATAAAGTTTGAAAGCAAATTGACCTTCTATAACAATTAGAGCCATTGATTCGATAAGCAGCAACGACGATCAAGAAGAAACATTTCTAAATATAAGAAATCAATAAGAAACTGTGTTATCTAAAGACTAAAGTGACGAAATTCTCATGAAATTCATGTCAAAATCAACACAAAATAACGTTAAATGACGTCGCATGAGTCTTGTGTGTTGTCTTCTTCTCTTTTTATACTTCACTTCTTGTTCGTTTCACTCTCTTTCGAAGTATGGTTGGATGGTCGAATGAACGAAAGAAGCACACGGTTAGGGTCAATAAACGTTAAGGAGATCAACTTTTAGCGCAACTGACCTAATTATCTAATTTAAAAAATTATTTATATGAAAAAAAAATAAATAAAGCTCCAGATGTGCATGAAGACAGACGGAGAAAAATGATTTACCTAGTTCACTTAATATTTTTTTCTATTTCATTTCTTTTCAGGCATTGCTGGTCTTTTTACCGTATTTTCAAGCTTCATCTTCACATCAAGTATCATGAATTTTTTGGAGAGCGATATTAGCGATTTAAAGTACGTTTTCAAGTGATTTACTTTCATACTTATGAGATAATTTCAACATTTTTCCTTCTTTTTCTTCTCATTGACAGAGATGCGCTTTTCTTCTTCTTACTGTTAATTGATTTATCAAAAGCTGGAATCTTAGCAAAACTTGCCTTAAGTGGATCAAATTCAGATGAAGTAACACAAAATATAGCACGTGGAATGGAAATTCTCGGACCAGCAATTTCATTGGACACTTTAGTTGAAGCTTTAGTGATTGGTGTTGGAACACTTTCAGGCGTTCAACGTTTAGAAGTATTGAGTGGATTTGCAGTCATTTCTGTCATCGTCAATTATGTTGTCTTCATGACATTTTATCCAGCGTGTTTATCATTGACTTTAGATTTGTCACGTAATTGCAGTAGCTCAAATGTTGCAACACCAACAGAAATTGTTGAACGATCAAATGAAAAGCACAAGATTCGTGATCCATCGCTTATCCGTGCATTGAGTGAAGAAGATCAAAAGCAAAATCCAATTGTTCAACGTGTTAAATTGATAATGTCAAGTGGATTAATGATTGTGCATGCACACAGTCGTTTAACATTCTCTGATAATGATGACGTTGAAGATGCTGGAACTGTTGTTAATGTAAACGCTGGCACAGACGCAAAGAACCTTAATATGACCCCGCAAATGAACAAAACTGAATCATCTGATATTTCCGATTACATCATGCGATGGCTTTCAATCAGCACTGAGCAGATTTTCATTCTCATACTTTTGCTCGCCCTCTGTATCAAGTTCATCTTCTTTGATCGTGATGACCTTACCAACCAACTTCAACGTGATTTAGCGCGACAAATGGAAGAAGAAGAAAGGCGGAAACGTGAGAAACAACTTGAAGAAGTTTCAAAGACACAAACAACAAAATCACGTGAAGAATCACCTCCAAGACGTCGTGCGATGTTCTCGATAAGCGAAGAGGAGCCATTGACAAGAGAAATTGAAGTTCAAACTGATTTAACAGCTTTCGATGTCTTTGGTGACTCTGATGAAGATAATCCTGAATTTATTGAATCAGCTTTGGTGCCAGTTCGACCTCCACGATCAATCGAGGAATGTGTTAAGATTATGATGTCAGATGAAGGTGCAAAATCACTTACCGATGAAGAATTAATAATGTTGGTTAATGCTGGGGGAAATTATATGCCACTTCATAAAATTGAAACAATTGTTGAAGATTCTGAACGTGGCGTTAAAATTCGACGTCAAATCATTGCAAGTCGTTTAGGATACAAAAGTTCAAATGATATTTTCGGGACATTAAGTTATCGTCAATATGATTATAGTAAAGTGTTGAATGCTTGTTGCGAGAATGTTTTAGGATTTGTTGAAATTCCTGTTGGTTATGCTGGGCCATTAACCCTTGATGGAAAGAAATATTTCGTTCCAATGGCAACAACTGAAGGTGCTTTAGTTGCATCAACAAACAGAGGATGTAAAGCGCTCTCGTATTATGGTGTAAGAAGTGTTGTTGAAGATGTTGGAATGACGCGTGCTCCATGTGTGAAATTCCCCGATGTTGTTAGTGCAGCACAAGCAAAAAGATGGATGGAAACTGCCGAGAATTTTCAGACTATTAAACAAGCCTTCGATTCAACGAGTCGTTTTGCACGATTACAAGAACTTTTAATTGCTATGGATGGACCTCAACTTTATGTTCGATTCCGTGCTTTCACTGGTGATGCAATGGGAATGAATATGGTTTCAAAGGGAGCTGAGAAAGCGCTACGAATTGTTCAACATGCCTTCCCAGAAATGCAAATTATCAGTCTAAGTGGTAATTTCTGTTCAGATAAGAAACCAGCAGCAATCAATTGGATTAAGGGACGAGGCAAGCGTGTTGTGTGCGAGGCGAGAATCAGCGAAGATGTTTTAAGAAATTTGTTGAAAACAGATGCGAAGACTTTAGTTCAGTGTAACAAGCTCAAAAATATGGCAGGTTCTGCAATGGCTGGAAGCATAGGTGGTAATAATGCTCATGCTGCTAATATGGTGACTGCGATTTTCATAGCGACGGGACAAGATCCAGCTCAAAATATTACCAGCAGTAATTGTTCAACAAATATGGAACTTCATGGAGAGAATCCCAACGATTTATACATGACATGTACAATGCCTTCACTTGAAGTTGGAACAGTTGGTGGTGGAACGGTTTTACCTGGACAAAGTGCCTGTTTAGATGTTCTTGGAGTTCGTGGTGCCCACCAAACACATCCAGCCGAAAACAGTAAGCAATTGGCTCGTGTCATTTGTGCAACTGTCATGGCTGGTGAAATATCGCTGATGGCAGCATTAGTCAATAGTGATCTAGTCAAAAGTCACATGAAACATAACAGGTAATTAATTCTCTTAATTCATTTAAATAGCGAGCTAAAGTTTCAGTTGCCTCGTTGGGGAACATAAAATTGTGAAGACGGCTTAAATTTCCTTTTTCTTATCAAAACTTTTTTTTCTCCTTTGCAGATCTTCCGTTGTTGTCAATCCAGCACTGGCTACATCAAATAGAGCATCAACAACATCTATGCCAAAAATGTAGCATAAAATATTACAACGAAGGCACTTAAAAAATATGTCAACATCGTTTCCTTAATGTCAATTGAAAGATCCCTAAAAAGGCATCAAAACAAACGGTTTAATGTACTTTTAATAATAAATACTACCTACATCAAATCAAACGCATCATGAAAGTGAACTTCAAAGAAGGAAGAAAGCAACACAACTAAAGTTAAACTTCATCTTGATTATTTTCTTTTAATCTTCTGTTTATGTAGCTGATAAGATCAAAAAACAAATCATCTTTTTTTTCTTAACTTTAAATCTACTTAAATATGTGAACGAATGTGATGGGACGAGGGCAACTTTTTATAAAAATGAGTGCATGTTGATTTTCTGTTGGTTCAAACTACAAAGTTTGATGAAGCTTACAAGCTTTCGCTTTGATGTTGCGCTTTTTTTATTTAATGTTATAGTTGCGACATCATTTAACGTCAGCGTTAATTCATCATCACAGTATTTTTGCATTGTTGATGTATTGGAAATTTTTATAGAAAAGAGAAATTGTTAATTGTCTCCTTGATTGTTTAACATTTTAAAATTGAATTGAATAGTTTTCGAAACATGAAAAGATTTCGAATGTAGTAAATTCTAAATTTAAAATGATAAATTATCGCTTCCAAGAAGGAATGAAAAAGTTTAAGATTAGATTGCAAATTACGACGTCGTTATTTGTAAAAAAGATATTTTTGAGACAATTTGTTTTAAATAGGCTTTAGATGAAAAATTAACATTCTTTATTTAATTTTTTTTAAACAAATCCCCCTTGATTAACATGAGAAAAATGCAAAGCTGTCAAGAACAGATTTAAATTTATTTGTAATTTTAATTAAGTTCCTTAGCTGGAATAAAACAAAATTGGAATTTTATAATGAAAAAAAAAATTGTTTTTTTGTTGACTTGCAGTTCGTTTATTTCCGATGAAATTCAACTCTGAATTTGAATAAAAACCCTTAAGGAAAACTCATTCCATAAAATTCATCACTCGCTTGCTATTCTTTTAACGGCAGGCTCAACATCTTGGCTGGATTCGTTTGTCTTGTCTTCCTCTGCTTCTGCTTCTTCTGGTAGTGGTGTTCGGTTTTTCTCTTCACGAATTCTTGAACTTAATGCTTGTTGCAAATGACTCATGTCATCAACACGTCCCATAACGAGATAAATTTTAATGACGCCATTCGTATCAAACGCAGTTAATCGCAGACTCTTTTGGCTTGGCTGTTCACAGATCTGGTCGCACCATACTTTTGTGTTCAACAATACACGAAGACTCCCTGATGCTCTGAATACAACTCTGGAATATGAACCAGCTTTAGAGTCATTTAAGCGAAGAATTCCACGACCACGCTCTTCGTAATTGTTGGCAATGAAGGTGAAAAGTTTGCAATTGAGCTCAAGAATGTTTCTTTCATCCTCTTCGCCTGTCGTGATTTCAACTTCCTCATATTTTCGTTTTTGAGCTCCACGCATTTCTTCATACTTTCTAGCTGCTTCAACAAGGCTTAGATTGTTATCACTTGAGATCGGATTGGTGCTCTCTTCATCATCTTTGACTTCAATATTTGAAGTTGGTTGTGTAAGACTTGACGGGGATTCTTCTATGGCATTCTCTTTGAGAACATTTTCTTGTGGTTTTGATGTTGAAAACAATTGTCCGTCTTTAAAATTGTTGGTGTTTTCATCATGATCACTTGATGTTGAATTCACATTTTCCTAAAGATAACAAACTTTAATAAATTTTAATATTTCGCTTTTATTCAAAACTTACCATCACAACTCTTTCATGGAGATTTTGACCAAAAACAAAGTTGGAATTTTCAGATAACGAGCCACTTATAGCATTTGTAAACAGATTAGTTTTTGCTGGTTTGAACAAATTATTTGTTGTTGATTCCTCGCCTGGATCCTTATCAAGATCATCATTTTTAACTTCAAGTTTTTCTGATTCGGACTCATCTTTATCGCATTTTAAGAAAGGGTTGGTAATAATAGGGCTAGATGCACTTCCATTTTCTCTGGAACTGCCATTTTGGTCACTATTACTGGATAGGAAACTCGCTGGTTTTAAAAATAATTTTCGTGTTCCTGAAAACAATCATCGTTTCATAAGCATTTCGACAACATCTTATCTTAAAACTTTTACCTGACGTCTTATTGTCCATCGAAATAGGTTGTGAGAACTTTCTTGCTTTCTAAAGATTACGGCAATATGAGATATTATAATAAAACCTCTGAGAAAATAATTTTGGACAAAAATGTATGTTGTGTATTCAGTAAACTTTTGTCTTTTTTTAGACCAGCAGTGAACGCACTATTAAATTATTTTTGAATCATGGAAAACCGTTAATTATAACTGAGTTTTATTATTAAAGGTCAATAAGCTAAAGGACATTTGTGTGGCGTAAAACTTTAAAATTCTAAAAATTAGTGTTTTGTTATCCTGTTTCGAAATATTTTTCTAATAAATAAACCAATGGAAAGCTCCTTAATTTTTTTTGTTAGTCTTTTTTCGTCGGAGGTAATGGAAAATTTAAATTTTTAATTCATCTGAATTTTCCCACATTTAAATCTTTCAATTTATCATTTTTCTCTACAATTTCTAGAATGCAATCAACTATCGAGATAAAACAATCGATCCAAACGACTTAATAAGACATTATTATGATATTTTATGGTTTTTTGAGCAGTTTGATTCGGAATTTGTAAGAAATAGGTTATGAAGAAAAAGTATTTAATCGAAGCATTCACTCAATCGTTAATTTATTTGACAGGAATTTCCACCATACTATCTGAATCACTTCGAAAATATCTCAATTAAATTTAAATTATTCTTGATGAAGTCAATAGAAAGCGATATTTTGGCTGTTCTTAAAGGTTTAATATTTCTTCATGAATGGATGGAAAAACAAGATGATGAGTCACAATCAAAAGCTGTTTGTTCATTGCTACTAGCATATCATATAGATCCACTACTCACTCAAGTCTCAGATAAAAAAAGGAGGAACTGTTCTTAGCGAACTTGGAGGGAAGCTTTCTTCCTACGTCTGGTTCAGTAAAGCGATATCAAATAAATCGTCTTTAAAAAGTTGTTTATTTATTCTTGTATAATGATCTTGATTTGTTTGACAATGTTGATTATGATAAATGATAAAACAAAAAGTAAAGAGAAAAAGAGAAAAAGACCTGCATAAAATGAATATAATTAAAAACTGGACATGAAGAACATTTAATTTAAAGTAATTACCACTCTCGGTCTTCTCTGAGGATTGCGTAAGAATCAATCAACTTGTTTGAGTGTAGCTTAATCTATTTATGCTTGATTTGATATCTGTTAAATGTGTTTTGTAAGTTTTTTGCATGATTTTTAACTTTTAACTTTTACGTACCGAGAGTGTGTGAATTTTAACTTAAATATGTTATTTAATGCTTGCTTATTTGAATTAAATGTCTTCGTTTTGACTTGAATTGCATGGTCTTGACTGTAATAAATGTATTTTATCTTAATTAAGTGTGATTTTAAAGTTTTTGATTGGTTTTACCTTATGAGTCTTTTGTGAACATAAAAATGTTGTATTTTGAGCTTTAATTGACTCTTTCGTGTGAGGATTTTAACTAATTAAGATAGAAATGAATGTTTACTGTTAGTTTTAAGTAAATTGAGAAGTAGAAATATTTGTCTACCTTGAGAAAACTTAATAATTGTGATAAAAATAATAAAATGCGTTTGAGCTCGGCCATTAAACTTTTAAAAGTGACGTTGGTTGCAATTAATTTTAGCGATTCGCGATTATTAATTATTTGAATTTTACGCGTTAAATTTTCTTATAGCTGATTATAACAGTTTCATATGAATCGTCTAATTGATTTTTGGGTTTATTTACATTTTTAAAGTTGAAACTATCTTCCATCTGGAACACACTCCCCCACAGGAAGATCGTTGAACGGAAGAAGGCAAATGTAACGAACATGTCGATCGAGATAATGCTCCTTTCCATCTTTGTGAATGACTTTGATTCTTACATTTCGGACAATCTTATCTTTGGGTGAAGGAAAGAGTTTTTCAATACGTCCAGATTTCCAATGTAATGGTGGTAAATTGTTGTCTTTGATAAGCACGAAATCATCAACACGGAAAGTGTTCTTCTCTCTGAAGTTTGGTGGTCGTTCTTGCAAATTGTGGAGATAATCATGATACCATGAGTTCCAAAATTTCTGTTGAAGTTGTTGAACTCGATTCCATTGATTTAAGCGATTGACTTGCGTATCAATAAAATTTCTTTCAGGCTTAGCAACGAGTGATCGACCAACGAGAAAATGTGCTGGAGTCAGAAAGTTGCAATCTTTCGGGTCTTCAGTGAGTGGCGTTAAAGGGCGTGAATTGATTACGGCTTTAATTTTACATAAGAGAGTAGAAAATTGTTCATAGTCAAGAGACGAATCTTCGAGAATGCGTTTTAAGTGATGTTTTGCTGCTTTGATGCCGCTTTCATAAAATCCTCCTGAGTGAGGTGCGAGTGGAGACGAGAAATGCCATTTAATAAATTTTTCTTCTAAGTATTCACCAATTGTTGATTGAAGTTCATTATAGGTTCTTTTAAATTCGTTGTTGGTTCCAACAAAGTTCGTGCCGTTGTCGGAGAAAATGTGATGACTTAGTCCACGACGAGAAATGAATCGATCGAAAGCTGCAATGAAACCTTGTGTTGTGAGTGACGTCACAGCTTCCAAATGAATAGCTCCTGTGCTCATACATTTGAACATCGAAATATATGCTTTTATTATCGATGCTTTCTTTGTGAGACTTGCGCGTAGGTTGTAGGGACCGGCGTAATCCACTGAGGTTGAAGCGAAAGGATGAGTCATTGTTACACGTTCTTTAGGGAGATTTCCCATGATTTGTGTAGCAAGTTTCGGGTTCATTTTGAAACATTTCAAGCATTGATGAGTAACTTTGTTGATGATTGATTTTGCACGCAAAGGCCAGTACTTCTCACGCACGATAGCGAGCAATGTGAGTTTCGTTGGGTGCATGTGCAAAATGTGAAGATGCCGAATGAGCATCGTTGAAAAGTTACATTCAGGTAGAACGATGGGATGTTTTTGTTCGTCTGTTAAACCGGGACTAAGTTGAATACGACCTCCAACTCGAATGATTTTGTTTTCTTTATCGAAATAAGGTGAAAGCGAAGAAAGTTGGGATTTCTTTGGGAATTTATTTTCAGCAGCAGGGTTGAAACAAAGACTTTGAAGAGATTCAAATTCCGAACGAAAAGTTGTTTGTTGAATTACTCTTATAATGATTGTAGTTGATTCTTCTCGTTCTTCAATTGTTGGGTTACCAGTGATGTTTGGTTTTTTGCGACATATATTTATGAATCTTAAAACATATGCGAATGTGTTGACAAGAATATTCAAGCGACTAAATCGTGTGTCAATGAAATGAAATAAATCATTGTTTTTCATAATTGTGAATGTTTTGCGAATTTCACTTTTAACGTGAGCATCATCTTCATTAATGGTGAGACGAGATTCTGGCCATTCTGATTGTGATGATTGAAGAAATGTAGGTCCATTCCACCATAAGGAACAATCTTTAATTTCTTCTGGCTGAAGACCTCGAGATATAATGTCGGCTGGATTATCTTCAGTGCGAATATGTTTCCAGATAAAACGATCAGAAAGACTTTGAATGGCAGAAACACGATTAGCGACAAATGTTTGAAGTTTGGAAGATGGAGTAGCAATCCAATATAATGCAACCATGGAATCACACCATAATGTGACATCATTAATTGAGAGTGTTGTAATTGAAGCAATTTTTGAAACTAATTGCGAGAGAAGAAGAGCTGTGGTGAGTTGACGTAGAGAGCTGCTATGAGCCGGTGAAAAGAGAGAGAGAGCTGCTATGAGCCGACGTAGAAAGCTGCTATGAGCCGACGAAGAGAAAGAGAGCTGCTTTTCTTGATAAAGAAATTGTCGATAAGCGTTGTTAAAGTTGTTACCAAGATGATCAATATTTTCTTTGAATGGAAGTTTCACAATATAACGACCATTTTCATTCTTATAAGTTGTTTGTTTGAAGAGATTTTCGCAGAATTGTTCTTCTGATGAGAGATTGGAATTTTCTATTTCGACTTTATCCATTTCAATGAGTTGATTGAGTTTTTCATCCACTTCTTCGATGCCAACAAAACACTTAAAGCTGAAGCAAGAAAGGAATGAACTTTTTTCTTCGAGTTGTGTTGTGATTAAACCACCAAGTATCCAACCAAATGCAGTACTGGTCATAATTAATCCTTGAGGTAATCTGATTGTTTCATTGAGTAAAGCTTCGTAGAAAACGTCAGCACCAACTAACATATCGATTGGTAAAGGTAGATCAAAATTGGGATCAGCTAGAACTTTATCATTTGGAATGGTTTGCTTATCAACGGCCACTCGTGATGATGGAAGAACATCTGTTATCTTTGAAAGAATGTAACAGTCTACGGGCTTGAGAAACTTTAAATCATTTGACTTGATTACTGTTTCAACTTTATGTTTAATGGAAACAGTTTGATCTTCAATTCCAGAAACTGAATAAGTAACATCAACAAAATGCAATTTCAATAATGAAGCCAATCTAAACGAAATGAAATTTGTATCTGAGCCTGAATCAAAAAGAGCTCGGGTGAGATGCCAAGAAGAGTCTGCTGCACGAACCAGAAAAGTTACGGTTGAGAGCAAAACTGTTTTTCTTACATTGGAGTGAGCAGTCACTGCTGTCATTGTTTGTTTAGTTTCTTTTATTTTCACTGTGGGTGGCGTTGGGGCAGTATAGCGATCGTTAGCGGAACTTAATGAAGAACTTGTTTGAGGAGTTGAATGTGAGTTGTTTGTCGATGAAATATTTTCATGACTTGATGAATGCGATGATGTCAATACAGGAGCACGTTCCATATGTAATAAAGTGTGATGATCCTTTTGACATTTTCTACATCGTGAAGAACTTGGACAATTTTTTCGCTGATGTTTGAAGCCGAAACAATTTACGCAACAACCAGCAGCTTTTATCATATGATATCTTTGTTGAGGATCAGCTGCAAGTAATTTTGAACAGCTGTAAATCTTGTGCTTCTCATTACAGATGAGACAAGTGGAGTCATCATTTTGAGCAGCAGCAAATACTTTCTGAGCAGAAGAGGAAGAAGATTGAGCTTTAACTTCTTGAGGCTTTGTAGAAGATTTTTTGTGAGTTGATGTTGAAGAAATTTTCTGGTAAGTTCGCCATTGTGACGTCATAAAGTCAACGAGGATTTGCCAGCTTACTTCTTTATTGTCAATGAATTTCGCCCAATCCTTTTGCGTGTTGTCGTCGAGCTTACGTAGAACGAGATGAACTTTTAAATCTTCATAAGTTGCTTTGAGGTTATCGAGCGCTGTAAATGCAGTTGTATAATGATCTAATATTCGTCGCATTTCAGCAGCAGATTCAGTAGTCATTTTCTTGATAATATAAAGTGAATCAAAGTAGTCCGTTTTAAGTTGAAGGCTGTCGTTGTATCTGTCTTTCACAGCTTGCCACGCGGGCTCATATGATACTTCGCTGATTGTGAAGTTGGCGAGCACACTTGTGTGACCAGCTGGTAGCTTGAGAGAAGTTTTCAAATAATGAAATTTCTCTACTGGCGACAGTGCGGTGTTCTTATGCACGAGCGACTCAAATGTATCACGATACTCTATCCATTTCGAAAATGTTCCATCGAATTCTGGAATAGATATCGTGGGAACTTTGGTTTTTAAAGTTAATTGAGCGCTAGTTTCTGTAACTTCAGTCTTCACCGGTTTGAACTTTGAGACTTCGATTTGAGTTTTCCACTTGGAAATAAGTTGAATGTACGTGGTGGAAAACTTACTATATTCTAATCGGTACATAACTGGATCTTTCACTATTCTCGATACTTCCCGATGTAGATGCTTAATGCGAGATGTAAGATCAATGACGATCTCAAGGCGATATTTAGATTCATCGTAGTTATCTTCAGTTAAAGGATTGTTTGCAGCCCAAACATTCTGCTCATTATATTCTTCGAGTAATTGGAGAAGAACTCCAAACTTATAGTCTGGATGAATTTCTTCGTCCGGCATATTTATTGACTTATTAATTTGTAGTGTTGAATTTTAACTTAATATTCGGAATAAATGTTGACTTTATCCGGCTCGTGAAGGACCAAATTGTGTTCTTAGCGAACTTGGAGGGAAACTTTGTTCCTACGTCTGGTTCAATAAAGCGATATCAAATAAATCGTCTTTAAAAAGTTGCTTATTTATTCTTGTATAATGATCTTGATTTGTTTGACAATGTTGATTATGATAAATGATAAAACAAAAAGTAAAGAGAAAAAGAGAAAAAGAGAAAAAGACCTGCATAAAATGAATATAATTAAAAACTGGACATGAAGAACATTTAATTTAAAGTAATTACCACTCTCGGTCTTCTCTGAGGATTGCGTAAGAATCAATCAACTTGTTTGAGTGTAGCTTAATCTATTTATGCTTGATTTGATATCTGTTAAATGTGTTTTGTAAGTTTTTTGCATGATTTTTAACTTTTAACTTTTACGTACCGAGATTGTGTGAATTTTAACTTAAATATGTTATTTAATGCTTGCTTATTTGAATTAAATGTCTTCGTTTTGACTTGAATTGCATGGTCTTGACTTATGAGTCTTTTGTGAACATAAAAATGTTGTATTTTGAGCTTTAATTGACTCTTTCGTGTGAGGATTTTAACTAATTAAGATAGAAATGAATGTTTACTGTTAGTTTTAAGTAAATTGAGAAGTAGAAATATTTGTCTACCTTGAGAAAACTTAATAATTATGATAAAAATAATAAAATGCGTTTGAGCTCGGCCATTAAACTTTTAAAAGTGACGTTGGTTGCAATTAATTTTAGCGATTCGCGATTATTAATTATTTGAATTTTACGCGTTAAATTTTCTTATAGCTGATTATAACAGTTTCATATGAATCGTCTAATTGATTTTTGGGTTTATTTACATTTTTAAAGTTGAAACTATCTTCCATCTGGAACACTAACACTTACAAAGNGGCTGAAGACCTCGAGATATAATGTCGGCTGGATTATCTTCAGTGCGAATATGTTTCCAGATAAAACGATCAGAAAGACTTTGAATGGCAGAAACACGATTAGCGACAAATGTTTGAAGTTTGGAAGATGGAGTAGCAATCCAATATAATGCAACCATGGAATCACACCATAATGTGACATCATTAATTGAGAGTGTTGTAATTGAAACAATTTTTGAAACTAATTGCGAGAGAAGAAGAGCTGAACACAACTCCAAGCGAGCAATGGTTTGTTGTTTGGATGGTGATACTCGAGATTTCGATACTACAAGCGAGATTTGAATTTTATTGTTGACGTCAAGAGAACGAAAATAAACTGCAGCACCATAAGCGGTTTCAGAAGCATCACAAAATCCGTGAACTTCAAGATGAACAAGTTTGGGAATGACGACATGACGAGAAATTTTTATGTCATTGAGAGAAGGAATTCGACCAGCAAAATCTTTCCATGCTTCACTCAAGTCTTCTGGGAGTTGTTGAGTCCACAAAAATTTCATTTGATGCAATTTTTTCATGAAAAGTTTGGCTTTAAGAACAACGGGACCAAGAATACCAAGCGGATCGTAAATTGAAGCAATCAATGAAAGAACAGTCGTCTTTGTGATGTTTTCGTCAACAACGATGGATTTGAAATTGAACGTCAATTGATCATCCAAAGGAAACCAATTGAGTCCCAAGGTTTTAATTGAAGGATTCGTTTCACTTACATGTTCCAACAGTTCATTAGGAAGATTTTGCAGCAATCGGAGATCATTTGAAGTCCACTTACGAGCTATCAAGTTTGATGTTGCAAGCATGTAACGAATTTGAGTGCGCAAACGTAATACGTCATCAAGTGAGTCAGCTCCAAACATAAGATCATCAACATAAAACGATGAAAGCAAAACCTTTGAAGCTTCGGGAAATTGTTGTTGATTGTCATATGCAACTTGATTCAATCCACGAGTCGACAAATATGCAGACGATGCAAGTCCAAACGTGACTGAATTAATTTCGAAGTGTTTGATGGGTTGTTGAGGATGATCTCGCCATAAAATCTTTTGAAACTTTCTTTGCGATGGATCAATGAAGAACTGCATGTACATCATCTCAATGTCACTTTTGCAAACATACTTTGGCTCTCGAAAACGAATCAAAATATCAAAGGATTCTGATTGAACTTTTGGACCAACACAAAGACAATCATTAAGAGAGATTCCTGTTTCTGACTTGCATGAACCATTGAAGACTGGACGAACTTTTGTAGTTGTGCTTGTCATTTTCTTAACGGCATGATGAGGCAAGTAATAACCTTCATGTTGATTTGGATAAGAAATTTCAGTGATGAATCCTCTGGCTATTAAATCTTTTATGTAACTGATATAGAGAGTATTAAGTTCTTCGTCTTGTGTTCGCTGCTTTTCTTGATAAAGAAATTGTCGATAAGCGTTGTTAAAGTTGTTACCAAGATGATCAATATTTTCTTTGAATGGAAGTTTCACAATATAACGACCATTTTCATTCTTATAAGTTGTTTGTTTGAAGAGATTTTCGCAGAATTGTTCTTCTGATGAGAGATTGGAATTTTCTATTTCGACTTTATCCATTTCAATGAGTTTATTGAGTTTTTCATCCACTTCTTCGATGCCAACAAAACACTTAAAGCTGAAGCAAGAAAGGAATGAACTTTTTTCTTCGAGTTGTGTTGTGATTAAACCACCAAGTATCCAACCAAATGCAGTACTGGTCATAATTAATCCTTGAGGTAATCTGATTGTTTCATTGAGTAAAGCTTCGTAGAAAACGTCAGCACCAACTAACATATCGATTGGTAAAGGTAGATCAAAATTGGGATCAGCTAGAACTTTATCATTTGGAATGGTTTGCTTATCAACGGCCACTCGTGATGATGGAAGAACATCTGTTATCTTTGAAAGAATGTAACAGTCTACGGGCTTGAGAAACTTTAAATCATTTGACTTGATTACTGTTTCAACTTTATGTTTAATGGAAACAGTTTGATCTTCAATTCCAGAAACTGAATAAGTAACATCAATAAAATTCAATTTCAATAATGAAGCCAATCTAAACGAAATGAAATTTGTATCTGAGCCTGAATCAAAAAGAGCTCGGGTGAGATGCCAAGAAGAGTCTGCTGCACGAACCAGAAAAGTTACGGTTGAGAGCAAAACTGTTTTTCTTACATTGGAGTGAGCAGTCACTGCTGTCATTGTTTGTTTAGTTTCTTTTATTTTCACTGTGGGTGGCGTTGGGGCAGTATAGCGATCGTTAGCGGAACTTGATGAAGAACTTGCTTGAGGAGTTGAATGTGAGTTGTTTGTCGATGAAATATTTTCATGACTTGATGAATGCGATGATGTCAATACAGGAGCACGTTCCATATGTAATAAAGTGTGATGATCCTTTTGACATTTTCTACATCGTGAAGAACTTGGACAATTTTTTCGCTGATGTTTGAAGCCGAAACAATTTACGCAACAACCAGCAGCTTTTATCATATGATATCTTTGTTGAGGATCAGCTGCAAGTAATTTTGAACAGCTGTAAATCTTGTGCTTCTCATTACAGATGAGACAAGTGGAGTCATCATTTTGAGCAGCAGCAAATACTTTCTGAGCNGAATGGAAAATGCTTAGAAATTGACTTTTATATTTGAATTCATTTTTAGATTCCCCAGTATCAAAAATTGTTAATGACTCTTGATCGACCAGATACTTTCTCAAAATACTTTCGATTAAAACTAGTTTTGGTGGATCCTTTTCTACTTCAATTTCACCTGATGCAACTGAATAAAGAGTAAGAAAAATTATGAAAAGCTTAAACATTTTATGATAGACAATACAAAAGCACACAATGAACTAAAAAAAATCCATCCGAGTGCTTACTTGTCAACAAAAAAGGAAATTAAAATGTCATTGTTGTCGATGGAACAATATAATTTGAACATGTCATCCTTGTCATATTATTTTAATAAATTCAAACAACTTAGTGAGATGCTATAAATTGAAAAAAATATAAATTTCGCCTGAAGCTTTTACGATTGATTGATAAATTGACTTGCAATGATTAGTTGTAATTATAATTAAAATCAAATATTTATCTGAGATTGAATCTCATAAAATGAACAAAATATTCTCTTTAAGTTTTCTAACCGAGCAGCAGAATTCGGTTCAATTCAATATTGTGCTCTGACCTTTATTATTCTGAAAAGTGTATAGGAAACTAAATAAGAAAATACAATGGAACTTCGATAAATCGATGGCTCAAGGGGGACCTGTTTATCGAGGTAATCGGTTTATCGAGGTCATTTCCAATATAAATTCGATTCAAGGGGGACAAAAATATCGGTTTAACGAGGTTTATCGAAGTATCAGTTTATTGAAGTTCCACTGTATAAATCTAATTAATCTGTTTGTGTGTGTCCTTTTAAATTAAAATGCTAAAAGTTAATTTTCTTCATTTCGAACAAAAATGCACAACTTTATTCAAATTTTAGAAACCACAAAACGGCGAGCATATTATATAGATGGCAACTAATAAACACAATGGTTATTATTGATTATGCAAAGTCAATAAACAAGCGACATAACATGAAAAATAATGAAAATTAGTCAGATATTGACTAAAAATTTAATTAGGTATATTTACTTTTATGGTTAGAATATTTTTTACATTTGAGTTTCACGCGTCTGCGAATTCGCTTCTTCTTATTTTTCATAGCAGCCCTTTTTTTGAAACAATTTAAAAATATCTCCATAAACAAAATGCCACAAGATATGACAATAAAACTCCCATAAAAAATTAAAACATTTTT